TCTATTGAGTCATTCTATATTGATTTATAAAAACAGGATAAATATTCTATATTTCAATACGATTATCTCGTTATGGATAGATTTGAGTTGTAGGTATTGTATTTTTTTTAAATGAAGAAAACTAATACAAGTTATCATTACTATCTCTATCACTTTTTTGTTCAATTTTCCTTCTATACGGCTTCATACACCTACCTAAACTACATTAACTTGACTAAAAATAGAATTGAATCGTACCATTTTCTAATATAGAATATTATTCAGTAGTTTAGTTTTTTTTGTCCTCTTTGAAAAATTATAAATAGAATACGGATGATGAATTTTCTTTGATCATTTACGCAAATGATCTAACTCATTGAACTATATATTGCATACAATCAATGGCAAAGAAATTTCTATCTATTTCTGGCTGAAACCTATAGATGACACACCCTGAGGCGTAATAAAAATCTTCATTTAGAGTTAACATAAAGTTACACAGATTTTATTTTAAAAATACATTACGACGATTGAATAGAAGAAAATGGAATATGATTTCTAAATAGAACAATACTCTATGATTATTAAAATATTATTAAAGAAGACTTTCTTGAGTTTGAATGCAAAACTAGAATTAGAGACAATCCAGCTCAAGACGAATTTCCTCACCAAGATCATACCTATTTTTAGGTTAATAATAATTACAATTCCGTCAAGTCAAATCCTATTATATTTAATCTCTCCAAAGCAAAATAAGTATTTAATAGGTCGACTCAGTGATCTATTTTAAATTTCTTGTTGTTTAGGGTTAAAAACTAAAACTATCATCAAAATCTTAGTTACATCGAATCCATATTAATAAAAAGGTCCATTATTGTTTTTTTTTACAAAAAAATCTGGATTCGTATTTCGCATTAATAAAAAACTCTAATCTAGTATAGTAATGAAATTGATGTCTATTCATTGATAAATCTACATATTTAGACGGCTTTTGTTCCTTTACGTTCTAAAATACTTCAGATTTTTTTTCTACCTTACATTTAATGCGTGTCATAAACAAGAATAATAGTAAAACATAAATGTCACTTAAAGTAATAACTTTTTGATGCAAAACACCATATATTTTTCATTAAAAAAGCCAAAAAGAAATTTTTTTCTGACAATTAATTAATTGATATATGTGAAGATTGTTGATATCTGATTCATTATTGGCAGCTTTGCTATTTTCTGCGTATATAGTGCCTAATGTTACATGAAAAATAACAAATGATTTATTACTAATAGAAATACATGGAACTATTTTTACTATTTAACCTTATTTTGTTGATTGAATTTTTACTTCATTATCTTTTCTTTCAATTATATAGAAAAATACAACTATTTTCTTTTCTTTTTTTATGAAATATCAATAAAAACGATAAAACAATGAGACTATGAGTATTTCTAGTGCTCTAGATCATGGGTGATGATTCGTTGAAATGATAATCAGCAGAAAAAAAACGTTTAAAATATAACGATCCATTTTATTTACCTCATAAATTGTTTCCAGATCTTGTTTATCAGGTATGGAAAACCGTCGTTTTGAATCGCTGGTTGTCAAATGCAATGTACTAACTGGCTCAAATACAGTATGCCGTCTATCGCACGTCATTGTAAAGTCACTTGATAACAGTTTTTAATTAAATATTTGATAAATAAACTGAATTGTAACTAGCTATTTCATCGGCATTAAATGTATTTAGAATAAAAAATTCCTAGTTCTAATGTATTCGTCGTTCTGCAGCAACTGCAAATTTCATGCCGTGTCTCTCTCTGTCTATCGTTTTCTTTCCCTTTATATCTCAACGCTATTACTCGTTGTAACATCGAAAAAATAAAAGAAAGTTTGCCTGAGGGAGTTATTGTCATTGCCGCTGTCGTTCCTTTTTACTTCTATCTCAAAAAGAAAAAGAATGCAAGCATCAAGAAAAAAAACAAGAGAGTTATGTTCGCCCATGACAACAACATATATATAAGTATATTAATGATGACGCATGTTGTCTGCGCATAATGCACGCACAGGTTTTTTCAAGATGACATATTTTTTATTTTTCTGCATCGACAATTTGTGTTAAAAATACTTTTCATTTAATTAATTACTTTCCATGTTGTTTTTTCTATCTTTTGACATCATCATCAATATTCTTAGGTTAATATTGGCTGAAAACGATAATCTTATTGAATTGAAACGTGACAAAAATTATAGTCTGTTGTTAGTACTATCATTTATCTCTTCATATAATTGTATGGTGTATACAAAAGTACTATAAATTCTCGACAAAGTACTAAATGGAATTTTCCCATTATATATGATTAATTATTAGTGAGAACAAGAATGACATCCTGAATCTTAAGGTAATGCCTTGTTTTTGTTTTTTCTTTTCTACAAGCATCAACCAACATACTAGTCTTAGTCGACTACCGTTGCTCTCTCTCTCTCTCTCTTCAATGTCAATAATCATCATAAACACAATGATTCTTTACAGAAAATCAATTAAAGAAAATTGGATTTGAACAACATATTTTCAAAGAAATAAGTCAACGATTGGTTTTCTTCCTTTCTTTTCTTTTTCTTTTTCTTTTTCTTCTCCAATTCTCAATATTGACAGTTAATTTCAAACACAGCGGTATTACTAATATGCAAATAAAATAGCAAAGCAAGCCAGCAAGCAAGTAAAAAAACATGTTGATACAAAAATGAATGTACTTACTTCTTTAATTGGGTGAAGTTCAGCATTGTTATTGGATATATCAATATGATTTTTATCGGGCACACTATAACGTCGTGTACGTCGAGCAAAACTAAATATTCCATGATTAGGTTGGTTGTTATTTGTCAAACTTTGACGTTTCCGTGATGGTATAGTGAATACAGAAATGATCTGTTTTCGTATACTTTCAGGATCTAATGAGTGTCGTCGCATGATAATCAATTTTTACTTCTTTTCGTTTTTTGTTACATATTTCATTTGAACATTTTATCTAATTTATTACAATACATAGACAAAAAGAAAGAACGTAATTAGATTTGAAAACAAATCTACTGATGAATAATAAGAGAGAAAAAATAGTATTGAGATCTATCAAATCATTTAAATAGATACCAATAATATTCTCGAATCGTTTGTCTTTTTCTTCTTCTTTTTTTTTGAAACAAGACATAATGTCTGAAAAGAAAGTAGATTTATCTGCAGAATTCTCTTCTACTCATGCTAATATTTGCTTTCCTATGAAGAATATTTGTCTATGCGAGTGAGATGCTTTCTATTGCAAAAGAAACATCATAAGAACAAGAAAAAGACGGAGAGAAGTCATCAAAAATTGATTTTTTTGCTTCTTTGCTTCACATCACGATCAACGGTCAGAATAACAAAAATAAAAACGTTGCATCAGTTTTTATTTGTAACTATAAGGAAAACTAGAGCCGGATATTTTTAGCATGTGGATAATTAATAAATAACGCCGTTTAAAAATATATATATATATAGATGTCAATATATGTAGGTCGATACTACGCGATATTATTATACAGCAATAGAATACAGAAAAGAGTTACATAAAAAGATTACCATATCTCACATAGTTTAGAACTACCATAAGATCATCAAATGTCAAGAAAAAGAAAGAAAAAGAAAGAATAAGAAAGAAAAAGTATTCATACCATAGAATTGCGTACTGACTGCTCTGGAAAAAAAGGCAAATTTTACATAGTTTTATACGTCTTTTAATGTTTAATACGCAAAAGAAAAAAATAGCAGTACTTTTCACTAAATAAACTCTGTTTTCTATTATTTCTTTTTATATCGATAAGTGTTGACATTATATCACAAATCTGAATTACTTTCGCTTTCATCGCATTTCAAAGCTCTGCTTTTTTAAGAAAGAAAAATGAATAGAAAATTACATCTCGCTTCAGGGTAGTTTCTATTTTTAACGAAAGAAAAGCACCGATATTTACTTTTGTGTTTAAGTAAATTGAGACATATTGATTCGTATCTAATCTATTTTTACCTTTTTCTGGTTGTTGTTGTTTATTCACTATTATAAGTAAAAATATCAACGCATAAATTTTGCCACGAAGAATTCAAACGAACGAACGAAATACTCCGAATTTGTAACATGTATCAGCTGAAGACAAATTTCCATTTGACATGAGTAAATAATGTCACAGCGAAAATTGATATTAACAAAAAAGAAGAGGAAAAAATTATTATCGAAAAGTCATCGAATTCTACGCCCGTAAAATGATCTTTTTTCTAGTCAGTGATGCAAGTGAGATGGTTCACTGACACGATTAAACTTATATTTACAATAACGGCAAATGCTATCTCCCACATTTGATAAACGAATATTTATTAATAAAAAATCGTTTTTTATTTTGCACAATCAGCTACTTAATAGTATCGTCTTTCACTAAATTATCGTTTATAAATTTGTATTTATATCAAACGCTCAATTTATTGGAACATTTTCCTATTTATAGATCACTACGTTTAGAAATCATGCGATCGTAACTCACGTTTTTGTCCTTATTACATTATATTGGTTCAGCAAATTAAGTCAATAGAATGCGTTCGCCTAATTCACATATTAAATTATTCTAAGAAAATACCAGTTGCTGCTTTCAACACATTTTCATTTCTATATTCGTAACATAAATAAAGCGTCAGTATGATACACTTGTATCATTTTAGATATCGTAGAAAAATGAATTGAATTGTCAATAGTCATATAAAGACTCATATCGGTTTTCTTTTATTAATATCTTCGTTTTAACCGAAATATAGCTTTGAAAAAAAACAAAAGAGCGAAATAATAGTAATGAAGAATCACATAGCACATAGATTCACCAAAGAAAAAGAAAAAAGCGAAAAGAAAGAACAAACATATATAAAGAGAGAAAAAATGAGAACATACGTGGCAATCGTAGCACACTCATACACAGACTTACAGAAAAAAAAATATTAATTGGCTTTTCTATATCAAGCAATCGTATCCGATGCTAATAAATTGCGTACAGGTGGAGACGAATTACTAGCATTCAATGAAGAAACTGGTCGTTTTCGTTTATTTCCACTTGTTGTCAATGTTAATGAACATGATGGTAATACCTGTGTTGTACTAACGGAAGAAATCTGACTCGATGCATTTGAAGATAAAGATAATATTGGAAAAGAATTCGACTGAAAAAATGCAAATAAATCATCACGATCACGTTCAAGTAAAGCAGCACGAGTACGAGTTGTATGAGCAATAATAGACGCTACTTCTTTGACTTTGTTGGGAACAATTGAACGGTGATGATGTATAGGCGATGATAAACTATTTTTATTCATTGATAATAATTCATTATCATCCAAACATAAGTGCACAGCTATACGAGTACAAGGTGTTGCTGGCGTTTCTTTTAGATTCATTTTATATTTTTGATGAAATGTTTCATATGAAAGAAAGAAATCTTCGATACGTATTGCTTCATCTTTCGTTGAAAAATAGCCGAATGTTTCACGAACAAGTGCTTCAAGATATTCATCATTATAACTTGTTCTTAATGATAACCAATTATCTTCAATATATCTTTGATAATAATATCGGCCTTGTTTACTTAAACAAAATCCTTTGTAACATTCAATACGTTCATGTAAACGTATTGAATTACCACTATTATTAGTATTGTTAGTATTTGTTGAATTATTTGTTGAGAATAAATTTAATACACGTTCGATTTGAGATGGCTCTTGAATATATGACAGACCGTACGCACAACGAAGACGATCGTCACGACGTGGACATTGTTCCCATAATTTAAATAAATTATTTAAATCGGAGTCAGAAGCATGATGAGCAACTATTGCACATATTGGCCAAAGAACAGTTGTTGATGGATCATTTAAATATATCAGTAATCGTTCGCGTGCATTGGATATAATTGTTGGATCATGGCCAATAGTACCTGTATACAATCATATATAAATTAGTTATACACACAGATTCATGTCGAACTTTAAAGATAAGTATACAGAAGACGTCCTTCAAAGTTAGAGTAGAAAATAAAGTTTAGTTATTACACTCGCGAAAAAGGAGAAATGATAAGGGTCGATAAGAAAATTCTTTTTGCTTAATAAATATAATTCAGTGTCTTATGTAGAAATATAATAAGTGATAACGTCTGATTATATTCCAAATGTTTATTTTGTGACACTTCTCGATTTATAATTTAACCGAGACCTTCATCAGCCGCCGGCGCGGCAACGACATCAAAAAAACATATTTATTATCTTTACAGTATAATAAATTTTATTAAAAACTGACGCAAAATAAAGGTCACAATAGTCTTAGAAGTCTCTTCTGATATAATTCTAACACAAAATATTAACATGCTTTGAGAAATAGAAGGATAATCGTTGACTTCCTCATATTTTCAACCAGATTTTATTTTAATGAAGAAGAAAACAATTATAAACATCATAAAAATGTCATCATAGACTTGGACAAAACTTTTCGACTATCATTATTCGTAATATGAGAGAGGGAGAAAAAGAAAAAAATCAATTTTAAAACTGCAACATGATAATTATATGTTAGAAACTTTAGAATCAGAGAGTGTATTGTGATATCTTTCTAATTATAGACTGGCTGTTAGGAAAAGAGAAAAAGCGGATACTATTAAATTTGATTGTATCCTAGTAAATCGAAGGAAATAATTCCTGTTTTAAAAATACAAAGAAACTACGCAAAAAATATAATACAACAAGAAAAATCAGTCTTTCCCATTTTTAGACAACAAAGAAAAAACGCCAACACATTCAAAGATTCTAATGAAATTTAGTTAATTCTTATAGACTCTGATCGATCTTAAATTTCATCTCACAATTAAAGATTTTCTTTGATTAATTCATTTTTTTTGAAAAGAATTGAAACTTTCATTAGGATATTTACATTATTCATTGTTCATTGTTCAGGATTTCAAGCTGAAAATTAAAACAGAATGTAACCATTACTATTACTGGTCTTCTAAAAGTCACATTTCAAATCTACAAAGTAACTGTTTTATTTTGAGACAAAAAGTCTTCTTATTAAAAATAATAAAGATAGATCGATGACATTTGAACGTTTTCGTTGGTTTTAATATTAATTCATAGAAGCATTTTCAGAAGTTACCAGGATTCTATAGTTATTCTCGCTTTATGTGTCATGTGAAAATCAAACTTCTAATATGTCTTTTCAATTGTTTGACAACTGCATAAATTTTTCAGTAGAAATATTTTAACTTATAGTAAAAACTACTGTTAAATTTACGTTTCATGTCATGCGTTTAATCATTTGTTTTAAAAGTATTACCTAAAATAACTAATAAGAAACATCTTAAACGACCGCGTGCAACTGATTCCAATTCATTATTAGCATTAGATGTTAAACCAAGTCTTTGATATAAATTTTGATGAAAATAAATTACAAATTGTCGATAAAAATCAAATAATTGTTTATCATACTCCAGCAATGTTCCGATTCGTATTATATTACTTTCAATATCTTTCCAAACGAGTTCATCATCTAATTCGTTCACATAAGCATTTAAAAGTAAACGTAAATAATCAACTAAAGATGTAAAGCCGCCCATAGCTAATGCATACATATCATTTTCTAAATTAAATCTATCGAATGTGTTTAATTCTTGTTTTACAATCGCTTGTGTTAACTGTTCTAACATATCCGAAGAATATAAAACTCGATAGGGTCCACCTGAGCATACATTTAATTTAAGCCAATTCGATGTTAACGATGAAGATCGACGTTTTTTTGTTGCTGGTTCATTATCAATACTTTGCTCTTCTGTTTGTAAAGATGAATTTGTATTAATATGTATAATTTCTTGATTTTTAGTAATTAAAAATTTAGTCAACAAACAATCTGATTGACTATTGAGTATTGTTATTGGTATAATCCAATTTTCATCGTTATCATTATTGTCGATTGATTGGCATAAATCTAGATTTCGTTTTGTATCACATATGAGATCACTTGTTCTGATACAGTGACATGAAATCTTTTTATCATGAGGTTTTTTGTCTTGATTATGGCCACGACAAAAACTCATTTGTTTTAATTCCAAGTCATAGATTCCTATTTTCGAAAATTATTTATACGTTGAATTATGGAAAACAAAGAGAAAAAAAATTGTTTTCATTACCTGTTGTTTCATCATAACCGATCATTTTAACTTGTACAACAGGGTAACTTTTTTTCGAACACCAACTATGCACTAATTTTTCTAAGAAAGCAAAAAAAAATTATCTCTAACCAGCAAAACAAATGAATCTGTTTACTTATTGGTAAATTTGTTATTTCTTCAACACATGCCCAAAAATCAATTGCAGTTGCAGTACGATATGAATATCGATTTAAGAATAGTCGAGTTGAATCAAGAAAATGATTTTGTCCAACAAATAAATGTAACATACGCATTAAACATGATCCTTTTGAATAAATAAAGCCTTCAAATGAAAAATCTTTTTCATCTATATCGTCTGCTTCACTATGAAGAATATTAATACAATAATCAAAGTAGCGTACAAATTGTGTAGAGAAAAATTCTGAGAATACATTATATTCAGGGACTATATAATCTGTTGCTAAGTATTCAAACCATTTGGCGAAACCTATTCAATATAAAAATTTCAAGTAAATAACTAAGAAAAAGTTCAAACCAAACCTTCTACAACATATACATCATTCCACCAATGAATACTGACTAAATTGCCAAACCATTGATGTGCTATTTCATGTGTTACTGATTGACAAACATTTCTATATTGTACACTAACAGCATGATCTTCATTTATTAACATTTCTTCTTCCTATAATAGATAGACAACATAAGATTTATTCTTGCATTACTAAATAATAACGCAACATTTTTCGTTTACAATCACTCCATTAGATTCTTATACTACTGCTTCAAAAACAAAATGTTGTAGATATATAAACCAATACTGAGGTTAGTAATGATTTAAGTTTTGGAAGAATCTATTGTCATAGTTTCTTCATTCGTGATCAGAATACTATTGTTTGAGACGATAACTGAAAAACGTTTGAAATCATAATGTCTTTTCTTGAATAGACAACCAGTGATTCAGCACTTATTCGTTTTTACATTTAAAAAATGATATTGTAAACTTGTGTATTTGAAAACATGAATTTTATCTTTCAAATAAAAGCACATCTTTAACACAATATAAAGAAAATAGTCAAATTGAATAGAACTTTTCAATTTATGTTTGTTACAAACAATACAAGCAATACGTTTCGGAGGGAGAAAAGCTTTTCTTTGTAATACAACAACTTTGATCATCGAATAATCTAACCTTAAACAGAATAAGTGCCCAATCTTCCATCGCTGGATAAAAAAGATCAGGCACAGCAACGAGATCAAGTTTTGACATTGGATAATCGATTTGAAACAAATCAGCATAGTAATGTAGAGCTTTATGTGCACAATTCAATGCAAATGTAGCTTCATGTTTTCTACCAGGTAATGTGTAAGCTGTAAGTTCGATAGGAGATAATCTAAATTAAAAACAATGAAAAACAAATATAGTAGTTTACGAAAAAATGCTAATACTACCTTACCCACTATCTTTTTTCAATCTTTCAACAGGTTCCGCTTGAATCATATCGAATTCGCCAATAACAAAACATAGAAGAAATGTTGGCATTGACGGAGTTTGTTGAAAACGTATTCGTTTTGTGCCACTATTTAATAAATTATCTTGTGCATAAAGTTGTGGCATGTTTGATAATGCTTGCATATGTCGTGGTATATCGAGTGTTAAATCGAATGTAGCACGTAATGATGGTTCATCAAAACATGGAAATACACGACGACAATGTGTTGGTGACATTTGTGTTATGCCATAATGTTTTTTTACAATGGACATTTCATTTGAATTATTATCATTGTATGATAATATATCAACAGTTGAACGATAAAAACCAATATGATTTTGTGTTGTTACATGACCGGAAAAAGAATTGATTATTAAACGATATGGTATATCAAAAGAAAATGTTTGTTCATTCGTAAGACGTATCTCAAGAGTTTCATTTGATTCATTTACTTCAACAGTACAATCTATTTGTATTGATGATGATATTATTATTACGGAAATAGACGACAATTCAATTAATAAATGAGATGCATCAAGTTTTATGCTTGTTTGATTATGTTGTTTAACAATTAAGTCTATTTTAACTGAACCACAAAATTGACCAGAATCAAGATCAGTTGTTAAATGAACATCATAGTGTTTTGGAATTACATTTTGACTGCGAGATAAACGACGAGATGACATAATCTAGTTTCTAGTTGTTTTGACTTTTTTTTTGTTCTTCTTCTTGATGATCTACATATAAGTATAAATATTATTAAAGTGTCAAGAATAACTAAGTTATTTATTGCATAAATATATTTTGACTTATAGAAAACAAGAAGAAATCAATATATAAAAAAATCAATGTTCATCTAAAGAAAATTTGGTCAAATTCTAGTACGTTTAAGTTTGATTTAAATCACGGAGCTGTTATTGCGTAGACAATGTGAACAGTAATTTATTTAATTTTTGGTATATCAACTTTCAATTTACGCGCTAAATCTTGTATGAAATCAATTTGTGATTGAGGATATGGAATGCCACCTAGTTTCTCACATTTGGCCATATGCAATCGTTCAGGATCACCAGCAATAAGAACTGGTTTACCGGATTCTAAATAAATTGCATTCGAAAATATATGAAGTGACAATAGAAATAATTCTTAACCTGAAGGTGGCAATGTTCGACAATAATTTATTAGTTTCTGTAAACGATCTTCAAACTCATCTTCGAACGCACTGGGATCAATGGCAATAAAACATTGTCCAAGATTAGCTTCAGTTGTACTAGTTTTCCATGAACGAATCCATGGTCCAAAATGACTACCTATTTTAGCCAATACAAAATATTGTACATGTTTATGTCGTTAATAGGCGATATAAATGAATTGTTTACCTGATAAAATACCACATAATACTTCAACCATCATTGCTAAACCATAACCTTTGTAACCGGATGATTCTTCAGGACCACCTAAAGCTAATAAACCTCGTATGTCTTGTGGTTTTGTAACCGGAATACCTTTAAGGCAAGAGAGAAAACATGTTTAAAAAAGTGACATTATCTATTACAAACCCTCTGCATTAACACCCCATGTATTTGGAATTTCTTCACCTCGTCGTTGACTAATTTCAACTTTGCCTAGTGCAACAGTTGATGTAGCCATATCAAGTATAAAGCTATCACCATTTTTAGCAGGTGCACCAAATGCTCTTTAGAACGAAAATCAAAAGTTAAAATTAAATAGTAATGTTAACTTCATTACATTGGATTAGTTCCTGCAAATGAATAAGAAAATAAATAATTATATAGCATCTCTCGTAAAACAATGAATTTTACCTAATGATTGTGCTTTACCACGTGTTGGTACAACAAGTGGACTTGTGTTAGTAAACTAAAAAGATCGTTTTCTTCTGTCTATGGGTATCAATAACTTCAAATAAAAATACATACAGCCCATCCGATAAGATCTTTATCAACAGCTTTCAATGAATAATAGCCAGCAATACCAAAATGATTAGACCGACGAGCAGCAACTAATCCAATCCCAACTTTTTTTGCCTTATCCATTGCGATATTCATACAAAATTTACCCACGTACGGCCCTAATAAATTCTGCCCATCAACTAATGCTGTTCCAGGTGATTCTTTAAGAATTATTGGATTTCCTATCGAAAGATTGTTATTTGCTAACTATTATACCATGATTTGGAGAAAAAAAAAGAATTCAAACCATCTTTTGCTGTTGTTCCAGTTTTGACATCATTCACATACATATCAAGTCGATTAAGTCCATGACTATAGTGGCCTAATTATAATAAATCAATTGGTGAAACTGTTTTAATATAGAATTCTCATCGTTCATTAAGCGATTCAGTATCGTCAAGATTGCATCAAGAAATTATTTGATATTCAAAAAAATAAAATGACACTGTGTTTATCAAGATAGAAGTAATCATAAAGATCGCAGTGAACTCGCATGTCGCTAGTTTTTCCTGTGCCATAATATTATCTTAGCTGTATCAAGAGATTTGCTTTTTTGGCTATTGATTTACAGAACTATTATTTTAACCAAACGTTAAAATATTAAGAATTCGGCTTCCAATAAGGTATTCTAATTTATGTCGATTCTTCACTCTTAACAAAAAGTTTTGATACAAAGTATATCTTTTCTAATTTACGAACATACAATGATTGTGTCGCCGTTCTTATATTAGAATAAAATTTTATCAAGACATTTGAAAGTCTCATAGCAATCTACTTTCTTTAAGACACTTCACGTCAGATTTTCTAGTTCTGCTAAGTGACCTCTGGTATTTATCTGACAGCTAAAGTACTTACATCGCAAAACGATTCATACTATATTTAGAAGATTTGAAACTCTCTTGGCTATAAATAATACACATAGTATCGACTCAACAACATGTTTTAGAGTTGGAAAGCAAATCATTCCTCATGAGAAAACTTCATGACTAATACATCTTACGATATTTTTTTTGATAACAAAAATAGTCTATCTTTACCAAATGTTCACTTAATTATAAATGTTGTATTATTTACCACGATAGTCAGCCATCGTTAAATTATCTGCCAATACTTCAGCATGTGATGGACGCGCATCAACTTTCATCATACATCTAACAATAAATGAAAATAGTTCATCTTTTGGGACAACTTTTTGCTTTGGATTAATATCAGATTCTTTGGTATTTCCATTTATTTTTGATGACTATCATTGCAAGAAAAAAAAGAAAACATTGATTATTATTTCTCATTTGTTCTCACATACCGTACTGGAATGACAAAGAAATATTTGTTGATAATTTTTATAGCATGAAGTATTAACAAATCTATTAAAATAGCCGTAATTTATTGATAACGAAAACAGTAACTAAACTCACCGAAAGAAATTTTTCGATATCATCTTTTTTTTTATTAATGTACAACTTTTACCTGTAAATCAAATAGAGAATCATATAATGTAAAAGCAAAAAAAGAATGTTTTGATTTATTTATCATTCAAAGTGTGAATAAATAGCAACAAATATTAGCGTTTAAAAGAAACAATATTGAACTGTAATCAATGTTAAATAAATATAAAAAGCAAAAGGAATGCATATGAATTATAGCTATGACAGAAAAAAAAGAGAGTAAATGGAATGAATCAATATCTGTTCATTATAAACATTCAAAAATTCTCAACGTTGTTTATTTGTTAAAATTCGTACAAGATCTTCACAATTGCAACTAAAAAGAAAAGAACACTCATAAATTGAATAGTCGCAAGAACTTCACTACTAACCGCCCATCAGCGTCAATGTCAGCTTCACGTATTAATTCATCAACTTCCTCTTCTGAAAGTCGTTCACCTAATGATATCATTGCATGTTTAAGTTCAGCAACACTAACATATCCCGTTCCATCTTTATCAAAGACACGGAATGCTTCGCGTATGTCATCTTCCGTTTCGCGATTGTTTGCTTTAAAAGTTTGTGCTACTCGTACAAATGTATCGAAATCAATTTTTCTACCCACTTGCTGCTGAATCTTTTGTAGATCAGCTTCAGATGGCGATAAACCACATGAACGCAGAACGATTCCTAAATTAAAAATATATATTTATTTTAACAAAAATAAAATATAATTCCTTTTTTTTTAAATACCAAGTTCCTGTGGTGCTATTATATCATCATGATCTTTATCAAATAATGAAAATGCTTCGCGATATTGTCGCATTTCATCCGACGTATTAGCCATGGATAATTTTCTTCTTTTTCTTTTATATATGAATCAAATCAAAAATAAAGAATACAAAATGTGAAAATATCCTAATGATTCATATAAGTCTAATTTTTTATTTATAATCAAAAACCAAAAAACCAAAAACAGAACATGATGATAATTATGATGGATAATCTAGAAAAACATATTGTTGCGTAAGAAAAGATGAATCTTTTTCAATTACTTGTTCGCATATGCCAAGCCTCTAATTCATTGATTGATAGTTGTAAATCAGCTAATTGCTTTTCAAGATTATTTACATCAATGATATCTTCATTATCTATTTGAAGCTTTTGTCTATAGTATGAAAAATGTATGTTCAAGAATTTATAAAAATTTTATTATCATACCCTATTATCTCAATTGATTCTTTTAAATAGTTAAAATGAATTATTTCTCTATCAAGTTTTTCATTTAATTCAGCCAATTTATCTTTATGATTTATAACAGTTAATTCAGTATTAGCCACTAAACAGTAGATTATGACAATTTTTTTTCTGAATCAAAAAATGTAACTATACCTTCATCAGAAATTGTCTTCAATCGAATTTCAGTCTTTTTTCGTATTTCATCAAGATCTGCTCGAGCCTAAAAATGTTGTTTCTTTGTATTGAATTGTTTCAACAAAATAAATCCTACATAAGCATGATAATTTGTTCGAAAAGCCATCGTTAAATTAGCACATTGTTCAGTTATTTTTCCACTGAAAAATGCAATTTTTAATTATTCAAAACACTAATCAATTTTTCTTTCTAACATATTTCGATGATGATTATATTTAACTGTATTGGCTTTATCAATAATTGCATTTTGTTCTTGACGTTTTTCGACAATTTGACCATGTAACCTAAAATTTAATCAAAATAGATTTCTAGTTGAAGGATTGTATCATAGAATAAACAAAAAATAAAATAATAATCAACACTCCTAGCATGCAATGTTCAAGAATGATTTTTTTTTCGATTCAATTCCTAATCATACAATTGAGACATCGTTGTTCGTTCGCTTAAATTTCGATCAAGCAGTGATCGTTTGACTTATACATAAAATAAAGATTGCCTGAAAAAAAAAGAATAAGTAATAAGAGATTATTATACCGGTATTTGTTTCGATAGCTGCACGTAATTTGATCAAATCGTCTTGAACTGAATAGAAAGAAATATTTTGATCAAAGAGTCAATAAACACGACACCAATTATACGTTGTTCTTGCGATGTATCATAGGTTTGTTCAATTAGAGTTTGATCAGCAACTTTTTGATTGAGTATTTCTAATTCTGTAAGGAAATTAACATTTAGCTTTTTTTTCTCCTAATAATGATATGATAACAAATAAACATGCCTTGTTGTAATTCACTTGTATATGAATTAAGTGATTTAAACATAGTTTCAACAAATTCATTTTTACGAGGCGATTCTGAAGAATTCTCCATAGGTAGAAAAGTATTAACGAAACGAAGACAAATAACTGAATGAGTGAGTAAAGAAGTTGACCGTTGGTGAGTAAACAGGGCGTGAGATATGTAGACTGTGGATAACTATGGATATATTTAAATCTAAATAGATCGTTAACAGTTTTTACTTTAGAAAAAAGTATAAATCAAGAAACCATCTTTAACTGTAATGAGAATGTAAATGTTTGATTTATGAGAAAATTCTTTTTATAGATGACACTAGTCAACAACAAATCTATATCATGTATCAATCGCGTGTTTGTTGAAGTCGGGGAAACAGTATTTTCATATGAGAGAAAAAACTGAGGTAAGATATAATTTGTAAAGATCAATATTGTTAATTTTTTTTTTGAAAGTCAATTTATCAAAAGATTATTTATTTGAATTCCAGGTTAAAATATTTCTAATTGTATCAATTCGTGCAAGGGATGATCTTGCTCACGAATAATATTTAATGTGTTAATAAGAGCAGCCGTAAAGATCTATTATTTAATGTAGTTTTCAGAAAAAGTAGCGATCAATTTTTGTGTTTACAATATGCAGTTCAATTTAATACTATTAGATAACGCAAAATAACTAAAAGAAAACAAGCGATAAGAGATGTACACTGATATAGATACAAACGAAGAAATAAACTAGCAGAACACTGATTTAACGAAAAATTCTGAGCTGATCACAAAAAGAAGAAGTCAACGTTTTCGAATTCCACCAAACTTCTAGTTGATCTATCAAGATTTTATAAGTAAGAAACAAAATGATTTCGTCTTTATTTTTGAAGCATTATCACTTTTACATGCAGTAGTCTTAACATTCGCCAGTATGTCGATCACTTTTAGATCAATTGTTGTACATTAGAATCAATTTTAATCTGGTATGTCAGAAAATCGATCAATAACTATATGTTAGAGATTTACAAAAAGATGTTTTCTTTTTCAAAACGAAATTCGTAATAAAAACATTTATCAATCATTTATTTGAGAATGACAAATTTTTACAACAAACATGTCAACATCCATAATTGAAATCAAAAAAAGAAGATTTCGATTATACAAAGTCTGTTAATTATAGTTTTCACTGAAAATCGATCTGTTAAACATTGCGTAATCAAAATATTTAAGGATTTCTATCAGATGAATCCATGACTTTTTGAATGTTACCAAGAATTCGAAAGAGGAGCCTTATCTAAAATACTCATTACGACTAATCGAAAACAATTCTTCTTCATCTAAGCATGGAACGATTCAAAGGATGATAATATATACGTATGTACAAGAGTAATACATCGATCAAACCAATATTTTGGTGTGCAACACTTAACAGTTTAGTAGAAATATTGACTGAATCTTCTCGAAGAATTTCAACAATTTTTTATCTAGAAAAATTTTGCAAAATTAGATTAATTTAAAAATGAAATATTCAAATGCACTTGCTGAATTTTTAGCATCAGCTTCATATAGCTACATTAATTGACACAGTCAAGTGATATAACTGTTTACTATTTGTACTTAAAATTTTATCTCATTTTAGATTCTTGTTGATATGAAATGATTATAGTGATGGCTGTGAATTTATTGATTATTCAATAGAACAATATTGCACAGGTATCCTTTGCCTTTATTTTATTTTTGATTGTTTTCTTTTAGTATTTATTCTTTGATACAAGTAACTTAAAACATAGCCCTCGAATAGATAGTACTATGGAATAGGTGATTAAAATGTACACTTTAAGTGATCTTGTCTTTATTTTTATATTTTATTTTCGCACTTAAATATATAGACACAGATCATGTCCTTATATGTGATCATCTGAAAACTAATAAACAGGATCTATTTTAGACTTTAACTGGAGTGCTTTATCACGTCATGTAATGCGCTAAAATGAGAAGAATAAAAATCGACTTTGTTTACTTTAAAAGTAAACTTCTTAAGGATAAGCTTGCGTCGCATCCCACTAGATTTCGAATTTGCAATTTATTCTAATAAATCAAAATTAGTAAATTTTTTAGATGTGCTCAACTACAGAAAGAGATCTCTAAAAAAAGATTCGGCAATATTTTTACTCAGAGATCTCTTTCTTTTAAATTTCACTCAGACTGAGCACCATGCAAGCGTGGATATTATTTTAAAATATAGAGATCATTCATTTTAATTATAGATATTTAGTCACAGTTTCGCTTATAATCGTGAGAAATATGACTAGTTTGAACTGAATTGCAATCGAGCATAGTGACCTACGGTAGAATTACGACATCTTTATGATTGTAATAATATAGTAGTTCTTTTTATTTAAAGTTATTCAGAAAAAGCACCAACAAATTGAAGACATTAATTTTCTATATCTGTCGAATACACGATAATGGTTCTTTTGTGTTTCTTCATGCGTTCACTCAATTGAGACGCATTGTTTTCATCTACTATATTCTACACTAAGCCACTATCTACTAGAGTTATCAAACACAAACGTAAGAATCATTCTCTAACCATCAGTTATCTTATTAATCTGTTCACTAAAGTACTTTGTTAAAGATAACATAAAATGATGAACGTCATCGTCTAAGATGCTTTATTCAGCTTCACATATTTTCTAATTTCTTTTTGATATCTTTGATGTAAAATTTCCTCTCTCTTTCTCCGTATAGGAAATGTAGAATATTTTTTAGAGAGAATGTTAGTGTAGTTATCGTTGGAAGAATCTTTGAGAATGAATTGCTTAATGCCTGGCATTCGATTGCACTTTTTTAAAAATATAGAAATCCTTAGAGGATCAAGGTTGTCAAAAATATAGGATTTTCGATAAACAATGACAAAAAGAGAGAACATTGTATACACCGTTTCTGTTCAATTGTTTTGGTGTTTTTTAACTGCTCTGCTCGAAAATCATTTTAATGAAGCTGTTATAAACAGTTCAATCGTAGCCAAGATCCTTATGTAATTTTTTCTACTGAAATAAGTCGCTAATTCGAGGATTATTATAAAAGTTTTTCACAAATCGATAAATAATAATAAAGTAAATCATAAGATTTGAAAAAACAAATACATGAAAAAGACAAATACTATTTCTCATAATTAAAGGAGACGTTTCAGATTACGGACATGACTTCCCAAAAAATCTCAATCTACTTTTATTGTCCTGATAATCAACATTCATCGCTTATTATTTTCCACAAGTTTACTTTGTATTTTATCATAACTCAATTTTTTCTGGTAATAAATAAGTGTAAATGAAAATGCATATACACAGGATGCTGTAAACTTCCACGGACTTTCAGAATATGTCGTTACTTTTTAAAAAATATGTTCTTTTGGTAACAATATTATCAAAATGCAGGGTGAAACTTATTTGTTCCAGGGGTGTATATATATATGTACAGCTTTTATATCTAACTAAAATTTCGCTGAAAATCCGAAACTAGTACATAATCACTTTGCGAATAATTTTTTCTTTTGAACTATGTTGTATTTTGTACTTAGTATTAAACAATTTCTCAATCAGCCCACTAAATAGGCGAAAGAAAAAATACTGTTTAAAACAAATATCACTATAATACAAAAATTTGTCCAAAACACATGATTATACACATTAAAAGTTTTTTTCGTCTACAGGCAATAGCAAAATTAAGAGGTTTTGGGAAATTTTCCTCTTTTTTCGATAAAATATAGGAAATATAGGTCGAATCGCAGCCCAGGTTTTAGAAACAAATTCTTTTGCATCTTTTTATTTTTTTTCTCTAGAATAGTTCACAGTCCCATGTAAAAAGAATTGGATTAATAATCAGATTAAAAATCTATAATAATGGCACTATTATAATCTGATTTTTCAGCCTTAAAAAGCAGATTATTTTTTTATTTCAGTCGATTGATATAGTTTCGCAGGTGAACAATTAAAATCGATTGAAACAAAATTATAATAGTGCCATTAAAATAGATTTCTAATTGCATAAAAATCAATTATAATCAGATTTTTTACGATTATTTTTTACATGGGAGTGTGGTGAAGATTTTTCGCTAAAAACTCGTTTTCCTGATTTGAAGGTGGGTATATCAGTATGAATTAATGATCTTTTCATCATTCCAGACTAACTAATACTGTAAACACAAAGAACAAACATTTATTTCGTGATTAAGACTCTTGTCAGAGAATAAATATCCGTTGTTAATTCATTATTTCATGAACCTCATATTTATCATATATATATATATATATATATATTATTGAGACTCTGTCATATGCAGATATTGCGTATTCGTTTGTAAATAGAAAGTGCATTCAAACTGTATAACTATCTCTTCATTTACCTCACTGATATTATATGTACAAACTAACTCAATAGTTTGAAGTAAGAGTTAGGTTGGGTATGAAGCAGGTGACAATACGATTCATATTCTTGCGAAAAATAAACTGCTCTAATTTGTTCTATTGTATTCCGATTGTAATATTCTTTCATTGTTAATATAATATTTTCTGATACTCAGGAGTGGCACGATCTGTTGAACGTTGGGGGCGAGGGAGGGGGGAGGCGGCTGTTGGATCTCCCCATTCGCTCCACTTCTGCTGATACTGTACTGAACAGTAGACGTAAGATGTCACTAATAATTAACTATCGTTGGTCTAACATTGAGGAAGGAAAACGAACGAACCAATTGAATTCATCAAAACTACGGAACAAAGACGTTACTTCTCAGATCAAACTTTTTTCTAGTTCATTCAATTTAAGAAACAATGGGATCTAGTCGAGAACAACAACTCGTTGATAAAATTCGGCAACTATTGCCTGATTCGAAAAAGAAATATATATGGACTGATATTGAAAAAGTAGACTTTCTGACTCATTATCGTTAATAAAAAAAATCTATCTCTTGAATTTTTATTTAGACCGACAAATTACAAGATTTAGCATTTGAACTTACCAGTGCTTATTTTGGTGATTTTTTTGCTACTCAACAACAGGCACTGATCGATCGCCTTCAAGCAGCTGCTTGTTTTTTGTAAACATTTTCTTCTTTCGTTCATATAACATTCTCTTCTGTTTTCACTGTTTCATTTCATAGAAATTTTTTACATACGATTGCTGATTGTGAAAATGATGAAGCTGAAGCAGATGAAGGTCATTATGGTCTTTGGCTACTTACAGTGTCAAGTATGTTGAAAATGAATTGCTTAAACTTGCACATGATACATATAAAAATATAGATCAAGAAGAACGACTGATGCATTTGAATCAATTGGCAGATTGCTTACTTTTATTCAAACGAACAATGGGTTCAATTGAAGCTCTTCAAAAAGAAGATGTAAATCTCTTTGAAAATAATTATACGTAGCTAATCATGCAGAGAATTTTTTTTTATAGGCATCATTACGAATGGAAGCCAAAAAGATTAGTAGTGAAATCAATTTTTATCACGAAGAAATTGCATCAAATAAAGAACAAATTGAATTAGTAAGATCTATTGACAAGAATACAATATGTTGTTATTGTTTTTTTCTTATTTCTATTACATCAGTATAAAACTGAAATTAAAAAACAAACAGGAGTTAAAGTAGATACAACAAAACAAATTGAAAAACTCAATGGTGAAATTAATCGTACACAAAACAATTATGGTCTTTTGGAAAAAACTGATGTATGAAACCATTTTTCCCGTCAACTATTTTTCATAGCTTTATGTTTAGAATGAACTTGATAGTACACTAGAAGCACTGAAAGGTCGAGAAAAATTATTAGAAAGTCAATTAATGGTTTCATCACTTAATGATATTCTTTGTGAAAATGGAAATTATCTAAAAGAAAATGCTAAAGTATGTAGTTAAGAGATTTATTCTAACACAAAACTATTACAAATCATTGAATTAATATAGTTGCAAAGTGAAATTCATCTTATGAAACATGCTCGTCAATTACAAGATGATAAGCAACACAATGTACTTGAGCCAGCTATTGCTAGTGTTAAATCTATGTGTGAACAACTTGATGGACTTACACCACGTGCTATTACTATTCAGTAAGTAATAATTCATTCTGTCAGAGATATTTATATTGTTTATTTGTTTCAATAGAAATCTTTCAAATAATATTGATCGTCTAACGCGAGATATTGACAGTACAAGAGAAACAACTGACAAATTACGTGTACTTAATCCAATTGGTACAGAAGATGATTCATCATTTACATCCATGCTTACGAATGCTCAAGTGTTAGTTGAAATATTTCAAAAAAATACATTTGCTTGATTTATTTTTTTCACTTTAGTGAATTAGCTCAACAAAAGGAAAATTTGGATAAACGTAATGCTGAATTTGAACGTGCAACTGTTGCCTATGAATTAATCAAGAGATCAGTTGATGATCCAAATTTATATAAAGATGTATATACAATGGAAAAACGTGTAGAAACTGCTAGACAACAAGTAAATAAATATTTCATTTGTATTTACTAACTTATCTTTTTCCTATTTGTATTTAAGCATGATCAAACAAAAAATAAGATGATTCAAGTTATGACTGATGCGCTAAATGTTCTTTAACAATTTATTTTATTTTCTTTGTCTTCTATATTATTAATGTAATTTTGAAATAGACTCTACATACTCTTTATCCTAGGTTACTACTTAAGAATTAATAAACGATCGAATTAAATGCTTACGTCAATGTAAGATTGTTTTTTTCTGATCCCAGTTTCAATGAATGTTTTCAATAATTACACAGAATCATAGGTTTATTTCAGGATTTTATGTCACATTACGGTGATTGAATTTTTTTATTATTTAATGATTGAAAATTTTACATCTACTCAGAGGAAAAAGTAAAATATCGTCAACAAGAATGATGAAAGGAACAATACGCATATTGTTAAATTTTCAGGTTGAACATATTTTTGATTGGCAAATATTTTATGACATTCGTCTGACGTAATTTCTCAATATAATAGAAGTGCTGCTTCAAAGCAACGTCAACTTGATCCTCATAATTTCTTATGTTGTCATTCCCATTTTATCACGTTCTGCACAGACTATTAATTCAAATTACCTAAGAGTACTGCTGATTTTGATGAAACCAAAATTATAGTATTTAGCACAAGCAATATATATGTATATTAGAATATTGATGTTTGAAAATAACATCTTTAAATGATCGTATTGTTTCTATATAAACCAACACACTTCATTCACGCTGATTGTTGTAAATATTTTTGTAGATAGCTTCATCATACTCTAACTTATCAGTTCTCTGAAAACATGTTGCTAATGATGGGAGTCAAATAGACAACATATTTTTATTTTTAAAACCGAAAGAAAAATGTATCTTGGAATATGCATACACAAAATAAAAGAACAATTCTGTTTGGAACGTTTTACAAAGAAAATCAATCGATTAAAATGTTTTAGCATGATTATTTTGAAATTCAGATCAGTCTGAATACCTACTTCTATACTCTCGTAGTTCATGAACTTTTGATGGAGATCAAAAAAGAAAACGTAGTGCATGCAATGTCAGCAACATATTTTAAAATAGATGAACACATCAGCCGTGTTAACTTGGGCAACGTGGAAAAAAAAGCTAGAATAAAAGAGAATTCTATTATACAATAGTTTCAAAATCAGATCAAAAATAGTTTACTATGCCGATTCAAGTTGAGGATTACTATAGGCTGTTGACATTCATGATTTACGTATAGTAAAGTGGATAAAAAGATTTCCGATGAATGACTAATAGAACTGTCGTACTTAGTAAAATTATTTCTTTGCTGGTGATGCTTGTCTTGCAAACTTGAGAGAAAAATATTTTTGTCATAACAGCCAGCTGTAATGTAGGTTATCTAGTGTAAATGAGAAAATCGATGAAATGCCATGAGATACCTAGTTCGAATTCGAATATAAATGAACAGCCAACTGCATGGTATCAATTCGAAAATAAGCGATAGAAATAGATTTAGTTTTATATTTAGTTTAAGATGGAGCGAACGTGGGCTGAGGGTGACTAAGGGATAACTGTGGGTGTGGGTGAAGGATACCCAGAAGGGGTGCAGGGCGGGTGGGGGTGGTTTCCAGGATACTTCAAATGTGGTTGTCAGTGATGAATACCATGGAGGAGTGCTCAAATGTGGGTGCGGGTGAAGGGTATATAATGTATTCATATGTCACATATATCGAAAAGTTAAACTAAAACTAAATCTAGGAATAGATTTAGTTTTAGTTGAACTTTTTCTTTTCTCCATTTATATTTGAACTCGAATTAGACAGCTACTCAGACAAAGTGTCACTAGCTCTGATTCTTTTTCTTTGTGAAAATCCCCGATCGAAGAAAACGGTCGTATATGATACAAATACGGCCCGTTTTACGTGCCGTATTTTCCCCGTATAACAGGGGCAGTAATACGACAGTATGTTCTATAGAATACGATAATATTACGCCGGTTTACGGTGGTCCGTTTTGGTCGACCTGGGGTAGCAGGAGCACGTATATATGCGTTTGTACTTCTCTGAATCATCAATATAGCATTCAAAAGGATTTTTTAGTGAGATTCTTAACTTTTTTCAGATATATAACAGTTACAGGAAAAATAACTAGAAAATAGGAAATTATAGAAGGCCCTCGCCATATATGTCAAACTTGAAACTTGAATTCAATTGAAAATTGAAATTTTCATCTTTTAAACCACTAGCATTCTGAAGAATCGTGACTCAAACATATATTGCTGTGAGTTGAAACTTGAAACTTGAAATTTTCTATTTTCAACTGAATTCAAGTTTCAAGTTTGACACTACTGAACCTCGCGAGATGTAGGAAATATAGGATCACTACAAAGCCTGGTTACTCATCGTGTCCACCATTACTTTTTTTTATGTATTGTTCTGTGAATAAATTAAAGAATTTTTTCGGTGGAAACTGTATAAGTCATACTTCACGTTGTGATTTTCAACATGTTAATTAGATAGAACTTAAAATTTTTGCCATTCCCTACATATTTACTTTATTTGTTATTTAATTCAATAAATGTTTCCATTTGGTTTGAAGAGTGTATTTAGCCGATCGAATAAAATATCCACTGCTCTATTATATCATGCACATAAATTTCATTTGATGGGTAATTGAAGCTTTTAAGTAATAAATACATTTACTTTCAACTTCGCTGTACAGATAATCTACGACTTCAAAAAGGTAATGTCTATTAAAAGAATTATTATTTCATTATTTTGTTTTCAGAAAAGAAACTATTTCATTAGAGTATGCCGACATAAAATTGGAATTTCAGAAAAATGAAAACTAACTCATTGAGGGAACATATTTGTTATCAAAAACTCAATTGGTTATAATTAAAATAAAGTGGTAACTGCATGCTATATAAATAACGATTGATCTATGATGAAAGAATAATGTCTTTTTTTGTTTTTACAAAAACGAATTGCAAACTATTTTTCATATTTAATGATATCATCTAAATCAGAAGCATTCATTTGTTCTTGATTTAATCTTCCTCATTTCAGGCCAATACGCGCTTCGACTAAAACTTTTAGTCAATAATGCTGCTCGTCTCACAAGAAATTATATGCAGTAATTTTATCTTTTCTCGATTTTCTCTCTTTTCTTTCTCCGTTGTACACGTGCCTTCATACTCAGTATACTTTCTTCTCTGTACGTATGCTTTCATACATAGTATAGCATTTAAAACAATGACTGATTTCATACACTTACCAGTTGATAAACTTGTTAAAAAGCTTTTTGACGATGAAAGACCAATTGATTTTGGATTTCTTGAATATCGTAAGTTTACATTGATTTAAAATCGATGACTTATTTATCTCATATTTGATCAGGTGATGAAACAACAAATGAAAAAAGATTTCATTATCCAGTACATCGTAGAACGGGTTGTAATACAACCTTTCAATCATCAAATGATTTTGAAAACTTAATTATCATATTTAGTCATATATATATATATAAGTTTCATGCGGTCGATACCGATTTAATCAAGCGCGACTATGACAAATGGTATCAAGAACAAAAAGTATGTTTACTTTTAAACTCTCAAAACTAGGGCGCGTACAAGTATTGCAAGTAAACGTTTTTTTTGTAACTTAAAAACGTACTTGTACTTTAACTTGTCTTTTCTCATGTATACTTGCCCTTGTATTTGCATTTAAGTATGAAAAACTACCTAATAATTTTACTTGGTGTATAAAAAATAAGTTGCCCTTTAAAGTTGACTATATCTCTTATATATCTTTCGCAATGATCGCGAAATCATTCCATGAAAAAGTAATTGTATTGAAGAATATTTCAATACAATGTTTTCTTTTATAAACCCAGTAGAGAACACTTGTAAATATAATCTATTTTCACCATTCAAGATTCTTCGAATTTATGGTGAAAATTCGCCAGCCCTAATGCTCTGTCTACTTACTATTATGCAAATACTGAATCATCGGTTATATTGTAAAAAGATATATTGTAAAAAGAATACAATAGAATTCAGATTCATGCTTTATACGCCAGAGTGGACTATGACTTCTCTGCATTTTCAAACTCTCGGTAGAATTTTAAAATATCGACTGAAACGATGCTTGAAATGTGAAAAAAACTTACTTATTTCAAGTTACTATACAAAGTATAAACTTTTGTACATGTATTATAAATGCAAGAGTTTTTGCCGTGAAGTAAAAGTAAAAGTAAAGTATATAGGGCTTTTCTCAAAATACCAGTATAAGTCCCATCTGCACCTGATGCATTCTTGTAATTTTACTTCTATTCACATAATTTCTAGTCAAAACACTTTCGTCCGGATTCAAATTATAATTGGTTCTTTTGGCAGAGAAAAGGAAGAAAGAATTATAATCTGTTCTAATTCATTTTGGTGAAATTTTCATTAACCTCATAATGGTTCATTATAGAGATCAACAAACTTCCGTAGAGTTCACTTAGGTTCACATTTCCCCCGTTGTTATAACACCTTTATTTATAATAGATAGTTAAGTGACGAACGAGAGCATAGGACTTTTAACTTCAAAAGTAAGTTCGAGTCTAAAGATGATAGAGACAAAGATAATCAAATCTGAATCCGAATCGGAGCTGAAGTTGCACTGTGAAGTCAAAACGTATGATATCATAGTTAGTTCTCTACTTAGTAACTATTACAATGGGAACATTTTAAAATCTTTATAAAGTTGTTTGAAAATTTTCTTTTTTTGGTAGAATTTAGCATCAATATCTCATTTCACAACTGATGTTTTAACTTCAAGTGACGTAGAAGAACTTTTTGATACATCATCAACGATAACTAAAACAATAGCACCACTTAAAGTGAGTTCATTATTTCTCAGATAACGCATATTACGTATCAAAAATATAATCCTTGAGTAATTTAAATCAAGTAACACATAAGAACAATGGAAAGTGTAACTTTTCATTTCAATTCTCTGTTATTTGAAATGTTATAATGATGTACGGATTTTGATATTAGATATGAATTCTTTTTTAATAGATTATTATTATTTATTTCGTTAGTTATACAAGAAATTGATAATGAAATATTCTTTGTGCTGTCATTTTTTTTTGTGACGTTCAATTTATTATCATTTATAACCCAGGTGAAAGAAAACGGCATAAAAACGATGTAAAACGTTAAAAAACGGCGCCGTTTTCCGTCAGCTCGGAAAACGAAGAGAATAGTGTTCAAAACGATGGCCGTTTTCTAGCAAAAACAAACGGCCCGTAAAACGAGCTGACGGATTACAGCGAAATAGGTTGAAAATTAATGCCGTTTTATGTCGTTTTATAGCCGTTTCAGGCCGTTTCCGATGGCCTTTCAGACGGCAGGATGATCCTCCTGGGAATGTTTAGATTTTCTTGTTCCATCGTGGGTAATAAATGCTCAAGGGAAAAAAAGCAAATCTTGGATCCCAGGATTATCATAGATTCCGGTGAATCTTGTTAAATCCTGATGGATCTGACAGGAGCCATCAAGATCTATTATGATCCGATGATCCAGGATCTGCTTTTCCGCTATTGGAAATCCTGTATAAACATAAAAAGAAGTCGAAAATTTCTATAATACTATTAAATTGCGAATAAAATAAAAATTGAAAATAAAACCGCTACTTGTTCATTTGTTTTTATTTCCTGAAGTCTATTACCTAATTTATCATAGAACATAAGAAAAGCATAATGGTTATACTTATTAGGCTGCAACAAATGAGTAATTCAAGAAAAAAAATTAGGAAGAAAAGAATAAAAAAAGGTCAGCAACATTGAACGACGCGGAGCTTGACCAATAGCAATCGAAGTGAGAATCAAAATGATGTGATGTTCTACTCAACAGAATGAAGAGAAGGGAAAAAAGAAAGAAACAATGAATATCGTAGCACAACATTGTGAACAACGATTGTTTGCTGTCGTTTACCAGTAGCGTTGAATTATAGTAGAAGTGTTTTTCCATTGATTTTATTGCATCTTCTTGAAAGCGTTGATTCAAATCTCCACGTGGAATATACAATAAAGAGCGAAAGTAATGGCTGAAGATCTTTCACCATCAACGTCCTCTGTAAGAGTTTCCTTTGTTTCTAGATGTCATATCAATTTACTGAAAAAAATACTATTTTAAGAAGAGATTTATGAAATGTTCAGAATTTTTATTTTTCTTATTTTTCTTTTGTTCCGTTTCTCTCTGTTATTCTTCTTTATGATTTTCCTACACTTGTGCTAAAAGGATCAATAAGATCACAGCTATGGAAAAATAAACAAAATTTCATTGCTCAAAATATTGAAGTGCTCTACTAGCGAGATCCATTTCTAGCAAAAATTACTCCGTCTTGCCTGAGTTAATAAGTATAGAAGTGTCCGTTTGAGATGTTCACCAATTGATGTTATTATGCATTGTTCTAGGATCAACGGGAAACAAAAGGTAATCAATATTTTATATTGTCGAATGAACTGTCGTCAAAAACAAATAGTGCCATTGCTGATTTTATCGCCGAAAAAATCAATAACAATGAACTGAAGGCAAAAATTAACTCCTTAGATGTAGGATATTTAGAAAAAGTTTCCAAAATGTAATTCTTTTCCTGCCTTCACTTTTCTTTCTCAAGTGAATCGTTTGACAAAAAAATAAAAAAATCACGATTCAAATGCTTTTTTTTCTTAATTTCATTTAATTATGATATACATATTCATGAATCATTGTTGATGTTTGTCGGCTGTATTTTTCAGTAGATTTTGAGATAGTGTTTCATTCTGATTTATTATTTGTAAATTCACATACAATAATTGAATCATACTCAGGTAATGTTAAAGTCTAGATTCGAGGATTTGTTTTCCTATAGGTATTAAAAGCAAAACGTTTTCTGAATCAGTGTTTGTATCTGCACCTACATATTCTTAAACAATCAGGTCGAACTACAGAATAGCTCTATTAAATCTTAAAATTTTTACTATAGCTTTGTTTGTTACTGGGATAGCCTTGAAGGCGTAATTCACAAAAAGATTTAGTAAATGTAACAAGAAAATAGAGGTCATCATTCAATATCTCTTATCTATGTGAATGACTATTCTCATGAGTAGTAGAAACATAGCTATATTTTTAGTTTGGCGTATTTTCGATAGGCATCTATTAAATATCTAATATATAAGATGAATTTTTTTTCTACTGATTAAATGAACCGTCTTTGAAATCTATAAAGGCGATACGGTATACGCTAAGAAAGATATATTTATCTAATCTTGTGTTCTAGCTATTCGATTAATTATGCTTTGGTATTTTTGTATACTAATCCACATTTTTTTACAAGCTCTTTCTCCATTTTATTTTCTTGTAGAACTTTATATTGAAGTCAATAGTACTCTCTGTTTCCTTTTGTAGACACCCAGAACGGTGTTTCCGGCCTCCGGAAATGAGCGGACTTAATTGGAACCGGCCAGGAACATGCATAAAACGCACCTGAATGTACAGGAAAACGCCGGATATCACCGGACCCTGGAAGCAGTTTTCCGGGACGGATTTCTCCGGATTTTCCCGGTGATTTCCGATGATTTCTGACGGGAACCAACAGGAACTTGGCGGAACATACAGGAAAAATCCGGAGATTTCCCGGTCCACAATACTGCTTCCGTGAAATCGCGGGAATGCGCGGGAACCGGCCGTTTCCCGGCCCGGCTGCTTGGACCCGGGCAAATGTATTATGGCACTGCAAAAAACTACTTCGTAAAAAGTTTGTCGAAAGATTTCTATCGGGTTAACATAGAATGCTTGTGGCATGGGTAATTTCTTCAAATCTTTCTTATATATAATTAGAAATAGATAGAATTTCTACCGAACAAATAATTTATTGTTTAATTTAAAATTTTAAGTTTTAGAAAAAATCGTTTAACTATTGAAAAGAACCAAAATCGATTTACATTTTACAGTTTAAACTTGGTTCAAATACAATGAACTTTTTCTGAATCATATATACTAATAGAATAAAATTGAATTTAATAAAACAAAATACTTGTGCTACCGTGGAAATGTGAAACTCCAATTTTTGTCAAAAACTGATTGATGTTCATTATAAACATTTAATTCAGGAATTCTTTGCAATGTTGACGGTGATTATTGAGTAAATATTAAAGATTTAATTTGTATATCAGCTCTAATTGACGATTGAAGTTGAAAATAATTTTTTACGTTTCTTTTTATTTTTACTCTAGGTGATTGCGAGAATCATTTTTTTTATTCGATAAATATTTATAGATACTTTAAACCCTTAACAGCCATCGGGGTATTCAATAGAACCATCATCTGCAATTACCTTTCAAAAAGAATTGTTTTGAAATATTTTAACAATCAACATACTTTTAATGTTACTATTTCATTGAGTTCATCAAACAGGGGTAAGTGGAGTAGCTGCCTAATTCGACTTCGAATATAAATGGAAAAAAAATCACTTTCATGTTTTCACGCAATCCTAAGTGAGCAAAAAAGAGGGCATGACGGGCGACCTGTCTAGTCTAAAACGTCAGTGTCTTTGTCTTGTCTAGTCTGAAATGTCAGTACATTTGTCTTGTCTAGTCTGGCATGTCAGTACATTTGTCTTGTCTAGTCTGAAATGTCAGTACATTCGTCTTGTCTAGTCTGGCATGTCAGTACATTTGTCTTGTCTAGTCCATATAATTTGATGCGAAAGTCAGGACTAGTCTGGAATGTCAGTACATTTGTCTTGCCTAGTCCATAGAATTTGATGCGAAAGTCAGGACTAGTCTGGAATGTCAGTACATTTGTCTTATCTAGTCCATCTATAAGTCATCGTCCTTTCAATAAACTTGGACTAGTCAGTCATTTCGGAAATTCCTGTTAGGACTAGTCCACCTATAAGACATCTTCCTTCCGATAAACTTGGACTAGTCAGCCACTTCACAAAATTCTGTCAGGGCTAGCCTAAGGAGTCTTCGAAAGAGGCCAAATCCAACATATTCCAGCGACAAATAACATAATTTCTTATACAGACTAGTCTCAGATTTATCGACGCTGTTATGTGAGTCAGTGATATCCCTTTTATCAATCAAGTCGATTTTAATTAGAAAATAAGGGTTTGTTCACGCTTGAACTAGTTTATGCAATCTGAAAAACTGCTGTTATGTCTAGTCCATTTTATCGAGAAAATGAATTCATTGCTTCTAAGAAAACAAGCACCTGTGTTGAAGTGAAACGAAATGTCGATGTGTACTATTTGTCATTTATAGTAATATTATGTATTTAATAATATATAGAATAAAAAAAATGATCTAACTAATAATAAAGTCCAATACTACTGATATGCTTGAATTTTAAAATTCACAACGAATCTAAATTGATAGTGTAACTTTCATTGACGAAAAGCATATGCAAATAATTATTTTCTATATTAGTGCACAACTCAAGTAGTATAATCAGAGTTTAATAACTATAAATGATAGTATCATAGCATTGAGAAGACTTGTTTATTATAAATTTGTCATTGGAGTAAATATGAAACCAACACTGAAACTAGTCTTTTTTTATGTTGTGTTTTTCATTTATTTGTGATATGCAGTCGAGCGACACCTAAATATTCACATATTTATCATTCGTTTCGTCATTAGCAACGGCGTTCTTTCATTTCATTTAAAAGATAGACAATGTTTTACAACGATTTTCTTGTCGCCGTTGATTGTTAAAAAAGGAAAAAAGATAGAAGCAATATGAAATCTCTTACATTAATTTAACATGCTTCGAATGATAGACCTTATTTTTCTCTCATGCTAATTATTATCATAGTACTATATGAGACAAGTGAATTTTCAAAATTTGTATTCATATTTTCTGTGATTTAGAGCCCTCTTTATTTTAAAGCGTATTATCATCATAACTGCATTTTTTCAGATTTTTTAATCAACTGAAGTCATATAAAAATGCCACACCAATCTGATACAGCTTCTCATTGCGTTGTACAATGGGAAGATAACAAAGATCAATATGCTATAGTTGATACGAAACGATCGAAAACTGTATCAACATTAAAAATTGGCATAACAACTTTGTTTGAAGGTTATAATCGTGAACGACGACGTGGAAAGATTTTATATCTGGGTAAGCTTATTATTGACACAACCGATAATATTGATCTTGGGTTATTACGTATGGGAACCGAAAAGTTTATTGGAAAACAAATGCTCAGAATGCTACATAAAATAGTTATCAATTAATGTTGCATATTTTTGCAACGGAAACATATTTATCTTATTAGTGAAACATTGTAATTTGATCTTGATTGAAGTTTCTTCACATAATGTTTTACGTTTCTTTCAGAACAACAAAGAGAATAGTTATTTTTTTCGGATTCTAAATTTTAGAATACATTTTTTACTCCTTAAAATATTGACGAAACTTTGGTTTCCATTTAGGTACGAAAAAAGATTGCTTAGCATATGGATTTGATATTGTAGAAGACGATACACAGTTAAATACCTACACCTGGAGTAATCCTCCAGGGCTTCGAGAACAATCTGATGATATTGCTCAAGCTATTCGTAATGGAAGTTTATCGTCATTTCAAAGAACAATATCGTCCTCATCAACAAACTCAACTGCATTGCCAACAAAACGAAAAGGAAAAGCAATGAATAGCAAAGATTCACATAATAACGATGAATCAACAACATCTGGCGATAAATTAATTCCACAACCTCTTTCACCTGAAATAATTAATGATACCACTGGAAATGCTGATCAGGATCAGTCATCAAACTCAAATAATTAAGCACCATGTGCAAATAATCAGTCGTCATCATCACCATGCTCAACTGCAAAACGAGGAGTGCTAACTTCGAAAACAAATACAGTGGCTGCATCACTTAACATTGACGCTGTATTAGAAGAAAATAAAATATTAAGGGAAAAAATCCTAACCTTACAAGATGAATTGTTGTATCAGCGTGAACATTCCATTGGTAGGTGTTGTTATTAGTACTTAATTTTTTTCTAAAATTATCTTGATCAAAAAGATCTCTTGATGATAAAATAAATAATTCCCATATTGAGATTGTGTTTTCTCGTCTTAATTGTGATAATACTACTGCATATTTTCGATCTACTAATGAGCTTAGACTCAACTTTTTTCATGTTATAACAAGAGCAAAATATATGATATCTCATATTTAGCTTTACCAAATGAAGAAAGCTATGATTATTTAAAGTCGATTTGTATTATGCATGAACAACTAAAAAATGATTGCCATAAACAAGCAACCGAAGTATGATGCACGACGAATTTTCTAAAAATTTAATCTCCTTCTGATGTTTATTTTTTAGTTAGGTAAAAGATTACCATGTAAAAATATCGAGTTGAAATTAGCAAAAAAAGCAAATGCATCGGCAACGATCAATAACTTAATCAAAGTTTGTTTTAAAAATATAGAATTAAAAAATATGTCCTATGAAAAATTAAAAGCAGAAGATTCTCAATTATTAGAAAATATTCATGGTATGTCGAATATTCATTTTCTTGTAAAAGTATTTTTTACTTATTTTTTTCTCTATACAGAATATGTCAAATTTATTCATGCTCCTGCAATTATTTCACAATCGATGTTTTCAGGAGCAATTTCACTTAAGTGTCGACATCTTCGTGGAGAAGAAAAGCATAAGAAAGATGATTTAACGATTCGAAAAGAAAATCGAAAGCAACAGGAAAAACAAAAGAAGTTTAGCAATGATGTCAAAGGTGGCCATCAAAATGATAATGATCTATCGAACGACATATTAATTGACGATATGGATGAAAACTAAGATGATGTCTATGATTTTTTTATAATAGGATGCGCTTTAACTTTGTTGTGTGTTGATATAAAAATGATTTTTTTTAATGTTTTAACTAGATCGTTGAAGAAATTATTAAGACTAGATGATAAATAAAATACAATAGTTAGCATAGCCATGATTCCAATTTCTAAAGATTGCTCTGCTGTAGAAGCATTGGCGTCAAAGTGATTTATGCTTATTGATGTATACTGATTTAAAAATCACTTCGAATCTGATTATAGAACCGTTGTTATCAATCGTGTTTTTAATATACAACCAACTATTCTTGTAAATTTCTGTTCACAAAAATTTCAGAATTTGTTTTATAGATGCCTTCTCCAGCTACTCACTATCGACGAAGAAGTGTCCTTTTAAGTCAAAATATAGGAAAATCGAGTAATTTAAAATTTCAGTCATCAAAAAAAAGTAAGAAATTCCATACCAAATTTTCTTCTTTATCATAAAAAAGTCTATTTTTCTTACTAGATACTTGTACAACAACACATAATGAGCAATCATTGATAAAACAGAATGGTAAGATTAGTCCACTTGTTTGCTTCTTTGCATTTTTGTACAGAGTTTGGTACTTATTATGATCGTTATATTGTTCTATGCAATATTCGAAACAATGATAGATTCAATAATACGTATTTCTGTTAGTTGTAGATTCATCAACATCGCATACTACAATAGCAACAACAAATACTGATGATTTGAATTTTTCGTTTATAAACACAAATAATTCAACTGGTGAGGCTTTTTTCTGTATTAGAACTACGCGTAAAATATTGTGTTGAATGCAAACTTATCAATGGGCTATTTTTTGAAATGCAATTGATGTGTTAATAAATATAACAAACTATATTTCATACTCAACATTATTTCTTTTTTTAAGGTTTCAATCGTCGTTCTGAACCAACATTACGTGATATTGCTGTGACAGCTATGATTTTTAAGATTCGTCGGTTGCAAAATAATCAAGACATTAATTCAATTTGTAAACTACTTGATTCATTATCTGTTAAAAATGTGCCGAAAAATATGAAGTCAATTCAGAAACAACTACACAAAGATTTTGACTTGAAAGATCTTTCTAAATGCTATTATGTATGTGGTGCTTGCGGAACATCAAATTTAGATCATATAGTTAAATGTAAATTATGCAATGATACCAGTATTTTTAAATTTTATTCATGTTCGATGAAGCAGCAAATTCAACAAATGCTATCCATATTTGGAATTTTTACTAAATTAAAAGAAGAAAAACTACAAAATATACACTTGTTTTCTAGTACAAAGTATGGAGAAATTCTCCAAGAAATTGAAGAGAATGCATTTACTTTAATGGTCAATTTCGATGGAGTTTGCACTCCAAATAAAAATTTATCCTTATGGCCGTTCGTCTTTTGTTTTAATGAATTACCAATTCCAGATCGGCGGTATTTGGAAAATATAATAATTGCTGGAATTATACCAGCCGCAAAAAAACCAACCAATGTTGTAACTAAAACCTGTTTAGATATTATCTGTGCAGAACTAATGCAATTAGAACTTGGACAAGAATTCTACATCAGGGATATTGATGAACGAAAAGTTCTTCATTTCTATAGCATAGCTAGTTGCACAGATCAACCAGCTGCAGCACTATTAGAAAATGTTGTACCGTATAATGCTGAGTATGGTTGTCCTAAATGTTTTCATACAGGTATGTTTATTGATATAAATCATTAACTTGAAGATCATTTTATGTCATATTTACAAAGTTTTATGAGTCTCAGAAATATATTAATGAATAACTTAAATTGCTTATTAAGATGAAATCTTTTTTCTTATTTTTTTCTAGGTGAACTATATCATGGACAACGGAAGGCTGGTGCAAACGAAATTAAATTTACAATACGTGTTTATCCATTTATTGATTATCAACTTCGAACACAAGAACGATCCCTTCAAGCTATTCAAAAACTAATTGATTCTTCAGTACAAGATCAGGATACGGCTTTGAATCGTAGCAACAAACAAGTAAAATCAAAGACAAAGAAAAAGAAAAAAGAGAAAAAAATATCTTCTTATGGTCATCTTGGTAAGAATTAATATAATTGGCATTCATCAAAAAATACAATCTGATTTGAATTCAAAATATTTTCGACTAAAGCTAGTATAGTAAAGAAAATGCTTCATCAATGCCTTAAGATGACCAATAAAATGCCGAACAAAGAAAATTATTTCGAGAAGAAGAATTGTGTCTGTGAGTAAAACTCAAACGAATTCGGAGATAAAAGTGATTGAATTCAAGATATGAAAACAATTATACATTTCAAATTTCACAAGCAATGCGAAAACTTTCAGTTTTCAATTTCATTGAAATGATAATTTGTTTTGATAAGTTTCATCTTTTTTATAATTAAATGAAGCAAAGAAGCCAACATAATTTATAAATGCTTAGAATATTTTTTTTCAATACCAATAGCTTTTTCAAGGCATGAAATCGACAGACTGTTTATGTAATTTGGCAATCAGCTAGTCTATGTATATTATTTATATCTTTATATTTAGCGTTCAATCTTCTATTAGACCAATATAGAATTAGATATTAAATTTATATTTATTTTATTCCAATATAGCATGTCTATTCATAGAATTATTGAATATAAAGCGGATAGAAATATCTTTTAGACTAAAATCGTCAATTACCCAACAGGAAATAACACAAAAAAAAAGATTTTATTTTTGAGTTCGTATTGTGAAAATGAATGAAAATTTATTTGCATCTGGTCTATCAAATACACATATCGATACAAGTATATTAGTAATTATATATGTAGATGAAGATCATTGTATGATAAACGGTAATCATGAAGTACTAGTATTATGTTATTTAATTTTCATCAAATATTCGATTTCGTTAAAAATAAAATTTTCTACTCTCTATTTCATAGGTTATTGTCCATTAACAAAATTAAAATATTTTAAATATGGAACATCTCTCCTAACAGATAGTCTGCACACAATATATGGTGGTGCATTCAAGCAATTGCTAAATCTTCTATTTGATTCAAGATATCGTCAGAAAACTTGGTCGTTATTTAAGAAAATACCGCAGATAGATGATTTATTGGCAGTAGTTCAAATTCCATCAACAACACAACGTCGATTTCGGTCACTCAAGCACATTTCTAAATACAAAGGAAGTGAATTTCGTTGTTTGTTTCATTTTGGTTTAACAACGATAGTACAGTGTACACATGATAATTCACTAAAAAATTTACTATTAGCATTTCTCACAGCGATTAACCTTGCATCAGCTAAATATGTCACAAATGAAAGTATTGAAGTTGTTAGCATATTATTACACTATTTTGTGAAACAATTCCAATTAATATTTGGTTTACGTCACATGAGTTCAAATATTCATTCAGTATTACATGTTCATGAAAGTTTAAAGTTTATGGGACCGTTATGGTTTTATTCAACGTTTTCATTTGAAGGTAATAATATAATAGCACTTTAAGATTTATTGAGACTTTAATTATAGGAATCGATAAAGACTTGATAAGTACGGTACATGGCACAACTGAGTTCGCCAAACAGCTTATTCGACAACATATTTTATATCGTGATGCTATTATTCAACATAATAATGACCGTTTTCCAAGGGTATTATTTACATTTAACGAACACTTAATGAATCGAAAACAAACAAAAATTCATTATAAAAATTTTGCTGATTCATGTTATTTGCCGTATCCTGTATCCGAAACATTATATGATATCAGTCCGAATGGTATCGCAACCAATGTTCGATCGTTTTTTAAAGAAGACATAACTTTTTATCATTCTATAACTGTATCAGGTGTCTTACTGAAAACTACTGTCATGACTCTTGGAAAATTAGTCAGTGATAGTTGTATTACATTTCAATTTGCTGACGATCAAATACGTTATGGGCTTATTAGAGCTATCATTAAGTCGAAAAAGAACGTTGTTCGTTTATTCATCGAAGAACTCATAAAAAAGAAAGCAGAAGAATCAAACTTCAATTTTAAAATAAACGATGTACAGTATCATGTGCCAAATATACATCGACTACGACGTTCAAACATTTTTCATTTGAAACATCCGAAATGGATTCTAACAAAAAATGCTGTTATATGTAAACCTAGTAATCAGATCATTGTTTTAGAATATCCTAACTTGAAAGACGGTAGTTAAATAAAAAATTCGTTTTACAATTTAAATACTATCTAATTCTTAAAAGCAATTTTCTTAATCTACTCTTGTGCAAGACTAACTCAATTCAGTTGAAAAATAAAATTTTTTGAAATTGGTAAATATTTCTTATTAGTTTATTTGTACACAAATTTTTATATCAACTCACGAAAAATATTGAATTATCAAAGTACCAGAGGTTGAAAGCAGCGTTAAAAACGCCTAGATTGCTGAGCCATAATCTTCCACATCATTTGGCTCAACTGGTTGACGCAATAGGTATGTAACACAAAGTATGTAAGTTCGAACCTAACCTTCATCTATACATTTCTATCATTTAGACTAGTCTGGACGTCACTACTTGTCATCAAGAAGATGGATTAAAGACGGTAAGGATGACTAGTATCAGATATATATACTATGATTCTGAGCATGATGCAGATATCGAATTTTTGAATTTTTGGAGAATTCGGACGATCGTCAGGACTATCCGTCATGACTAGTCAATATCTCGACTTTTCACTAGTCTAAGACGCGTCTTTATTGAGAAAAAGACTAGACCTATTGACTATTACGACGCCCATCAACTGTGTGGTCCCGATGGGCTTTATGGACGCTTCAGAATGTCGGACTAGTCATGTACTAGGACATTTTGAGAAAAAGACTAGACCTGTTGGCTATTATGACGCCCATCCACTGTGTGGTCCCGACGGGCTCTATTGACGCTTCAGAATGTCGGACTAGTCATGTACTAGGACATTTTGAGAAAAAGACTAGACCTGTTGGCTATTATGACGCCCATCCACTGTGTGGTCCCGACGGGCTCTATTGACGCTTCAGAATGTCGGACTAGTCATGTACTAGGACATTTTGAGAAAAAGACTAGACCTGTTGGCTATTATGACGCCCATCCACTGTGTGGTCCCGACGGGCTCTATTGACGCTTCAGAATGTCGGACTAGTCATGTACTAGGACATTTTGAGAAAAAGACTAGACCTGTTGGCTATTATGACGCCCATCCACTGTGTGGTCCCGACGGGCTCTATTGACGCTTCAGAATGTCGGACTAGTCATGTACTAGGACATTTTGAGAAAAAGACTAGACCTGTTGGCTATTATGACGCCCATCCACTGTGTGGTCCCGACGGGCTCTATTGACGCTTCAGAATGTCGGACTAGTCATGTACTAGGACATTTTGAGAAAAAGACTAGACCTGTTGGCTATTATGACGCCCATCCACTGTGTGGTCCCGACGGGCTCTATTGACGCNTTCCGATTCAATTCCGGAATTCCGGGAATCACTGCCGACCAATTCCATCTAATTCCCAGAATTCCGTTTATCCCTTCCGATTCAAATCCGGAATTACACGGAATTCAAACGGATTCCGCCTAATTCCCAACGGTTCCGGAATTCAGTGCACTTACACTAACATCCACATCCACACCCACACCCACACTTATGGCAACACCCACACTTATCGCAACACCCACACCATGCAATTCCGGTACGGAGTTCCGAGAATTAGGTCGAACAGGAATTGGTCGGAATTGAACGGAATTACACGGAATTGCTAGGAATTCCGTCTAATTCCCAGCGATTCTGTATTGACCTAATTCTGGAATTCCGGACCGGAATCGGATCATCACGAAATGGGTAAGACAAGCTAGAATAGTAATACAAGTTGTAATTCCGGAATTACTAAGAATTCCGTGTAATTCCTAGGAATTCCCAGTGACTCCGCTTTCACCTAATTCCGGAATTAGACTGAATTCCGTGGAATTCCGGGAATCGGACGAAGCAATTCCGGAATCGGGCAGTGTTCATATTTGGCCTAATTCCGGAATCAACGAAACTGATTCCGGAATGTTCAACATTGCGGAATTGGATGACTGCTCCATCTTATGACCTGGATGTATGATTTCGTTTTATTTCGTCGTTGTTTTCTTTCTCTCTGCTTTCTATGGTGTTACTATAAATAGGCGGTGTCCATATTGGTTCACATTATTAGAATTCCTTTTATTTCGTTCACTTTTATCACAAATCGAATGGTATAATTTTTAGAATAAATCATTTAGATAGATATTCTTTGTATAGAAATTATAACATTGCAGGGTGTGGGTGTATGTAGACCCGTTGTCCGCCTTTCCGAGCACTCACACTTGCCATGTTGTGTTAGTGTGTAGACCAGCGTATGTCCGCTTTTCATCACACCCACACCGACAGTCTCTCACCAAACCTTATAATAAGTAAATCTAAATATATTCCTAACTTATAAATGGGAGTGAAGGTCAATTTATAGATTTTATAATTTATAAAAAGTAAATCTAAATCTATTCCTAAATTATAAATGGGCTGCGAATTTGACGATCTTTTCCTTTGCACTGGGATAGTCTTTAAATGGTCGCGATTTTTTTCGCTTATTTTCGATTTGTGATTAGTTATTAGATGTCGATTTATTTTCGAAGTCGAACTAGGCATCTCATGGTTATCATCGGTTTCCCACTCTCGGACACGAGAAGTTCATGATAAATGTTTCCCATCGGATGCGTGAAGTAAATTTCCGTCGGATTCCGACACTAAGGATACGACTGTAGGTTCTGAACCAGGATTCTATTGAAATCCGATGGGATCATACAGAAACTCTATTGGACCTGATCGGATCTTGTCGGATCCTATTGTCGGATTGAATCTACTGGGTAAATGAAATTCATTTGTATTACAAGGATATTGTCAAAATGGCAAGAAACAAGAATCATATCGGAAAAGCAAGAAAACAAGAATCATACCGGAAAAGCAAGAAAACAAGAATCTTGCCAGAAAGACAAGATCTGTTTTTTCAGGCAAGAATCTCCCAGGTCGATCAAAACGGACCACCGTAAACCGGCGTAAGATTACCGTAAACGGTCGTTTTTGCATCGTATTCCGCCGTAAAACGGCCGTTTTAACAGGGGCAGTATTATGACTGTACACGGACACCGTATATCAGTCGTAAAACCTTGTATAGCAGGCGTAACATTATCGTATTCTATAGAACATACGGCCGTATTACTGCCCCTGTTATACGGGTTAAATACGGCACGTAAAACGGGCCGTATTTATATCGTATACGACCATTTACTGATCGTTTTCTTCGACCGGGGCTTGTACAGAAGGAATGATAAAAGAATCTTGTCTTATGTTCAAGAAAAACAAGAATCTGAACAGACCGAAGGCAAGATCGTCGACTAGTGCAGGATGATGTCATCATTGTAAGATGCAAAAAGAACAGAAATTCAAACTCTCAGCTTCATTCTAATAAAATTATGAAATGTGACATGAAGAAATATTATAATTCGTAGTCTCAATCGATCGATGGTAATCAAAGAAATTTGACATCTTAAAAATGTTTGACATTTCAGACGTCCCACGGGATGGGAAGGGACGACAAATGTTTCGTCTCATCCCATCCCATCCCACGCGGAGCTCTGGTGCAGAACTTAAATGGTATCATCCATAATTAATACTTCAAAAAAAAAAAGGAAACGAAGCCAATTTCATTCGACTATTGGGAAATTTTGTCGCAAAAAAAAGCATGACTTACTAACCTATTAACTCTTCAGTCATAATCAGTTGATAAATATTTGTAATATCGAAGCCGAGGAAGTCTGATTATTATGGTAAGTATCCAAGTTCTCTTCAAGTTAATAGATTCTAGTAGCCGTCTGTTTCATAAACTTACACATTTAACATCTGTTCGATGGAAAAATCATATTAAATAGATATATATATAGAAGTTATTTCTATACTAATTTAGTCACTCTACATTTTTCAAAGTTAGCAAACTTGACGCCTTTTCTTTTGATTGCTCAGTATTTATCTTAAAATAAAAACTATATATTACCTATTGAAAACAGTTCACTATCATTCATTATAATACCTTTATCCATCCATGAAGACATCAACTTACATAAGCATCCTTCTTTGGATTGTTTACGTGTTTATTAAAATCGGTAAGTATTCAGTTTTCTTCCCAATCAATAAAGTTATTCATAAAGTTATTCCAATAGATAAAAGTCATTCATTTGATTTTCAAAACCAAGATGAAATCGATGAAAAAGTCATACAACATGATTATATTGATGATAAAAGTTCTTCGGTCGATGAATATGGATCAATACATAAACCGTTTTCAGTGCCGAACCATCCACCATTGAATGTGCATCGTTCAGAATCGGCAGAAAAATATTTCGGTTGGGCTAATAAAACAAATCGTAAGCTATCTAAGATAAAAGCAAAGCCTTATTATATACTATTGTCTCCTATTTGTAGGCCCTGTAGAATATTTTCGTGCGCGACGTTTTTGGCTCTTCATGAAAAAAGATGACCAAGGTGTACATCCTGAATCGGTATCTGGTGCAGGTGGATCATCAAATTCATTGAGTCAAGGTATATGGAGATCCGGTATTGTTGGACGACGACGTCGTCGTTAAGAAGGACAATAATAAATTATAAAAAATTCTATTTTTTTTTTGTATTTCTCTCACTCATCTTCGCGTGCGATTTGTTGTGTTGATCAAAATAATTCATCTTAAATGAAAAAGCCTGTAAGCTGAATATTTTCATGGATTTTTGCAACAGAAATGAATACAAAGATCAAGGTTAAGATTACCAAAAAAAAAAGAGACAACATTTCGTTCATTTTTATAATGAATATAAGAAATGGGAATGATGGATAGAGATTCAAAAAAGATAGAAAATAACAAGTTTTTTTCGATTACATAACTATGTAGAGCCATTTATTTTTCATTAATAACTTGTTTGAAAGGTGTACATACGATAGATCTGTATCATATACGTATCAGATAATAATTTATTTGAGACAGGCATTGAACTCACTTACTCTAGTTTAATGAAAAGAAAATAGCAATATGTATATAAATGGTTTGAAACTTTTCTCAGTCTTGTTCGCTATTTCTCTCCATGCCATTAGATTGATAAATTGTTTTTTCCTATAAAACATTTTTCTATCCAATATCTTTTGATACATATTTACATCATCAATTCTAATGCATGATAAATAAATGATATAATTCTACAGCAATATCTTATAAATCTTACTCCAGTGATAACTTGAAAACGAGATTTCGAAGTATATTGAATACTTGATTTATAGCGCGATTGTGTTCTAGATAATGATATCATTTTTCAAAATTCAAATATAAAACAATGACAGTGCTAGAGCGAAAAATACTCACGAACATCGTTCAAGCAATAGATTTTTTTGAATGACAATATTCTATTGTTGCCTACTGCAAAATGCGATTAAATAACTTAAAGCCTCCAAAAACAAAGAACAGTTTATCAAATTTGCAGATCTCATATTAACATCCGTGATCCAATGAGTTTTTATGGCGGATACTAAATGATGGCATATTGAGAGTTTTCAATTTGTTGAATTATAAAATGAATACTCAAACAAACTCTCTATGCCTTCCTGTTCTTAATCGTACTTTAACATATATTCAAACTCAAGCGATACTGCACGAAACTTTATTTAAGCAAAGAGTAGTAAATCTCTATTCAATAGCGTTCATGACTTTTTTTCTAGTTTTATTTTCATTTAATTTCTGTAGACTTTGACCAAATTTTCCCAACAGGGAATCTTTTACAGAACATTTTATTACAATTAAAAAGTTTTATATGGTCCCACTAATTGGTTTGATATTTTCTTGTTTTGTTTTCTTGTGCAGTAAGGTCTATTCTACTTGATCTTCTATATCTTTATAAGAGATAGTTTGATAGATTTTCCATAGCAGATTCATGCAGGTTGAGTTCAATCTGATCGTTTGTTGGTGTCTTACATGTGACATTCGTGCGACAGTACTTCACGTAATAAAGAAAAACGATCTACCTGAAGTGTTTTAATATTTGACTAGCATTGTTGTTATCAATTTATCATGCTTAATTATATTTTTACGAAAATTATCAACGCAGAAAGATTCATAAAGTCTGATTGATAAGTAAATTTTCGGGCAATATTTGTTCTTTTTTATGCCTGTCAATGAATTCGCACACTACTATTTAATTCATCAATGGATCACTTGGCTGTCGATGTGTTAATAATTACTATGGCTTCATTTACGGAAAAGCATAATTAAAATTAACGGAAATAATATCATGAGAGTATATTCGTGATGAATAAAGAATTAGAAAAAAAGCTGTTGATTAAATTTCACAGTTCTGAAGAAGGTTCAAGAAAGACTAACTTTTTTTACTGAAATTCTTCATAAAATTTTCAAAACAATTCACAGTATGCATAAAGACACTTTTCAGCGGATTTGTCAGAAATTTAATCACTGAAAAACGTTTTTGTTAGCAGAAAGTGACAAAATATTTACAGATATGCTATGAAATCGGTGAGAGGACTTGAAAGGCTAGCCTATCTAATGTTTCTTTATTGAGAGCCATGAAAAATAGTTCAAAATCCTTTCTGAATAATGAAGAAAAGCGTAAATATTTTCTTTAATGTGATGCTTTCTTTCAATAAATTGATTCATTTTCTTACCTCAAGAACATGCAGCCTAATGAAACTTTGCAGACATACTTTATTGATGCCACTATCTATTTTATTTTATTTTTCATTGGATTTCAAATGAAGTAGCTAGTAAAAAAGGTTTAATTAAAATATTATTTGATGCGTTTAGACATCAGCGCAGAAGATCTTTTCCAACAGTCAAGGATACAACTGTGATTGAATATATAAACATAACTTTCAGCTATACGTCAGCAATAATGTAACATAAATGGTTTGTAGTTGTATCTTTTAACTGGCTCAATCATTTGTAAAATCTTATGCAGAAAGTTGAAATTTTTGAATCTTGAAATTTCCCATACCTTCAACTCTGATCATTCCGTTTTAATTAACTCAAATAAAATATATTCTACAACTTAATATTTCTATTATCTTATTACGTCAAAGAAAGATTAGATAACGTAGAATTTTCTCTCGGCATCATAATACGTTGAGAACTATTGTAGATTTTGACTAACTTGTAATTATACATGAATTGACTATCAAAATTATGATTATATGTGATGTATTTTAGTACATTAATGAGTCAAAGTCAAATGAGTGCTATTATCATCAAATGAATGTTATGAAGATTGCAAAGTTAGTTAGTATTTATGTAAACATGCTGAGAGAATATTCTATCGAGTTTTAGCAGAAATAGTCGCTTATTACTAAGTTTAGTTAAGACTAATAACCCTGCTTGACACTCGCACCGTGTTTATCATGATTCGTTTCTTTTATTGTGCATGCAATAGGTAGTCACTGGGTAGTCAGCTTATGAGTTGGCGAGCTATTTAACTCAAGAATTCAGACAATAATATTATGAGTTGTAATTACAATGATCTGACATGTTATTTGATATTTTGAAGTGTATTTTGCTTTTACGTTAAGTGGTGCAGGTGATAAATTGGTGCTAGTTCATGAGTCTTCATAGAGCGACTCGTGAACTACTTACTATACACTTATCAGTTACTAGAAGCAAAGCTGAGTGCACACGTTCATTGTGATCTAAAAACAATTTCTTTTTTGTAGTCGTATGTGCAAACACAATGTCACATCGAAAGTATTTAACATCAATTAATATATAATTACTACTCAACAGAGTAGTGAGATTGATAACAAAAATATACAATAATATGTGACGCCTGATTTTCATGACTTTGGATTAAATTTTATGTCAATAAATAGATAATATTGCCATTATTGACAACAAAATGAGAATAAAAAGTTCGCAATATTTCTTTTTCAAGATCTTACAAAATTCTAAAATGAAGATTGAAATTTGTCTGATCATTCAATAAAATAAAAATGAGAGTAACACGGCAGTCATCCTGTGTTTCTATACACTATCAAAAAGTGAGTTTTAACATTTAGATAAATTCAATAATTAAAAAGTAAGTTTCTTTCTATTGTCAAGTAACGGGACATTATGACTTTCTTATTTATCTATTACAGTTTTATTTAACTTCCTGTGCTTACAAGTTATGTCATTTTATTAAATCGATTTAGTGACTATGTTTGCACAGAATTAATAAATAACAAAACATCTGGAAAATAATCAAAACCAGCTAAACTTAGGTTTTGTCACATCTCATGATAAAACCTAATCGATGTATCCGAAACGGTCTTGATACTTCTGACTTCTTGAGTTGAAATGTCATTCTCGTTCAACATAAATTTGTTGAATAATATCTATTATCAATATTTGAGGAATTTTTTGATAAGAGTGCAACAAATCGGTAAGATAAGGTTTTTGACTACGCCTGAAGTGAAGCAGAATAATTGTTCAAAAAAGTCAGGACTAATAGCAATGTATGATCATCCTATAGCATTTGCAATATATTCATTATTAGAATTTCTTGTTTAGTCAATGTGGTTAATGATCGCATTTCAGTCCGCATACATGCGATTGACTGTTGACATAGTTCGATTTTTTGTGTTCGCAAAACATGCTGCGTTTGTTGAATAAAAATTCATTTAGTCAAACACAAGGATGTGTAATAATAATATTCTTTTTTATTAGCATAAAATAGAAAAATAAAAAAGTGGATAAATGTTTCATGTTTATGAAAGAAAGTCACCGTTTGCCTTATTTGACGAGAAAAAAATACTGTTTACAAATTAAAAGAAAAGATGGGCAATACGAGTAATATGGAAGTACTATGTGCTCATTCTATCCTGGAAACATATCAACAGACATAGACAAATATCGAGTGAAAGAAATCGAATATATACATATATACAGATATGCACCGGTATGTCTTTTTTTTTTAAGTACTGTTTAATTTTTATGAATTTATTAAAGTGGATCATGTTTTTTCATGCATTTCATTTTGATGTTTCAACTGAAGTGCCTCTGATTGTTCTCCAAGTAGACGGCTCTGTTCAAGTATTTGTTCATGATGAAGAAGATCAGATTTTTCTTCGGCTTGAAATAATGTCGCACGATTTTGGCTTTGATGTTCATCTTTTCTTATCCAATGTCCATAAAGGAGAAAAGCAATTGAATCGACCATTTTACGATAAGATTTAAATCGATAGGGATTTTCTAAAGAAATAAAGAAATTACAATAAAATTTTTATTTCAAAAGTTTTTCTTCTTACCCAATAACTCTTTTCCACGTATAGGCTGTGGTTTATAATGTAATGTTCTTAGACGATTTATTGACCAAATAAGTATAATATGTGCTTTAAGTGTTCTTTTAGGCATAAAATCTCTTCGTCGTGTTCGTTCAATATTAAAAAATGGATGCTGAAGTGCTTGCGCAGCTGTATAGCGTTCATCTGCATCAACAACTAATAAATGTCGAATTAAATCTTTTGCTGTTTCAGATACACCCTCCCATGCAGCTCCAGTCATTGTATATTGTCCATCCTTAATCATACGAAACATTACATTTTCTCTACGATTCCAAAATGGTGGTAAACCACTCAGTAAGGTATACAATATCACACCACATGCCCATAGATCAACTGGAAGGCCATATTCAGGCATATCAGCATTTTGAGCACGTTTTAATAATTCAGGTGACATGTAACCTAAATGAAAAAGATATGTTAAAGCAAAAAAGAAATTAACAAGTGATATTCACCAGGCGTTCCAAAAGAATCGTGCAATGTTTCATTTTCGCCTAGTTGAACAGCAAAACCAAAATCAGTTATTTTAATATTCATATTGGAATCCATTAAAATACTACAAATAATAAGTATTTTAAAAAAATGGAATCTATCTTTATTTTTGTTTGAGATCGAAGAAAATCACATTGTAAACGATAACAAACTGCATTTTTATTTAATCAATTTTCTTATCTACGCCTTACCGGTTAAAACAATGGGGAAAACTATGACTGACTGCGGTAAAAGAAAGCTAATAGTCAGGTTAAAGTAAAATATAGTACAACATTACACTATTTCATGTCGTGTAAAACGTCTTCTCTGAAAGTTGTAATCATGACTCTGTGCGATTAAAATTATCTTACTTCTCCAATTTTAAATCTCGATGAACAATACGATGTGAATGTAGATAATTAACCGCATTGAAGATGCTTGACATTATTTGACGAGTGCACTTTTCTAAAAATTGGAAAGAGTAAACCAAACAAGCATTAAAATTCGATTTCAAATAAAAATAACAAATGTAACCTGATAAACGAACTACTGTCGTAAGATAGTCAAATAATTCACCATTATGACATAGTTCCATAACAATAAATACGCACGTCGGTGTTTTAAATGATGCAACTACATTGATAATATTTGGATGACCACGAACTAGTTTAAGTATGTCAATTTCTTTTGATGAAGCATTACGTTCTGCTTGATTGTCGTCATTAAATTCAATTATTTTACATGCAAATTCTTTTCCTGTTCCTTTCTCAATGCACTTACGAACCACAGATGATAAACCTTTACCCATAACATTTTTTGTTTCGTATTTTTGATAAAATTGTTCAGCTAAAATTGAATATATGTACAGTGAATTTAAAAAATTGATTACACAAATTTTATTTCGACTCATATACTTCACAGTAGTTCATATAAATGATCCAACGAGTAACTTTGACTGAAAATTTTGCTTCTAGTCAAAGTTTTAGTTAATTAATAGGTCTTCAAAAATATTCTGAAATTTTAAAACTATTAGTCAAACAAGATCGTACTTATTTTTGAGGATACACAATTCGAAAGCAATTGGTTACGTAGAAAATGATGCATCTTCGAATTCTCTAAAATATTTTTCGACAAAGCTGTCACGAGAGTAAGAAGCAGAAAAACTGTTTTTCTCTGGCAAGCTGCGTAGATGTTTGATGAAAATTTTTTTTGTTACTTCTCTTAAAATTTATTTAACTCAGTACAATATTATCCGTAAACTTTCAGATATGCCGTTCAGCGAAAAATACATTTTTTTTTCAAACTCTAAATATTGAAGAACTATATTTTAAATTATGTAAAGATTCTGAATATTTAAGAATACTTTGAAGATGTTGTATTTTAGAAGCTCATGTTAGAAGCTACTGTCGTTCTTCAAATTCTCATTTTAATTCTTTATTCGAGTTATGATAACGAAAACTAAGTCGAAATCAAATTTTTATGATCAATGTTTGAATTTAATTTTTCTAAAGAATGTAACAGCCCATTAGATTTTATTTCCAATCTTACCGGTTTCATGGTCAGGTAAATGATAATCAATATCAAGTGCCATCATAAATGTCTTGTATTTCACAAAACGAGATCTTTTTACTATTTAATAATGCATTTGTCTCATTACATATCTAAAATGAGAAATTATATTTTCCTGCGCATCCATGTAATCGGCAATGAAAGACATAGAAGTTAATTAGTTTTTGTTTTTGTTTCATATATTATTTTCGCAAGATTTTAAATAAGCGAAATGATAAATAACATTAACAATAGAAATGTCATTTTTTTAAAATTTTAATTTTGTAGTTGTTCATGCGCTTGGTCGTTATCCTCATCATCATCACTTGCATCTCCTTCGCTGTCAAAGGAATTTTCTGGCACACTGTAGATCTACAAAGCAAATTATTATTTCAATGTCAAATCAAAGATAAGAAAAATGATGTGTCTTACTCGAAGAGTTGGCTAAAAAAAGAAAAAAAATCAAATTAGTTTAAGTAAATTTAAATATAATAGCATGTATTAACAAGAAGAGCAGCACTAGTATAATCTTTTTTTCGTTTATTTTTTAAATCTAATAAAACATAGCGACATTTTAAAATTTTATTTTTTATTATTGAAAGTTTACTAGAAAATCGCCACAGATTCGACCCGTATCGTCTATTATCAATTTAAGATGATAGTGTCAGGAGTGATCTGATAAACCCACTTACGTATGAAGATAGTTCTATCTTATTCTTGAAAGTATTACGCGTCCGATTAGAATTATTAATGAAAAATGTTTTCTCTTCGTTAACTTAAAATTCTAGAAATTCATATTGTTCATCGTCAAATTAGAGCCTCTTATTATGAGATATCTATCTTCCATAGTATGTACTTAGAAAAATTAAAAATTTTCTCGATTGATCACCGCATTATTAGAAACGAAAGGCCAGAGAACAAGAAATTTTCACTAAAAAAAAATAAATCGAACTAAAAAAACAACTTTTCAGTCAAAAGCTAAGTTAAATATAAACAGAATCACAAGTTATGAGTGAATTTTTAGAGAAATCCGATCAGAAATTGTTTGAAAATTTTTTACATAAATTATTAGTTTCAAAAGTTATTTTTTGTCCAAGTATGTGAACTTTTATGGTAGATACTTAAATATTAAAAAAAAACGAAATTAGACACAAAACTCTATTACAGTACTACTATTAATACTAAAAACAGATAAAAAATGTAAATATTATTTACCTTCATTGGATCTTTTGTAATTAAATAATGTCCATCAGGTTTACCCATGAAGAAGTCAACCAGTGCTAAATGATACTATGTTGATTGATTTTAGTTTCTAATTTTACAATGAATCTACCTCGTACGATACCCCAACCATTATCCGTGTTCAAAGCCATTTGTGTGGCAAATTCTTGCGGTTTAAAATTTTGCATACCAAGAATTGTATGACGTGTTGCATCCTTAAAATTTTGTCTTGATACATAGCCAAATTTGATTTGGTCGGAACCAGCCAAAATGGCACATGTTGTCCATTTAGCTAATTTAAATCCATTGTTACGTAATTCAGCTGCTAATACAGCACCTCGCTGCATATCCAATTTACTTCTCCAATCAAGACAACCACTACCCTAATGATTAAATAAAATTTTCAAATGATGTTATTTTAGAAAATAAATCTTTGTAAAATACTTTTGGATTCCATTCATTTATTGCTTTTATGTTAACAAATTGCTCTTCGCCATTAGGTCCAGTTTGAACACAATCTTGTTCACAACGAATAACAATAACTTGATTATTTCCTAAATCCCACGAACGATAACGATAAGCAACTGATGCAGCTTCGTTTTCTTCATCTGGTTGAATAAATGGATTCGGATTAGGAAACTTATATCGTTCATCATTCTACAAATAAAATTTAAATAAATTCAGTTCGTTTAATAATTGAAAATATATAAATATTGACAAACCATTTTAAGAACTTGTTGTGGAAAATTATGGTTAATAAATACTGCTTCCTTCCCTAAATTTGTTGCTGAATCCATTGTATCATCTTCTGGCGGTGGTTCATTGGCTGTTTCATTGACTGTTAGCATATCTATGAAAATAAAAAGCACGAGACACTTCTAATCAAAAAACAATTTAGTATTTTAAATTTACCGATTGCTGAATCTTCACGTTTATCAAAAAATAAACGTGAACCAAATTTCTAATAATAAAAACACAAACGTATATTTCGATTATTTCCAATAAAAAAGAAGTTATATCCAGATTTCATGAGCTTTGAATTTATGAAACTCTAAAACACATAGCTTCATTAACGACACTGACATCATATATGCAGAACTCTCAGAATATATGGAGTTCTTGACGAATATAGATTTTGTTGTGCGGCTTAATTGCATCAATATCTACAGTCATGCCAATAGAAAAAATATTCGATTGCATTATTTTGAGAGATATACAAGTAAAATTCTCCTTTTTAGGAGATCCAGCATTTCAGAATTGAAGAAATATGATCGTTACGAAACATAAAAGCCTAAGAAACTTACATCAACGACAATATCCCATGGATAAACAGATCTTGTACAACACATTAAAGTTGAAATAATAGCATCAGTAGCAAAAACATTTCCGTGTGTTTTACAAATCTAAAATGATTAGTAACAGAGTAAGCTAGAATCATTCTTTTTCTTCTGTGTGACTAAACCTTTCGGATAACTGGATCTTTTGTTGTTGTGATTTTATGTATTAAACGATTATTCATTGTTAGTTTCTTTTCAGATTTTGTTGATATTCGATCATATCGTTTATCATAATATTCAAGTGAACCACAAACACTCCTATATACACGTTATCGATTATTCTATGTTTATACGAAAACATATTATCTTACAATTCAGTTGGTTCACCAACATTTGGTAAACTTAATTTAGCTAAACTAATAAATGGAATTTCTTCAATCACTTGCCAATCTTCTCGTACACGTACAGATGGTTCACGTTGTTTAGCTTGTTGCTTCAAAATAAACGAATAAATATTTATGTTTTTCTGGTTTTCTGAAAAATAATTTTTTCTTACTTGTTGACGTGGATCATTTCGGTTTCCATATTGTTTTTGCCATTTACGCATTTGTCGCATTTGATCCCTAGTTTTTTTTATCAAATGAAAATTTTAAGTCAATATTGAAATAGTTACATTTCGAGATTTTTCATCGTTTTAGATTTTTTTTGTGTGCCAACAAATGATTTTTGCATTGGAGCAAACCGGCCACCTTGCATTTGTTGTGGACGAAAGCGCTATTACAAGAAAAATTATTGATATTCTGCTCTTAGATTATAATTTAAATATTACATTTTGCTGAAAACGTGCTCGCTTCTGATAAGCAGGTTTAGGTAGACGAGTTGAATCAACAAGTTGAAATGTATTTTCATCATCCTCATGAATATACTGATACATTCCAATACCAGCACCAAACTGTGATCGATATCGAGCTATGAACAAAAATTACATTGAAAATGAAATTTTAATTCAAATCTTTACCATTATTTCTTTTATCACCGTAGACTGCGCCTGTCCAATCAGCAATCTATGATTTATTAAAAATCAACAAAAAGAATTAAAAATAAATATGCACGTCATACTTTGCCTAATTGATCACTTTTTGAATAAGGTTGATAAGGCATGTCTTTATATTGAAATGTGTCATCTGTCGGTCCCCAACCATCTCTATTATCAACAACAATCGGTGCGTCAAAATGAGCTCCAGGCATATTTTTTAATTTTTCTATTTTTATATTGAATGAAAAAATCTAAAAAGAGCAATTCCTATTGTTTTTCTTCTCATAACTTTAATAAAAAAAAGCCAAAAAACCCGGTTGATGATTGATGAGTAAAAACTAAAACATGATAAAAAGAAAAGCTAAAGAATATAAGTTTTCTAAGTCATTCACTATCAGGATGTCATCAACAGTGGAGATGAAACCTGAACAAGAAAAAACTGCATTGAATATAATAAAAAAATGGTTTTTAAATTCGCCAACACATGGAATTCGACGAATTAGTATTGCTACTTCAATATTTGAACGTGTCTTTTGGTCATTAACTTTCGTAGTATTTACAACACTAATGTGCATTTTCATCTATACGGTTATTGTTAAATATATTGCTCACCCAACAAAAATTAACCTAAGTGTAAGACAACATCGTGATACGAAGAATTTTCCAGCAATCACATTTTGTAAGAAAATTATTCAAATAGAAAAAACAAGGAATATTATTTCATATTTTAGGCAATCTTAATCCTCTTCGAAGTGAGAAATTCATCGATGATGATCTATATGATCAACGAACTCCTCCCAATTCAAATCAATTTTATACGGATGACGATTACAAGAATCGATTTATTCAATATATGGGTAGACTTGTTGCTAAAAACCTCGAAAATAAACAACCAACAATTATTCCATCTGGATATAAATTAGACGATCTTCTTGTTCAATGTACATTTAATGGGCGAACATGCCATCGCAATTTAACATCATTTTTTCATCCAAATTATGGAAATTGTTATACATTTAATAACGATTATCATGTTGAAGCCATTCAACGTAATGATACATATCATTTTTGGTCAATTGATGATGAAAATACCGTTGAAAGTTATAAATTATTTCTTGAATTATATCTTCACCAAAATGAATATATTCAATATCTTGATGATCGAGCAGCATTCCGCATATTTATCCATCGTAAAGACGATATACCCATACTATCTCAAAACAGCTTTTTTTTAGCACCAACAACATTTACAAAACTTATTTTTTCTCAACGTATTATATCATTTTCTCAACAATGTCGAAATGATTTAACACCTGGCATGAAACAAATATTTAATTCACATGATATTCGATATTCACAAGCATTATGTTTTAAATTATGTGAACTTCGTTATATCAGAAAAATATGCCAGTGTACAGATCAATCACTTATGGTATACTTTCAATTTTTTTCTCAAAATAATACGAAAACACGAATTTCACGCATTCCATGTTCAACAAATGAAGAATGTCTGGAAAATCGCGCAACTTTCAGTAAATAATTTAATTGAAACAAAGGTACTATTATTCTATTTAATTACTGGTGTTGTTTTTTAGATTCACGGCAACACTGTCCTGACTGTTTACCTGAATGTGAAATAATTCAATATAAAGTTCAATCATCATTTGCTGCATATCCAAATACACGTTCAATCGAAAAAGTTTTGCAACGAGTAGATAAGCATTTCAAAGCAATGGGACAATCATTAGTTCAGTCAAATACATCAGCTTGTTCAAATAATCGTAAAGTTTCTTTACTTGATAATATTGTTGCTGTCGAAGTATCAGCCAGTCCTGTTGCCACAGAAATTCTAGCTGAATCACCAATGTATACATGGGTTGATGTTATATCAAGCATTGGTGGACAAACAGGTTAATCTATTTATCATAAAATTTTGCTGTTTAATCATATTCTCGATATTTAGGACTTTGGATTGGTGTTAGCTTAATAAGCTTTGTTGAAATTGCAGAATTATTATTTCTTCTTTTTTGCCATTGTATGGAAAAAATCTATCAAAGTATTTCAATTCGATGGAAACATTTTTGTCAACGATATATTTCGAAAAAAATATCGAGCAGATTTTGATTTGACTACTGTTGTCCTATGTAACTAAAATAAATTATGATTCAATATATTATAAAAAAAAATAAAGACAATCACGCACTATATTTCGAATTCAAGAAAACTTAAATCATCAAATCAATACCTGACTTGAATTGATGGAAAATAAATAAATTATGTTTTTGACATGATTATTGAGTTTTCGACAATTCATAAATAGATAATGAATGAATTTTATTTGACCACCAAACGTTTGTCAACTTACGTAACAGGGAAAAAAACATTTTAGTCGAATATTTTTTTTTATGAAACTGTAAAACACATTCTTGTCACTACTCCATTGAGATCACTTGTAGAATCCTACTAGTAAAACTACTGGTTTTCTAATGTATTTTGAAATTGACGACGCATATTTTGTCAAAATTGATTTCATCAAATTCAGCACGTGATTTTTCCGTTAGAATAACTCTTACAAAATCATTTAATTGCAAACTCTTGCTTTTCGTAGACTTCTATCAATTTATTCCATGAAATTTTATACTAAAATTAATATACTTTGGTGTCAGTGAAACAAAACGATGCGCTATCATCATTCCATGTAGTTCTGACTGAGATAGACTTGTTAAATCTATATACGAAGAAGATATTTTAATTCATTGACAAAACTAAAAATAAGAAAATTTTTCATCGAATCAAAGCAACTTTTTTTGAAAATAAATCCCGAAATTAGTCAATGCTGTGGAGTCTATCCGAAATTTTTGAACAAAGAATCCGTAATGAATCTCAATGACAACATACCTGAAACTTGACCAAATACTTCTTTCATATTGTCAAATATTTACTTGAAAAGTTATCTTTCGTTTCAAATGAAAAAGAAATATTGTGATATATCTAAAACAACAACAACAACATGTATTTCATAATAACATGTTTCATATTAAATTATTGCTTTTTTTAACATGAGAGGAAGAAGAATTTTTTAATATTTTCTCTTTTTGACGAGCACGTATTCTTTTATGTTTTTCTTCACTTGTCATAAATTTTTTTTCACGTAAAGATTTTTCCCATTCACGACGATGTCTCACATACAATTGCATTGTTACTGCAGCATCTTCTACCTAAAATACAACAAATTTTCTTTTATTGAATTTTATTAATAAAATCAAAACTTACTGAATCATGTGCACCGGTTTGAATTTTTAATCCAAGTATTTTATCAGCAAGTGCTTTCAATGAAGGTAAACCACCATTAAATAACGATCGAAAGCCTTTATAGCGTTGTGTATCTCGAATTCGTTTTTTCGGATGACTTAAAAATAAAACCTTAATAAATTATGAGACAATTAATTTCATTTGTATTGAATAGCTCTTTGTTTTCTAAATGTTTACTTTAAGATCATTATGTATAGCGTGGCCGACAAGTGTTCGGTGTTCAATTATATCTGACACTTCTTTTTGTATCACATCAAGAGGAACTCCTGAAAAAAAAATCTGTGAAATAAGTTTATAAAAAAAAAACTTGACAGACAAACCATTTTGAAGATGTTGTTCTGTAACTCCACTAACAGATGTTCGATAATCAATCACAGGTTCTGTAGGTTTAACGTATTTATCATAAAGACATTGACCAAGTTGATTAACAATTGATACACGAGCAAGCATATTTTCAAGACCCATCTCACCAATACCAACCATTTCACAATCGATACATACGGCTTTTGTTAATCTAATTCATTAATAAATCAAAATGAATCAATATCAATAAAGAGAAAAATCTTTTACTTTGGCGGTCGTACTGTATTTTCTGCCATTTCAATTTTTTTTCTCTTAGCTTCACCAACTGGTAGTGTTGTCTAAACAGATATGAAATCGTTTATAAAACAAATGACAAACAAAATACTCCAAGAATCATACAGCTAAATTTTTCCAATTTGATGAGATTTGATTTTTATTAATAACGATCGACATCGTGCTGCACAAAAAAAAGAAAATGAAAGTACTGAGATGAATTTTGTTCGTCTTCGTCTGGATTTTACATTTCGTAACATAACATGATGATTAACCAATGAAATCTTTCGAGCGACAAAAATATTATTTGTCAGTCAAATCCTTCTGTACGCTTATTGGATTGCTTACCTTTTAGCATATGTGGCGCCTTTCATCAACAGAGTAGATCGCTTGTATAGCTAAGTACTGCATGAAGCTTGAGTAAAAGTATACAAGGAACAATTTTGCTAATCGAAAAAAAGAGTTCTATAGAGCAATTCCTCCCTTAGAATTAACGAACATAGTCATACTTACGTTTTTAATATTTATATTCAAAACCTGCACATATAAATCAATATTTCGGAGAAAATTCTATAAAAAAAAGCCTTGTATTGAATTCTCAGTCAATCATTTAAGTAGTGATAAGAAGAATAACTACAAGTTAGCGTGACGATTGAATTCACAAGATCCACCTCTCGTTCACATATGATGTTAGCTAATGCCATTTACAATTATAATTTATTAATTCAAGTCTAAATAATTTAAGTTATTGTCATGTAGTTTAAGTTGTTTATGAAACGTTATTTCTTATTTTTTTGACTATAAAGCCCTGATATGTCCAATTCACAAACAGAGAAAGTAATCATAATACAAATCATTTTTAGCTTCACTAAAGTTTATATTTATATAGTTCAAGTCATTCATGATCTTTGCATTATTCATTTCATTTGAGTTGCTCTAACGTCAAAAGTCCAAAAGCATGAACGATTTTTTACTCGTTATACTTGGTGAGAGCTTTAGAAGAACAATGAATCACAAGAGTAGAATATATTGGTCTTAGCTATCTCTTTGCGTATGGTATGACAAGAAAGATCACTTGCATCGCCATTCATTGAAATACAGTAAACAATCTAGACGACTATCACCAGAAATCGAAAAGAGAATAAAATGATTTGACAAAGCATCCCTTGTACAATCTGCAATTCTATTGATAGTTGTAAGTGTTAAGTAGGAGTATTGCTGTGACTAAATGCATATACGTAGAAAGAAAGATATAAAAAGATATCGTTATTAGCATTTGCGTTGAAGATACTAGTTGTTTTATAAAACACCTGCTAAGTCACTAGACAATAAGAAAGTAAAAGAAGGCACATTTTTCATGATAAATATTTTGCGAGCAAGTTTATAAAATGAACTGAACAAAACAATATAAATGATGAAAGTTATCTTTGGTGCCATTTATCAATATTTGCTGAAGAGCCAATTTTATTAATTTAGCATATCTAATCTAATATATTAGTGAACAATTTATGAAAGTTTCTTGATTTACTGGTAAACATATTTTTGGTGTCGAGAAAAGAAATCTTTCGAGCCTAATCCAAGTCATGTATAATGTTTTTCTAAATATTAGTAATAAAGAATTATAATTGTGAGTCATATGGCTCAATTTTTTTATTTCTAACTCTTCGGATGATTCTTTGAGGATGTAGGGATGAATTGTTTATCTGTTGTTCATTTCATTTAGATATTTTTCCTTTAGATCAAAAGGAGTTCATGATGAATTTATCAAAATAAAACAAAACAATTATATATATATATTGATACGAACAAGCAGCCTTTGTCGAATCAGTATTTATTAAACTTTTTTAAGAGAAGAAAATAAAGAAAGAAGTATCTTCAGCAAAGCCACTTGATTCGTTATGATAAATAGCCAATGGAAATTTAACAAGACCAATAAAGATGATGAGATGGTCTAGAAGCGAATTTTTTCGTATTCTTTTTGCATATTTTGTTGAATGATGTTTCCGTTGTGTGTGTATGCTGCTGTTATCTTATGTTCTTTTACATCAATTAGCAATGGAAATGTCGAACAAACTGTATTACGTGGTGTCCAAACTTCACGTAAACATACGAATTTTTATAAATGAAAAATAATAATGCAATGCTGTTTTTAAATTTAGTTCTTTCAATGTATATTCCATCGAAACCATTTACTTGTCTTGATGGTTCATTAACAGTTCCATTTGAATTTGTTAATGACGACTATTGTGATTGTCAAGGTAAATTGAAACACATAATTTTTATTGAATGAAATATTTATCGGTTACTTTAGATGGTAGTGATGAACCAGGAACGTCAGCTTGCTCAAATGGACAATTTTTTTGTGAAAATAAAGGTTATCTTGGTACATTAATACCTTCACATTTTGTCGGTGATGGTATATGTGGTATGTAGTTTAATTTTTGTACATATGATTTTTTGACAAAAATTCTATAGATTGTTGTGATGGATCCGATGAATATGAGACTACTATTGTTTGCAATAATACTTGCTTGTAAGTATTTATTAAAGATGTTTTTTCTTTCTTCTATGAGTGAAGTTCATTTTTTATTTTGCTTCCCATTAAGATATTCGTCCTTTTCTTTGTCGCATTTCATATTTTAGTGCATCAAACAGTTCCTCTCGTTCATTAATATTGAATTTAACAAACAATTTAAATTTTTATCAATCAATGTTTATTTCAATATTTTCAACTAAAAATAAAAAAAGTTTTAACTTAAAAAAATCTAAATATCAAACCGCAAAGATTACAGCTAATGCCACTAAGATATTTAGTCAACATGGTTTATTAATTGATAGATATTTGGATAAAACAATGAGCGATGAAAATTATACGAATAATTTATTTGTAAAAAAATATTTCATTCACTTTTTTTGTATATTGTGTTTTATATTGTTGATATTTTATTATCGGGATAGCCTTTTGAAATCATTCCGAGAACGACACAAACGTTCCGTATTAAAATATAGTGTGTAATTTATGATAACTAGCTACTCAATTTTTGTTCATAAACTAATCACCTACAAATAATATCTTTATTGATCAAGAACTACATTCATGAAATGAATATAGATGTTATTTTTCTTCTAGCTTCGGCGTGTGCATATTTTTTCTTTGACTATCACTTCTTTTTAAATATCCAATTCGTTCAATACTTAAATATCGATCGAATAAAATAAATGTTTCTTTCTATTTAGTGAGTTAACTCAAAAATTTCAAGCTGGACGTGATGCAAGACGAACATTACATGAAGCAGGCGTAGCAAAAAAGAAAGAAATTATTGCAAAATCAAAAGCCATTACTTCTGAGCGACAAGTAAATTTCATTAGAAAGAAAAACCAACTAACTTACATAGGATCATTTATAATCGTTTCAGGAACATTTCAATGAGCTTGAACGAGATTTAAATAATCTAGAAAACGACCTGAAAGAGACGGAAAGTGAGTTCATTTAAGAAATTGACTTGTATGAGCTTGTATTTGTTGATTTCAAATAGAACTGAAACAAGAAGCAGAAGTTCTAGAATATGCAGCAAAAGAAAAAAATCAAAAACTCTGGGAAGGTTTGTTTATTAAAATATATCAATTGCTGGTAATGTTTATGGTTTTCTTGCGAATAGAAAAACGTGCTATACAACAAGCCATGGTTCGTGATCAACAAATACGTGAAATTTTTGTTGATTTAGATACCAATGAAGATTCATTGTAAGCCTCACTCGATGATTTCATACAATTGTTGAATTCAATCTTTGTTTTTTCTTTTCTTCAATAGGGTATCAATCGATGAACTACAAAAACATACAGAACTTGATACCAATCAAGCGAATGAATTTACAGTAGAAGAAGTTCGAGTACGTATTTTGTGACACTCGTATAATGCTTTTCGATAAAAAGTAGAATGAATATAACTTATAATTCAAAAATTTATAGCTACCCTCATAGAAAAGATAAATGACAACCATAATTAATTCCGTTTGTAAAATAGTCGAGAATAATATACTTAAGTTGCACTTTTCAAAGTTCTTTTTAAAATCTTTGACTTTTATCGGAATAATAATTTGTACTGAAGGTGCAAATATAATATCAAAAATAAAAATAAATAAATACCACAGTTTATTTCATTAGTGATCAATTATCCTTTAGAACTAGTTATCATCTTGTAGAAAATTTCTATTTGAATTACTATGTATGAGCAAAAACTATTACAGGTGGACTTCGTAGCCTTTAACTCGAATCTAGAGTAGCGGTACGGAAACTTTCTATATTTGTTTTTGATTTTTTAGTCAATACTTGGCTCTGATTCAGTTAATTTCAATGAGTTTAATACGATTGTATTTGAAAAAATATCGAATTCATATCAAAGCTCGCCTGAACCAACGACACCCACACCTGAACCAACTCCACTTCCAGAGCCATCGATATATTCAGCAACCACTCCATCATCTATATTAGAAACACATGGATATGAAGAAGAAGAAGTCACAACGACATCATCTTTCTATAAAGATAATGAGGAAGAAAATAACAATGAAAGAGATGATTATCATGAATCTTCATCAGTCTCAACAGTAAGATGATCAGTATTTTTTAAGTGCAGTGTATATACTGGAAAATTGTATATTCTATTTTTGTAAAGTCACTTGAACACGAAAAACATATTCATGCTAGTTTAGCCCCAGAATATGATAATGAAACTAAAGTATTAATACAAATAGCTGATCAAGCTCGAAATGAATACAATCAACTCAAAGAGAAAATTATTCAAATTAAACGTCAAATTCAGTATGCCATTTCTGTTTGTATTTTACTTTTGATCATATCACTATTTCCCTTGTAGAGATTTTAAAAAGCAATCAGATGTTGATCTTGGACCGAATAGTGATTATGCACCGATACTTGATGAATGTTTTGATTATGATGAACGAGAATATACATATCGAATATGTATGTTCAAAACTGCTAAACAGATATCAAAGGGTGGTAGTAGTGAAGTTACTATAGGCTATTGGGATTCATGGTCTGGACCGAAAGATGATAAATATTTGAAAATGAAATATTCTAACGGTGCTACTTGTTGGAATGGTCCACCTCGATCGTTAACAGTTACATTGCAATGCGGAACTGAACAAAAACTTAGCGATGTACGAGAACCAAGTCGATGCGAATATACTATGACATTTGAAACACCATTGGCATGTGATGAAACTATAGCTAATAGACCTCTACATCCTGGCCATGTCGAATTTTAATTCAAAAAGCTTCATTACTACTTGGGCTATTTCTTCTATTGTTAAATTTCTTTTTCTAGCTTGTATTATTTTTTTTGTCTTTTGTTATTTCTCTTTCTAATAAGTATATTCTTCAATTCATGTGTTGCTATTCTTAGACTTTTATTGCTCAGTTTTATAAAAAAAAAATGCTTTGGTGATTAATTTTTTCCTGAAAAGCTATAAAAAAAAATTTGCAATTTATTACTACGAAAAGAATAAATAAAATGTTTTTCATGACTATAAATGCTCAACGAATTTGTTATTATCATTGTATTTTGTTAACATCGTATTTGATTGAAGTTCAAATAAATGAAATTTTGTGTAGAATAAAATCATTACATAAGATTTTTTATGAATAGATTTTTTAAGAAGTAGATCATCCACCGTGATATATTCTTAGTAATTGAATGACAATTGTATATTTTATGCCTCCAGGATGGAAAATCAATTGAGTAAAATAAAGATACTCTCATCGGTAAATTTTCTCAATATCTCCTGGTTTAACCTTTTAAATTTGTTCATCACTACAATAAAAAATCTCCAAAATAACAATTTCATATGCTTATAAACTTTAACATGCTTTGACATTATTTTTTATACTTTCTTTCTTGCCTGACGTTTAAATTCTGATAAATAATATAAATCTATGAGGAGCGCTCAAGCCTTGATAAACATTTCAAACATGTTTTTTCTCTCGTCACTACCTTTTGATTTCACGTGTTTAGTATTATGATTGCACTCATTTTTCAACATTTAAGTACCTATATAAACTGCGTTTAAATTTCTTTATCATCGTAAATTTGTAAAACACAAAAAAAAACTAAGTTTATGACAGAATTCAGTTCGTAAGAATATATAAATGGAAAAAACTTCCATTTCAATTGGTAAGCACAATTCATAGCATCTATGTATTAGAGCAATAGAGACGACGCTGAATCCTTACGAACTATTCACCTTTTTTTTTAAATATTATTTTATAGTTACAATAAATTTGAATAATTCAAAAAAAAAGTTTTTTCCCTCTCTACATAATAAAAAAAAAGGTCAAAACTCAAGTCTTTCCACTAGAAATAATTAATTTTTTAACAATGTAGAGTGCTTTTAACCATATATAAAGAATTTTCGATAGATAATAATGTTTTCACTATCCCAAGATGACTATTAATTTACATCCTATATTTGTGGTAAACGATTATTTTAATGGTCTTCCTGATTACTCCTCGAAAAATCAAATAGAGATGCATTTTTTGTTTTGATGATAATTACGTGGATACGGAAGAACAAAATCAAGAGTCATTACTGAATTCATATATCACAATAGAAATATATCAGCAACATATTCCGAATAATTGTATATACGATCTGATGGTAAAATTCTATTTGTCTATTCTAAATCTATCTATGAAGAAATCTGTGGTGTACTAGTTACAGTAAGAATATTCAGTTCATGAGAATGAAAAAGAATTATATTCACTTTGATTTATAGTAGAAACTTTTCTAACGTAATCTACGCCTCAATATCTTTTTTTTTTCAAATGTTAAAACAGTATCTTCTATATTCATTTTATTTGAATTTTCTAAAATAGTAACTCGTTGTTTCAGGAAAAGTCGTTAAAAGCAAGAGCAATAAAATTAATGTGATTCCATTGAGCATAAATATATATCTGTTCAAAACTTGATCTTGAATTTATTTATATTTTATCATCAGTAGAATGTTTTTTTCTACTATCATTCAAATTTGACGGATGTCAAAAAATGATCGTTTTCTAATTTAATAACAATGAAAATCTTTTATCAAAGAAATCTACTTGTAACTATCGATGATATCCAACAGTGCTCGATGTTCATTCATAATTTTTGATGAAATTTATTGCATTCATTCAAATAAAGAACAAGACAAAACATTCTTAGTTCTATACAGAAATAATAGCTACAGATTGATATCAATACTCATCTCGAAGAATCAGTTAAATGACATTGAATGAAAAAAAAAATGATTAATCGGGGTTTCCCGTTGATTCCAGCAAAAATGAAAAAACATTTCTTTTCTTTTTTTTCTTGATTGTTATTGGCTGTGTAAATGTAGTGATCTTTCGATTGGTTCATTTCTCTCTCAACTTGATAAGTGAAGGAGAAGAAAAAGAGTCGTTTTTCTTTTTCTGTATAATGATCCTGTTTCTTCTCTTTTGTGTCTCTCTCTCTCTGCTTGCTTTCTCTTCTAATTACGAGATGATCATAGATTTAGTTCATTGAAAAAATAAGACTCAGCATTTGGCCGCGTTCAAGTGTCTCACTTTTCCTTTTTCTCACATATTAAAAGCTCAAATCAAAAAGCATTATTGAACAGCAGAAGGAAAAAAGAGAACATATCATCACATACACCTGCCGAAATTGTAAAGTGACTAACTATCGTCGGCTAATCATTCTTGGCAACTAAACGCTCAAGGGTAAGTTATTTACTTGATCATAGAAAATTCTACGCGAATATTAACGATTGTTAACTTTATCAATGGCATGATATGATGTCGTCCAAAAAGTGGATCTTCATCTTGAACGTCTAGTTTCCTTTCCGGTTGGCAGCCAATATCAGACGTTTCTCTATTCTAATCAATTATTTTCAGTAGTAATTTTTCCTTTTTTTATTATTATTTTGTCCTCTTTATATTATTAGTTTTAGAAAATAGATCTCTTGTAAATTGTGATAGATCATGTCCAATGAATTAGTAGAGAAAAGTGAGAAATAACACGCGTGTTCCTCCCGTTAATGCTCTTTTATATATTATAGTTGTTGTTGATGATGATGATGATGATGATGATCTGTTCTTGAGAAAAGAGAAATGATTGATTTGTAAACGTGAGTGATGTACTAGAACGATTGAAGTTGTGTTTCTGGTTTTGCACAAGAGAGAGAGAGAGACAGAGACAGAGACAGAAAGAATTAAACAAACATCTAACACAATCATTTAGAAAATTCCTTTCTTATGAAACAACAGTAGATATTCATTCTAATGATCCAACGAGTATTCAATATAACACCTACGTGTGTGTGTTTCATTGTATAGTACTTGACTAATGATGAGAGAAGGAAAAAGACCTCATTTTTATTTTTTTTTATGCGACATGCGAAGAAGAATGAAATGTCTAATTGACTTGTGCACATCAGGAAAAAAAGATTGCTATTACTTTTATTCTTATATTTCAATTCTAATAACGAGTATGAAGGTTCAGACATAAAAAAGCACGATAATTAACATGAGTGCCTTTATTAAAAGAAAAAAAATCTGAATTAAAAAAAATGATTTTAATTTTTTTATTTTAAACAGTACTACCGCTACAAAAATGTCATGTCGATCGAGTGGCGAACAACATCGAAATCGTGAAGGTAAGATGAAGAAAATATTTTATAGAAAAAAGAAAAAGAAAAGTGAACTGATTGATAATCATTTAAGAACATCGATGGGATTCAATTCGTGATTCTCAATTATATGGTCGTCGTGGTTCAATACAACTATGGCAATTTCTGCTAACATTACTGAAAGATGGTATTAATGGTGCAATCATTATTTGGACAGGCAAAGGTTTAGAATTTAAATTGATTGAGCCAGAAGAAGTATGTGATTTGAAATAGATTTGAACGACGAATCAAAAATAAGATCAATTTTTTTTATAGGTAGCACGTTTATGGGGTGTACAAAAAAATCGTCCGTCAATGAATTATGACAAATTGTCTCGGTCGCTTCGTTATTATTATGAAAAAGGTATTATGCAAAAAGTAGCTGGTGAACGTTATGTTTATCGTTTTGTATGTGATCCTCAAACACTTTATCCGTTTATATCGCGAAATGGACAAATAACAAAAGGAACACCAACAACAAATGCAACAATAATTTCACCAAAAACTACAATAAATACAACAATAACACCGCCAAGAAATAAATCTCCGTCATTATCATCATCATCAAATTCAGCATTTTATCCATCATCAACAAATAAAATCAAACAACAAATACGATCTGATGAGAACTACATACCTTTTTATCCATCATCATTTTGTCCAAATACATTTCAAAGTTCATTTTTACCTTATTCAACACCAACGTCAACCAATGTTTACTCTACAAATGATGCAAAAATGAATACAAATAATTCATATTGGCCAAGACATTCATTTTACAATACACCGAGTCATTATGCATTTCCACCATTTGATACAAGTGGTATCATATCATCAACACCACCACAAACTGTACCACATGAAACATTAAATAATAATTCATTTGATAATTTATCATCCTATTTTGCATACAATCCAACGAATGGTATTAATAAATTATCAGCTATTCATAATGATTGTTCAACAAATTTTGATCTTTATTCATAGAAAAAAAAAATATACACAAAAACAAAAAATAAAAAAACAAATCATTTTCTTTTCTCACGTGCGTTTGTGTGTTTATGTGTGTTTACGTCTTTGTCTATTTTTTTTCATCAAATAATTCACTAGAAAGTAATTTTTCACTTCTTGATATACTTTGAGTAGCTTTACTAGACGGTAGATTAAAAGATACTCTTGGTGCATAATTTTCTCGATTATTTTTTTCTAATAGATGAACTCTTTTAGCCCGATACACGCCATCATTGATGTTACTGTTACGTTTACGTAATTCTTCAAGCATTTGATCATGTGTTCGTGCTGAAAGAGGATTATATGCGTCTTGAGATAATACTGTTGATGGTTTTTTCAATATTGATGTTCGTGGTGGTGGTGGAAGACGAGGAGGAGGAGGAGGAGGAGGAGGAGGAGGAGGATAATACGGATTCGATTGTTGGAGAGATGAATATTGTTGAACATCGTATGGTACTGGTGTTGACTGTTGCATTGGTGGACGAGAAGCGTATGGATTTGGTTGTTGAAAATTCATCTGTAAACGTGGTACCTGCTGAATAGCTGTAGGTGGATAATAAGAAGGAGGCTGTTGAAGATAGGGCTGTTGTTGTTGTTGTGTACTAAACTGTACTGTTGGTGTATGTTGGATAGGTGGACGATTTTGTTGACTCATTCTATCTTGTGCTGTTAAATGATAAAAGTCAGCACCACTTGAATTATAATTCGGAAATGCTGATATAGGAACAACCTATATGACAAAATAAAGTATAAGAATTGGATAGAATCCAGAATAGCTAGATTTACTTGAGGTTGCTGTTCATAATAAACCATTTGTGTAGAAGATGAATTTAATGATTGTGACCCAAGATCAGTCCGTAGACCACGGGAGACAAAATTAGGCAGTGATGTATCATATTTGGCTATGCTATTAAGATCATTAGAATTCGTCGTTGCCGATGTCGATGATTTATTTGGTAATGCAATTTGTCGAAGTTGAGTATTCATTTTATACATAGTCGCTTTCTGATGCTGCCCAACCTGTGGGTAGATGTATATATGCAATATGTTTGATATGGTTCTATCATATGCTATCAAAGTAAATAAGATTTTGCTTTAAAATGGCCTTAAAGAATTCTTCATGAATTGAATAATATATTCTAATGTCCTCGAGTATGTTTATAAGACAACAATTAGAAGGTCTTACTGTTTGTTTTAGTCGATTGTCTGGATTGTAGTATTTAAAAGTAGACGTATCAGTAGTGATCAATTCATTACGCCCTGATAAAATACGATCACCATGCGGTGGACTATATACAGCTGTTGAACGCAATTGATAACTTGGTGTCACTGTGATATTTGATACATCTGTAGTATCTTTCTGATCAGCATCAATTTTTGCTGTTGTCATTATTGGTGTGATTGCCGTTGTATTGGAAGTCTCGGTAGTTGTTACTGGCGGACTCAAATACCATAATATTTTGCCTTTTTCTCGGTTTTGTTGTTCAATGTTAGTCCATTTGTACCACTTTGAATATGCTGATGAAACAGTAGATTTTTCTTTCGAAACATCTGAAGTTATCGATTTTACAACAGAATTCCATGTAGATTTAGAGGTACCTTCAATATATTTTGTTCTTCAATTTAAAGTTTAATTTTTGCCTAATATTTTAGACAAACCTGCAGTAGATACAGGAGCAGTTGCATTATTTTGGTTAGAAGGAACTGTCACAGTAACTGTAGGAGTCGAAGTAACTGTGGGTGCATTAGTGGTGGTAGTATTAGAATTATTATGACTAATAGCAGTAGCAACAGCAGCAGTAGTAGTGGCTGTTGCTGTTGTTGTCGCCGTCGTTGCTGCTGCTTCTGTTGTTGGTGTTATTGTAGCAGGAGTACTTGCAGCAGGTGCAATAGTATTAGTAGAACTAGTCGTAGCACGATTAATGGCATGGGGCGGAGCGCTCATTGTATCAGTAATAGGAGCAGAAGTAAAAGTATGAACAGGCAGAGAGGCTGCATAAGCAGGAGAAGTACTAGACGTGCTACCCATTGAGATTTCTTTTTCAAATAATAATACTGACTTCTTGAATTGTTATGAATTCAATTATGTTTCAGTATGGTTTCCTTGTATAATCTAGTTTTTTTCTAAATTTATTAATGATGAACACCAATGAAAAACGAACTTGTTTAATACATAATAAACTTTAATTTTAAACATACTATTTTTCAAATAGTTCAAGAAACTCTTGAGAAATACGGTATGTATATTTTTCTACGCTATAATGTTGAGTAGTGACATCGTCTGAATGTCAAAATCTCTGCTACAGGTTATATTTGTTATCCAATGAGAATAAGAAGCAGAGACCTTTGTTATATGGAAATGGAAAACGATGACCCGAAGGGTATCCTCGTGCATGTCGGGACTTATTCAATTAATCAGCCTCTCAATTGTTTTAAGTTCTGTTTTAATCAAATTATTGCGTAATATTTATGTTGTTTTTTTTGTTTAGTAGATCAGGAATTTGTGACTTCTAATACATACATAAATTATATATATAATTCGACCTCGATTAACAAAAACTAGCTTTGTCTTATTTTGTTCTTTTACTTGTGTATTCTTACTTGGAGTTTAAATGCATTCAGTTGTTACGTTCATCTTTTTCGTTTAATTTTCGTATTTATTTAAACATCCGTTTCACGTCTAATCAGACTTGTTTTCATTGTGTTATTAATGGAGGCAAACAAAGATTCAGCACTACACTATATCGAACTTGCGGAAAAGTCAATACTTGCTAATGATAATGAACGAGCTCTTCGATATCTTTCGAAATCTGAAAATCTTTTTCCAACGCAAAAAGCCAAAGGTTAGTTATTCTACATTAGTGTATAAATTAATACTATCTTTCCTTTATTAATAGATCTCATAGAGCGGCTGATGTATGCTAATTCTCATTCAACATCAACTAGTCATAATAAAACAAAAGACTCTACATCAACATCTTCACGTGATGAAGAAGCAACAACTAATGGCGAATCATCAAGTACAAAACATAGAACAACAACGCATACAAATTCATCATCATCCAATGACTTTACTCCGGAAGAAGCGCAAGCTGTACGGAAGTGAGTAGACCTTAAGAGTATTTTTATTTCAAATAATAAATACGCATATTTTAAATATTAGAATCAAAACATGCAAAGATTTATACGAAATTCTCGGTGTTAGTAAATCAGCAACTGAAGCAGATCTAAAAAAAGCTTATCGTAAATTAGCCCTTCAAGTACGATAATAAAACAAACAAGAAGGTTTTTATTGTATTCTTTGAATTAATTCTAATCTAGTTTCATCCCGACAAATGTAAAGCGCCGGGTGCTACAGATGCTTTTAAAGGTTATCTATCTTGATAGTTTCAACATACTTTCATATTAATTGTTGTTGTTTTTTCGTCTTCTTCTTTGTGAATAGCTATTGGTAAAGCTTTTTCAATTTTAAGCGACTCTAAAAAACGTGAACAGTACGATCAATATGGTCACGCTATGGAACCACAATATCATCGGGGTAGTACCAATGGTACACGTGGCTCACAGAATTATTATTATTATGAAGATGATGACGATTTTTCAGCTGAAGAAATTTTCAATCTTTTCTTCGGATATTCGGGTATACTACTTTAGCTTAAAAAGAAATGAAAATTACATCGATGAGTTTATAAGAGTATTAAAATAAGTTGAATTGAAACTTTTAAGCTTCGGTGTATATTAAATTTAGAGATACGTAAGCTTAGTCTTATTGTGCAGTTCGTATTTCATTGGAAATGGAATAAATTTGTTTAGTTTTACTTTGAACATTGCGTCAGTTTTATTTTCTTTTTGACTCATGAATGATTCAATTTAAATCACTAACCTAATCTCAGATCTAAATTTTATTGCATTTATTCAGGGCCAACAACGCGTACATATCGACGTCGTCAACAACATCCATTTCAATTTACAACTCATTCAACGCATAATGCTGCACAAAATGTTTGTTTAGTTTAATTATTTCAACAGTAATTTATATAGGTATTATATTTTAGACTACACATACACTGGCGCAACTATTGCCTTATTTATTTCTATTTCTTATCTCAATTATTGGTACATTTTTAGTCAGTGAACCTCAATTTCAATTGCACCGAACCGGGTAATTTTATTTCTATACCGCAAATATATATATGTGCGGTTGGGGTGGGGTGGGGGATCGAATCATTGAATATATTCAATGAATATTGGCTTTATTTTCATAATGGTCACTAGTATAGAAAATTTGAACATTGACTTGAATAGTTGGTGGAGTATTTCTATCGAATATATTATATTCCGAATGGATGAAATATAGTGGTAGTGTTCATGAAAAATTAGGCACGTTAGTTTTCAGGCTGCAAAAAAACTTAGCCAATGATATCTTGTTAATAATGCATTTTAGCAGAGCACACAATTAGGATTAGAATTAGGCATCACAGAATTTTCTTTTGAAACAAAATTTATCGAAACATCAACCCAAAAAGCATCTTCTCGCATTTTTGTGTTACTTTAAATTTATCAAGAGAACATCATATAAAATGCTGCGTTCTATCATTTTGACTAGGAATTTCTTATTATTCTGGAGGTCTCATTATTGAATGCCTTCGATAGACGACAACTACTGATTGAAATTTCACTCTGATTACTAAAGAGTACACGAAAAGAAACCTTAAAACAATAGATATTGCTGTTAAATTTTTTCTCAGTAACCCAATTCATTGGGAAAACATTGTTTTGAGCTAATAAACATCTTGTTTAGTCGACGGTTAGTCACTTAAAAACTCTGTCTGATCAAAAGTAGATTTTTTCTCAATTTCTTCTCGAAAACTAATTTAGAATGTTCTAAAGGCTTGATTTCTTTCAAGCCCCTACTAGTTACTTTGTTTTTTCGTTGGTATTCAAAAATGACTATTTGAACTTTTTATGTTAGTTGTAATTAAGATAAAAAATCTCCAAGATACTTCCTCAATATGCAATGTTAGAATATAATTGTTTTTATATTCCTTAGAAAATACACTAATGCCCGTTTGACTCGTTTATCAAATATTGAGTATTATGTTAAACCAGATTTTCGGCCTCCAAAGACCAACAATGAATTAGATAAATTTGAATCATCAGTTGTCGATGAATATCTATCTGATTTACGACATCAATGCTATCGTGAACAACAATACAAAGAATCTATGATCTGGCGTGCACGAATGATGAATGATAATCAATTATATAAGCAAGCGCAAAACCAAGGTACACCTTCTTGTACTAAATTGAATGATTTTGTACAACGTGGACGTGCGTAGTCATTGTTTATCAAACATATTTTTAATTCAAACGGCACAGTGAGACATTATTTGGTTTTTTTTCTTTATCTTTGTTTATTATTTCACTTTTCTTTCTTGTTCTCGTTCTTATTCTGTGTCTCCCATGTGATGCAATTGTAACAGAAAAAAAAATAAGGATGCTCGTTGCAAATAAATAGATAAAAAACGAAAAAACGAACAAATATTTAAAAAAAAATGAAAATATAATATGATTTATTCAAATTAGCCGTAAACATCCATTTCAAGTTTGGCCTTTTCAAGTTGATGAACAAGAGCATAGAATTGTTCTAATGTAACACTTAATGGAATATCTGTACGATCTGTACCATTATTTGACATCGTAGTTAATTTTAAATAAAGTCGAGCTGTACCAGTATTCTCATCGTTTTTACTATTTGCTACATTAATAGCAAATTTCCAATCAAGATCAACTAATTGTTGATTCTGTGTAGTCATCTACAACAACCAGAGACGTTTTTTTTAATTATAGAATATATAATAGAAAAAAAAGAAGAATGTTCATGCATCACCTTGTTAGTTACTTGGCTTTTTTTCCTTAGAAGTCTATTATACACACAACAATATTTTTATGTATGAAGTCACTGTCATGGTAAGCGAAAAGAATGGAGAGAGAAAAAAGATAAGAACATATAGAAAGAATAGGAGCAGAAAAAAGGGAAGTTCAGATCAGAAAACATAAGTTAACAAGTTAACTAAAGAAATCTCTACTAGACCTACAACGAGACATCTAAATTTTTTTCTAACACAAGATTATTTGGCGTATGATGATTGACCGGCAAGTAGAAGCCATCGTTTAAATTCATCATAGAGAACAAGTACTAATGATGAACCAACACTTCGATACATGTTTGATAAATTGCCTTTGAAAAAAGCTGTTAGGCCTTCAGTAACAGCAATTTTTCGAGCACAATCCAATGTTCCTCGATAGATAATATCACCACGACCACTTTGCATCATCAAACGACTATTGATGTAAAAAAAAACATATGATTGTATTAATATGCGAATTGCCAATATAGTTTTATTGAACTTACCGTCGGATAGTATCAAGTGGATAAGCAAGAAATTCAGATGATGATGTAACGAATTGGGCAAAAAGAAAACGATAGAGTATACTCGGATTGGGATTGTCACCAAACATAAATTTTTTTCCTTGAAAAAAAAAACCATAAATAAATACATAGTTCTTTCGTTTCAATTAAACAATCTTACCAGCATCATAACCACCGAAATAAAATGCTCGATAGACAAATATGCCAGCAACACTAATGGAGAACCCTCGATAGAGCCCTGAAACAAATCATACGACTTTTCTTTTTTGTTTTGTTTTATCAAGATAATTTTACCTCGAATACCATCAGCCTTGTAAATTTTCGCCATGCAATCGTTCATGCCTCTAAATTGGCGTTCATTAACTGATTTTCCAATATCAACACCAAGACGTGTACGAGCAAAATCAAGTGGATAGACGAATAATAAACCTGTTGCACCAGCCATGCCACCAGCAAAAAGATTACCCAGAAAAAATTTATATGGATCTGATTTTGGATTATAATTAGCAAAAAGTTTTTGATAACGCTCTTTGAATGCAAAGTTTAATGCTTGCTAGAAACGAACATAAAGAAAAATAACGATACATACAAGTAATGTATATTAAAATAAAAAAATAAAATTCAATTACTGTTGGAAAATAACGAATAACATTTGCCCAATTACCACGCCACAGTGAAATAGTTCCTTCTTCACGAATACATCGAGCGAAACAATCTCCAAAGCCTTTGTATTTTTTTCCTTGTGCTATTTTGTGATTAACATCTTGCGTCTGTAGAAGAAGTTTTACACGTTCAAGTGGCGCTACTGCGGTTTTGGAAATGGCTCCCTAAAAACGAACCGTCATACAACTTGTACACATGTAAAACAAATAACAACATGATACATACAGCTAAAAAAAAGCAAAAATAGAAATAAAAATAATATTCATTAAATTTAAAAAGATAAAAACAAACCTGTTCCACCAGCAAGAAAATCGAGCAAAACATCTTTTGATGTTGCTGATTTTTCTGAACTACCGCTTGAACTAACCATATTGAACTAAAACTATAAATCAGATATTATAATATTTAGATAATCCGTTGGATTTCGTTTTCGTTTTTCAATCTCTGTAATAAGATTGTTCGTATAGATAGCTGCAGACACACTTCAAAGACGACGAGAACAATAGCTACATATCAGTAGCCAATCATAAAAGTCCTCGTCATGATAGCATGTTAGAGTCCGCTCATTTACAATATCATTTCTAGATTCTTCTAATAACACACTTTTATGTAGTTATTTATGAAACGAACCGACTAACACTATAATAGAAAATATTTATTAACAAAAACTAGAAAATTTGTTTCATTATTCATGAAATTTTAATTAAATTATTGTAAATATATTAAGTTTGTTGCTGAGGCCATTATAGAAAATGATTTTATTCAAATTATGTCAGTTTTTTTCTCAAGCTCAAAATCATGAAATCACAATAATAATATAATTTTGAATGTCCCACGGTAACTGGAATAAAAAAATAGTACTTCTGCAGGATACTAAGTTTAATATATGATTTAAAAAAATGAATACACCTTTACAGCACATGACGACATTATATTTATTAGCTAGCAACATAAAATTCGGTTGATTAGAATGCTACTATGCATACTTGAATGAACAAAATTTAAAACATTACTCTATCGAGCAAATTTATACGATAACTACCAGAATATCGTTGCTTCTCTGATGTTAAAAATAGACTCTGTGATATCAATCAACATGAATTTAATAACCAGTCTTATCTCAATGTCTAGGTTTCCATTAGGGTTGTCAGAGTTCCCCCGTTCCTAGGAACGGGAACGCATAGCAAGCTGCGATTTTAAAGAGATGATTCTAAATGACTCGAAGTTTTTATTCATTATTTTTTATCATTTTATTTCATAAAATTTTTCCGTACCCGTTCCTAAGAACGGAAAGTCTGGCCGCGTTCCCATTCCAGGGAACGGGAACGAGAAATGCGTTCTCACGCTTAGGAACGGAAAATTCCAATTGAATTTCCGATCGAAAGGAATAGAAACCTAGAGATGCGTTCCCATTCTTAGGAACGGGAGCGCGTTCTCGTTCTTAAAGAGAAACAAATTTCGCGTTCCCGTTCTCAGGAACGGAACGCGAACGCGACACCCCTAGTTTCCATGATGAATATATATCATTTGATAAAATTAAAAAACCTTATAGCTAAATTCTAAATTTTAGAATTCTAAGAAATTGATTAATTCTATTTTTCTAATTTCACAGTTTGTACTAAACTGATCGATATTTGAACGTAGATAGAATAGCATACGAGAATTTTCTTATCAATTATGTAGTTTAAATCGATTTCAAATAGATAGCATGATAGAGATGACGGAGATCTATATCCGTATATATAAGTAAGTTTAGCTCAACATTTTAGATCAATGTAATTAGTAAATTTAAAGTATTGAACAACAAAATTACGATAATATGTTAAACAAAACTGGGTAGTTGTGTTTTTTTGTGGTAGTGTAGTATAAGTAAAAAGTTAACACAAAGTGCATCTACTACATTATACAGAATTTACTATTCTCAACCAAAACAGCTCTCTCTTGCTCGCTCCAACCAAGTCAATATTTGATTGTAGCGGAATCAATTGTGACAATTTCTCAAAACATTTTCCATACTTTCTTATTTATATTATTAGCCATTCATATTAAAAGAGTGCTCAACAAAAAATATTCTAATGCACACAATAACAAAATTAAAGTTTTTTTTTCTTGTAGAGCAAGTCTTTCTAATGCTGTTACCGTTTGTGACACGTAAGAGATCCGAGATGGAGGGAAAAGTCATGCCTACAGGACATTAATTAAAAGAGTCACTATTCGTTCTAGAATTTAGTAGAATGTCAGTTCTATAGAAAATTTCGACTAGGTTTTATTTAAAAAAGGAATGGCTATTTTATTGTAGCATATCGTACACACTATGTCAAAGCTGAAACAGAAAAACTCGAGATCTATGCTTCTTTAAAAAGAAACTTTTTAAGTTCAATATTCAAATCCCTATGTCCTTGGTTCTCTAGAAGAGAACATAGATACTCTTGTTAGTATTATATTTTCAAGTGTCAGAAATAGCCCGAAGTGTCTTTCATGATATCGAATAAGCAAACTTGTCAATCAATGGAAACTATATAAAACAATAGTCTATGATCGTAATCATTAGGGAAATCTATACTTATCGACTTGAGTACCTAATTCTCAATCTTTCTTTCGTGTGTTATTGTTTGAATGAACAAACGATAAATAATGGTAGCAATTGATCAAACAAAATTTGATACAACATTCGAATAGGACTAAGTTATGTGAATATAAATTATAATTTATTCAACGTTATGTATTGATTTACTTGCTTTTCATTAGTAAGAATAAAATCTGTATTATTTTAACAGTAGAATATTCTATTTCATTAAATTAATTGAAAAAATAAAAAAGAACACAATAATTAAATTAGAAAAACCTAGAAAATATTTGATGTGGCATTTGATTATTTTTATAGTTTAGAAATTGATGTGAATTCATAATCTAATTTTTATACAAACTCTTTAGATAGTTTGATTTGTTGACTGTGTGTGTCAATGTACTAGATTATTTGAACATTGGATTTTTTTATTATGAAGTGTTGATACTTCTAGTATTCAAGATGAATTTATCTTATAAACATGTGTTCAGTAGCTATATTTTAACATTAGTGAATTTGTTTCAAATCAATAGTTACTAAGAAATCTCTATGGTAAATAATCACTAAACAAAAGTTCATGGAATTAAATTTTTGGTTTCATAATTTTTCATGTGATGATATTAACAATAAACAAGACGTTTATTTATTTGTTTTTGTTTTTATACGTTTTCGCATTATCTTACAAAGTTCATAATGACAGAAGCCCATAAAAGTAGTCTAAGATACATACAAGGCTATGAGATTAACTTAACCTGTTTATTAAACACTTTTTTTTATTTATATATACTTTTAAATTGAGTGTGATGTCACCATGACCTAAATATATCGATTGTATTTTTATTTTTCTTATTGCAGTTTTATATCAGCACGTTAGAGACATATATCAACACAGATATATGATACTTATCGTAGCATTGAAGTATCTTTTGATAGAGTAAGTACAAAAAGAACTTTCATCAACAATTGAACGACATCTATTTTTATGCACATGAAAATCTATAGGCTTATTTGATAAATGAATATTTGCTACGTTATCTTGCTCGCTCATTCTTTTGTCACACTATCGGTGACAAATGAACATTTACATAACATTGGTATGTTTAACTTGACAATCTCGTCGATTTATCATCATCTTTTTTCATTTTTTTTCTCCCTCTCTGTTTCTTTACATTACGTGAGCCTACTCGTTCTTCATTTTATTTCCCTTCATTTTATCTTTAATATCTCAGCGCATTCGTCTTTGAGTAATAACGTGAATTATATTGATTTGTCATTAATAATTACCATAACTCACTATCATTTGTATTGTATCCTCATACGAGTTCGGTCTACGAGCAAAACTAAACAACCAGTCAAACGCGTCGAGTAACATCGTTCGATTCTTTTTCTATCATCTCTTACTATCAACGGCTTATTCTTGTTTCGTATCACTCAACTGGCGAGTAAGAATAATAATAGTGTTCTTTTAGTTTTCTCAGTTGCTGATAAATACTTCTCCTCGTTTTTTACCTGGAAAGAAATCGCTTAATGTAAAATATTATTTATGGGCCGACTATTTTTTTGCCCATAATGAAAATTATTTTTCTCATATAAGATGCAAGTGAGCGCTTATAAACATCATGTGACAATATTATCAAAGTTGAATTTTATATAAATTTCATTATATATATGTATAGATATAGATTTTTCCACATATACAACTATTGAATAGTCTTTCCAAAATAGGAGAAAAGAGAAGTGTCATGTTTATTAAAAAGCTTTTTACAATTATTAACTAAAAATATTATTTAGTCCTTCTAGCCAGGATATGCAGTACGAAGAATTTTTCTTTTTTATGTTGAATAGTTCCGATAGACATGAAAAAATTGAATTAATTTTTATTCTTCTAGTCCTACTCTTTCGTTTCATTGACAATATTATGATGATCCTGATCATCATGCAAAGGCTGAGTCGAGCCGAAAAAGAGAATAACATAGATGTCATGTTTCTTCTTGGCACCGTTCATCGACTCAATTTTTCTTTTTTTCTTTCGTTCTTATTATCGATCGATCATTGCACTAAGAATATTTTGTTAAGCTGATGCTCGCTCGACCCACAGCAACATAGCCACTAAAAAAACAGAAAACATGCGAACGAGTATACATGAAAGAACGGCATGGAGACGGGAGGCAAATAGAGGCATGTTCCTCTTCCACTGCTTTGAGTCGTCGAAGCAGAAGCAGAAGCAGAAGAAGAAGAGAGAAGAATAGTATGGGGTGACTCTGGTGTTTAATGCTGATTGGTGGCGTGATGCCTATGGGTTTCTATTAGGTAACAATTGAAAATCTCGATGATCACGTCTCTGATGAATAATTATTGTGAAAAACTTGTTTTTTTTGGATATTTACTTTTTTTTTATCATTGTATCTCTGACAACGATGAAACTGTCTGAATTATACTCTTACAGGTACGGATTTATTTATACCGATATTAATATTTCTGATGATGATGACTTTTTAAAATTAATATTGTTTTTTTAAAAATTGTGATTTGCGTCGTCATGAAAACTGATCGAGTACGAACCTGTACTAATTGTGCCAAAACAAGAATGAAGAAAAATCATAATAAAGGAGAACGTATAAAATATTTTTTTTTCTCGAGATCGATTCAATGAGACTGAAAAATATTTGTAAAATAAATAATATAAATTTTTTTTCTTTTTTCTTCATTGGACATCCATTTTCTTAATTATTTCTTTGCCTTTTCTACACAAAATTTTCCACGTCGTATTATATGTAGCTTGCATGTTAAACGTAGTTTCCCCGACCGATAGAAGAAAAACAGTATATATTTTTTTCTCGTATGACGCTTAATCACCTATCGTTTATGTATTGTTTATGTGTATTTGTGCATATTACACAAAAAAGCAAAGTAGATATTTCACACTGAATGATTCTCTCAAATGATATTTTTGAATTGTGACTCAACTTTTTTTTCTATTTTCTATTAGACACAATAAATAATGAAGAAAAATCACTTCTTTTCTATTTGTAGATATCGTTGAAATGGCCAATAGTCGACCTGTATCAGTTTTAAGCGAATCGAATAGTGTACCTGACGAAGCAAATATAAATGGATTGAAAAATAATCCACAAAATAAAGAAACAAGTTCCGCACGTTCCTCGATTCAAAAGTCTCCGATGAATAATATTCGTAATGCAAATTCATCTTCGTCATCAATTGATAGTGCTGGTGCTAAAAATACAATATTTACTGAGAATAAAACTTCAACACTAACTAATTCCAATACAATAGTATCTTGGACAACAACTGATAGCGATTTAGAAAGCGAACAAGATGGACGTTCTAATAATGATAATAATTCATTAGAATCGAATAGTCTTAAAAAACAAATACAACGACCACAAACATTATCAAGACGTGATAATGGTCAACAAAAAAATGAAACTAATTCTCAAGAACAATTATCCCGACGTGCAAAACATTTTCAAAAATTATTTAGATCTGAAATTCATGACGATATGCCAGAATTGATTGATTCTTATGTTTGTGCATATCAAGGTAAGAGTTTGTTTAACATATGAATATATGTCTAATGAACTATGTTTTAAACTATAATATCATTAGGTGATATTTTACTACAAGGGAAAATGTATATTACTGATCGCTATCTTTGTTTCCACTCCCGTATTATATCGTATGTAACTAAACATGTTTATCGTTGGGAACAAATTGAAAATATTACTAAAGAACGTGTAGCATTCATATTTCCAACAGCTATTGGTATTCAATTGAGACATTCAGGAAAAAAAATCATTTATGCATCATTTCTTCAACGTGATCAAGCTTTCGATAAAATAGTTTCCATGTGTTCACGGTTCAATAATGATATAAACTCATTACAAAATGATGATGACAACCGTCTAATGCAAGATGGCACACTAAAAGCCATAAATAGTAATTATAGTTTTAACGAAAAAATCAAAAAATCAAAACGTGATATTCCTTTTGATATGACTGAAGGACCAGAACAAGAAGATGTTTTACAAATGTGTTTAGGATCCAACGCAACAAATAATAATAATAATAACAGTAATGTTAAATGGCGACCACAATCTAGTACATCGAAAATATCTGATAATAAACAACAGTCGAAACAGTCAAAAAATTTATTTAATTCAGACAAAAAGAAACAATTTAAAAATTCATCTCTGAATCCGACTGTACCGAAGAATTTAAACGAAAGTATTCCTGATAATAATGAATTAAATAGAAATTCAAGTAGCAGTAATACTCAAGAAAAAGAAGCTGATGCATCTCTAAGTAAGATTTTATCAAATAGATTGTTTCTGACAACAACAAAAATTTAACTAATGAATATACAAAGTATTATTTTGTATTATTAATCGTAAAAGAACGTATTCATAAGCATAAGCATTAGTTTATCATTCTTCTTTTTTGAAATTATCATCATACTATGTACAATGTTTCTGATAAAATTCTAATTTCATCAGAAAGATTCATACATTCGAATATGTTTATGATATTTTTATTTCATATTATTATAATCTACTCCTGCATGAAAGATAGAGAATTGTGACTAGCTAGTAAATAATTATCTTACAAATAGTTTATTCATAGGACAATTATAATTCGTAATTGAATTTAGACAAGTAACTATTTGCACTTGTTGGTTTGCCATAGAAGCATGAGTGAAATCAAGTAGACTAGCATGACTTTCACAAGAGTATAAAATTTCAGAGGGTAAAACAGCAGAAACTTGAATTAAATATCTGATAATGAAGTATAGAATTAAGAACATAATGAAATTGATTTTTTCCATTTGAATTGAGCTAGTAGTAAACTGAGAAACTAATATTCTTATCTATATACTTATAAACATAGCTTAAAATGTTGACATATCTACAAATATATCTGTCAGTTTTGAGCACAATTATCTCATCTGTTTAGACTCCCGTATGAGGCTGCTGTAGAGTAATACCTCTCTCTGACTCGCTGTGTTTATTTTACCTTTATATATTCATTTTAATAAACACAAAGTTCAACGAAAGAAAAATACCATCATTCAAGATTAAAACATAGACTATACTAGAAGAAATATTCGCGAGTAGGAATCTTTGTTTTTGTATAGTATTCTCATGGAAATATCTGGTTGCATCAAATCTTCTTATAATTTCTATATAACTTCATTCAATAAGACAAAACAATTTATGTAATTTAGATTAAGATGTTAGAGATTATTTAGAAAAATCTTACAACTATAGATTATATAATAGTAATTGTAGACAGACAAAATTAACTTTAGAAATACCTACATATAATCAGAATAAAGATTATAGTTCAACTGAATGCAACTACAACAATAATGCAAAAACATCAAAATGAAAAAACACAATATTTTGTTTCAGAATGCATGAGCAGATATAGCTACTTCAGGAGTAGATCTTTAAAAACAGAAAGGATTCACAGCATTTTAAGTAGTTATACTAGATTATACCTTGAAGCGTCATTTTTAACTCTCACTAGTAGAGTTGACTACGATAGTGTTTCAAGGTTTGTAATTATATACTGTCTTGAATTTCTGAGTTCTGTAAGATAGATAGTTCTAAAGATGTATCTTATTAAATGATACAAGTGAAAAATACTAGAAAAACGCTTGCTAATTAAGGTGTATCAAATTTCGGACGTATCCAGAGTGATATGATCTGGCGATGAGTTATAATATAATTTATTACAGATGCTCAAACATAAAAATAAAAGGTCCTCTAAAAAACGATTTCATCTATCGGATCGCGTGCAGAAAGACTTTCATCAATCATTTTATTGAAATGAGAATTTTATTTTTTGCAAATCAGTGCCAATGCAAGAATGAAAATATCGACCAAAAGGTATGTTGTTTAAAAGAAGTCTATTTGAGACTTTCAAGTATTTTTATCCAGATATTAATATTTACTCGCTGAGGGTTTTAATCTAAACTCCTTAAAACATAATTTTAAATATTCAAAAGAATGGAATCATCTTCAATTGATTATAGTATAAGTAAAATAAGTTTTATTTCTAATTTAGCTGATAATCCTGTAGTATTTCGTCATCCACGGAATGCACCATTAAGATCTAATCGGAGTCGTAGTCGTAGTCGTGACCGAACACTATCTCCAGCTACTCGAACATCATCAAATATGTTAAATTCAATCTCATCAATAAGTTCAATCACAACTCCTGATTCTTCGATAATCAATTCGGATACTGATGGAATAGCTGGAAAATATAGTCGGATCATAATTTTATCCCTTATATCCATTGTAAAACTTATTATGGCATATTTATTACTATTGTTTAATCGATTTAAAACCTATCCAATTAAAACATCACTAATACTCTTAATATGTATAACCATTTTAATTTCCCATTCATTTTATTTAATTAACTTAGCATATCGAATAGAAAATCGTTTACAATCATTACATAATATATGGCCATCACCATTAGCATCATCATCATCATCAGCGGCGAGAAATTCTCGACACCAATAAAAATAACAATATAATTTCAGGCGCATTAGCTTGTTCACGCGCTCGACATGTTCAATATCGGCATCCGTCCAATAATGCCTTTAAATGAGCATTTTTCCGGTCGTAACTCTTTTCTTTTTAAACATCCGGTGATCAATATGTTCTTATTCTAATTATAATCCAAGCACATTCTAAATCAATTTACACATTAATTCATGTGTTCTGTTTACTCTTTGCTTTATTCGTTACATATGAACAGTTTTTTTTGTCTCTTTTCTTCTTATTGTTGTTCTCTATTCGTTTTGCAAAAGTGTCACTGTTTGTACAGTTTAGTCTTTACTTGCTTTTTGTTTTTCACAAAATATATTCTGATGACGGACAATATCTGTATCTTCTATATATCACTCCTAAATATATTTGTTTGTATGGTTTTGTCATCCTGTATTAGATAACATGACGATATTATATTGAATGTTTGTTTTTACAGTTTATTAAAAAACGTTCGAACCATTTGTTTTGCTTTCTTTTCCTAATATTTCAAGAAAAATATGTATCTATTCGTATGGTAGAGGATAAAAATGGCAGGAGAAAAGAACTCGAATAATGTTTATCATGATGTAGAAGAACGATTTGTTTTTGGAGGTGTTGGTTTGGATTGTTCAGCCTGGCCAGCATACATAATTGAAGCAAGAACAGCGAAAATTGTAAAACCCTGGGCACTGAAATAAAATAAGAATAACCTGTCTAATATCAAATTCAAGATAATTATTTTAAGAAATCTTCTTAGGCGCTCTCCTATTTCCAATTTGAAGCAACAAACAAAATGTCCATCATTTTCATATGTTGCCTGATCATATTCTGAGTCACAAAGAAATGATTAGAATTTTGAAAATCTTTAAAAATAATCACTAGCTACGAAAATTTCAGATATTCAAGTATTGTAAAAGTAATTATTTTCGAAATTATATACCAAAGAAATTTTATACATTTATTGTATTTCAAGTTTTAAACAAGACTATTCACAATTTATCATTAGTCATGAGGTCATGCTATCGTATTGTACTCGAAAAGATTTAGTTACATAGATTTCCATAATTATAGAAAGAAAATGAACTAGAGTAAATCATGTGTCTGTCCAATAAAATATTTTTCGGTACTATTGCAGTGAGAAAGCATGGTGATGTAATTGTTCTCCAACGAATTTCTATAGTGATGCAATGTACTTGTGCGGGAGTATATTTAAAGTACGAAAAAGTACACGAAAGAACGCGATGATGAAAGGACGAAGAATGATTTGCATGTAGCAGCAAATGTTCTTTTAGACCTGAAAAGTGCGTCACCGTATATTATGATGTGACGAGTGTACATAATTAGAATGCATACGTAAAGTTTTCCCTCGTCTAAAATAGTGCATATAGGACTGCTGGCTCGTATTCGAGTGCGAAAATTTTCTTTTAATGAAAAGAACGATATGTACTGATAATAAATGAACAATTTCTCATAGTAGACGGTACACACTTCTCGTGACTTGATTCGTAAAAAGTTTGTGTCTTGATTCTTTCTCATAAACGAGAATAGATTCTATCATCGAATGGTTGATATTTATATAAATATAGTGGATAATATGAAAAATCATCCAGTCACTATATGCTAACTGTTTTTTGCTACTATCAAAATATATATACTAAATAGGAAAACATAGTATTCATTCTAGAGCTGTTTTTGAAAGTTTGATCTGATAGTAGTGTTGAATTTTAAAAACAGAAACATTTAAAATACCTGCACTCTGGCAAGGATCAGCCGAAGTGGCCGTAAAATAATTTAACGAACATGAATGGTACGTACGATCAATGAATCATGAAAAATACGTGTCTAGGAAATTAGCACAGTCAATGACTGATATATTATCAACAGCAAATTAAATACAAAACGACGGATACTATTTTAGCCATTTTACTCGTATATCTGGATGTTATTGATATATAATCATAGACAATGACATATGAATTAGCTTGATTCTGCCTTTTCTCTCATCTCTGCAACTTGAACTGTGGCGACACACGTTATTGATAAAAGATTTAAGTACACGTATCAATTAAGTCACATAATGATATATATATATATATAAACTATTTTCATTTTGTCATTACTGAATATTTCTCTTGAAGAATGCTAAATGGATATGCTCCAAAATAAATAGATTAAAAAAAATATTTTCCACTGATTGACAACAACAACAACAGTGATATCGTGTTTCACATTTTTGTCTTGTAGGGATTATATCAACGACTTCTGTTTTTATTATGGTTTAACTAAGTTGATAACAACGAATAGAATTCATTAAATTTTTCTATAGTACATAGGATTAACTTTGGATAACCATACTATATAAATTAAATAAATGAGAAATAGGAAAGTAAGACAAAGAAAAACAAGAAAAAATATGTTTATCGCGTAATAAACCATGAAGTTTATTGTATGGAACTCTATTTTACGATGTATAAATATTTCTTAATGGAGAAACTTAGAAAAACATAAACAAATATGCAGCGAAAACGATTTATTGAGAATTTTACATGTGAAATCAATGAAATACGCTTGTGATTTTATTAGTCTTAAGAAAATATTCTTCATGGGTGAAGAATTGTAACAAGAATCATGTAAAATAATTGTTACTTTTAGAATCTATAAAAATAAAACAAGCTCACGATGTGTCAATTATAAAAGAACAGTTGCTCGTAGTTTCAAATAACTATCGTTTGAATTTTATAATAAAAAATAAAAGAAAGAATAAATAAAGTAAAACATACCCGATCCGAGCTCTAAATAAATATAAGAAATAAGACAGAAAAATAAAATATTTTGATATTCTTAAGCTGTTACCTACCGCATCATCATTTGTGATTGCCATTTATCGCCACGAGATACTGCACGAAGTCCCAATGTTAAAGCAGCTACTGTTGTTAATAATCCAATACTGTAGAATAAATTGATATTTCGTTTCCCCCAAGATTCAAATATCTACGTACGGTATAAGTGGATTCTTTTTAGCTTTCTCACTTGCTTTCTGTGCAAATGTTATTTCTTTAAAGCGTTCAAATTCACGTTGTTTTTCTTGTGAGTCATTCATTGGTAGATAACCATCTGACTTTGCGCGTAATTTAGAATTGTCTGACGATGATGATTTTCTTGTTTCCTTTTTAGCGGCAGGTACTTGTCCAGAACCTTGTTTTGCTTGATAATATTCAAGATTTTCATCATTATTATCCTTACTCATAGTTTTTCTTTCTCCTTCAGTATCTAGAGAAGTTCAATTAAATATATATATACGCACATAGATAGCTAACTAACAACAATACATCGTACTCATATTTGGGTGATAGTAAATTTATATTCAATTTTTTTTGTCTTATCTTAGAACCAAAACATAAAATTGTATCAACCGCTGAATATATTTTTAATATACAAGTGTAATGAATATATTGAAACCAAAAAGAACAAAACAAAAAACAAGAAGTAAACAAACGTGACACACAAGAAAGTGAAATTCTCGAATATAGGAATTGACCAAGCACAAGGTTCTACTGTTACCAAATAGTGATAAACAAGAAAAATAAACCAACAGATGAAAAAACTATTGAGAAAAAGCGCATTAAGAAAATTTCTTTTTCGTTTTTAATTTCTATACGGATGATGTCGGACTTGTGGTAATACACTTGAACGTTGGACAAGTTGGGCAGGTTGTTGAGCTACAACACCTGCAGCTGCTGTTGTTTGTTGTTGAGAGGCTACGCTTGCATTTATCATTTGATATGCTGCAGCAGCCGATTGACCAGTTGCAGCAGCTATTTGATATGCTAGTTGTTGTTGCTGTTGTTGTTGTTGTTGTTGTTGTTGTTGTTGTTGCTGTTGTTGCTGCTGCTGTTGCTGCTGCTGAGATTGAGATGCATGTTGTTGACTTTGCTGTTGAGCCGAACCATTATGTAATGCAGGACCTGCAGAATACATCGCTGGAGCTCCAGTAGTTGTTGTTGTGCCGGCTGTTGGAGCTGCTTGAGCAAGCACATAGCTTTGACCACCTGCTTGATAGATGGTTTGACCACCGGATGTTGCATAATACATTTGTTGTGGAACACCTTGTTGAGTTCCGTATTGCATCTAATGAGAAAACGAAAAAGAAAAGCATTGAGAAAACATGAAGTGTTGTTGTTTTTCTTTCACGGAATTTCTTACTTGTGAAATAAAATTTAGTTGTTGTTGTTGCTGCTGCTGCTGCTGTGAGTATGCAGCAGCCACTTGTTGTTGTTGTTGTGCTTGCACTTGTGCAGTAAGTTGAGCTTGTGCTTGAGCTATGGCTGCATAATAAACATTAGCACCATGAGCACTATTTACTGGTTGTTGTTGATTATGTTGTGCATATTGAGAATGCTGATATTGTTGTTGTTGTTGAAGAGCCGCAGCTGTTGCTGAAGCAGCACTTTGCTTTTGCGGTGATATTAGAGTAGATGCTTGTTGAGATTGAGCTGATGAGGAAGATGTTGCTACATTTGATGATGAAACTATTGAAGAAGTATTTGGTGAAGAAGTATTTATATTATTATTATTATTATTATTATTATTATTATTATTATTATTATTAACTGCTTGTGGTATTCCGATATATTCAGTCGGTATTTGACTCGCATAAGCTAATAAGAAAGATAGAAACCAATATTTTAAATAGCTAGCATTCAAAAACTATCAATATTTCTTCGACAGTTTTCACTTCTGGAAAATTAAAAATATCCATTTTCAAGAATACAGACATTATGAACATGATAGAAAGCTTATACAATTCTTGCAGACCAATGAAAACTCTCAAACTTAATCATTCAGTTTAATAAAATACTAAAATCAATAGAAACCTTGTGAACCAGTTGAAGCTGCTGCTTGCATAATAGGACTTGTAGATAATTGTTGTTGTACATAATTAGCTGGTACTTGAATATATTGTGTGGGAGTTGCTTGTCCAGTTGGTTGCCCAGCATATTGATAGACCAATTGTTGTGATTGTCCACCAACCATAGCTACTGGATATCGTGATGTAGCTGCTGTAGGTTGGCCAGCAGCATTGAAAGAAATATATTGTTGTTGTGCAAGTGATGCTTGTGCTTGTGGTTGCATTGTCGCAGTTGATGCTCCTGTTGGATTCCCAAGTAGCGCATAGCCACCATTCGCTGTGCGTACAAGCATATAACCAGCTGGAATACTGTTAATTAGATTTTGTTGTTGCTGTTGCTGCTGCTGTTGAGCTGCTGCGAATTGAACCGCTTGTTGTTGCTGAGCAACAGCTTGTAATTGAGCAGCATAGAGTGCTGGTTGTTGTAGTGATTGACCAGCATGTGTAGCAAATACATATGGAGAAGTACCAGTAGTTCCTGTTGAATACCCACGAAGAGCATCTAATGAAACACCTAGAATAAGTAAGAAACAAATAACAATAGAAGATCTTTATTATAAAAATTCAAATTCATTTTTTACCGCCATAAAGTATTGATCCATTCATACCATTGGCAAAACCAGCTGGTGCAGAATATACAGCATTAGATGCTCCTCGTAGAGCAGCTGCACTTGGTAGTGCACCTAAGAGACTTGTTTGTTGTCGATAAGCTGCTTGAACAGCTGCTGCTGAATGAGTTAATGGTATTGTAGTTGCGACAGCTGTAGCTGGTGTTTTTGAAGTTGCAACTATTGTTACTGTTGACGATGATGGAGGTGGTGGTGGTGGTGGTACTAACGAATTTAATGAAGCATCAGTATTATTTGTTGATACTACTATTGAAGATGGTGATGTTGCGGATGGATTGTCATTAGATATTGTTAAAGATGCTGATGTTGCTATGCCATTAACTACGGATACAGATGTATTGTCGGACATTGTTGTTGTTAATAGGATTTCTGCATTTGTTGATGGTGAATGAACATGATCTGCTACAGTGGGTGGTGGTGGTGGTGGTAATGGTTCTTCTTCATAAATATGTTCTAAAGCACGTGTAGCTGCTTCAGCTAATTCAATATTTTCTTTTAATTTATTTTGTAATAATTGATCATCTGTTTGTGCAATGACTCGTAATGTATCCGTCTCTAATACGTCTAGTTCGGCATCGAAATTATCGAAATTTACTGGCCATTGAGTTCCTATAAATCAAAGAAATTGTTTAAGTGGAGAAAATCATTTTTATAAGCTGTATGCAATACCATCTTGTATCAGACTAACAATAGCATAAGGTAAACAATGATGAGGTCGTTTAATTGTTTCTCGACCTTCGAATTCATATAGGAAAATCTAGGAAACATTTTTGAAGAAGTCAATTAAATTGTATTCAGAAAAAAACAAACGAGTTCATTAATATTTACTTGTGATTGGTCGAATTGTTTTTCTAAATCATCTGTTTCCTTAGGTGTAATCACTGAACAGTGACTTGTAAATTGAGGTGTGGGTGCAATTGGTTGTAATTTAGGTCCTTTTCGAACAAGTGCTGCTGTTTGTTTTCCTTCAACAATCTAATATATAAAATTATAGGATTAGATTTTACATAATAATCTATTGAACTTTATCTTAAAACTAACTTTAAAAATAATCATTTTTATTGTCATACTTCCTTCCCATGTTCGTCGAACACTCGCTTGTCGAATGCATACATCAGCATATTTGCAAACGTATACACCACATTTACTGTGACCTAAAATATAGACACATTCACGAACATATAACGTTAAAACAACATCTAAACACACGCACGCACGCACACACGCACACACACGAAAAAATTGAGAGTAATAGTAAACGATTAAAGAAGGCCCAATGGTACAGAAAACAAACTGACGACGATCAAGATTTGACAAGAATAAAAAGAAATTTAGAAAGAAAAACTAGCAATATTAATAGATAATGACAACATGCATATTATTTTTTGTTTTCATCTATATAAATCAACATATTCAAACCTAAGCATTTTTCATCCATATATAAATATATGCATGTATGTATTCTTTTCGTGATTAAAAGAAAGCAAACAACTAAATTAATGCCTTATTAACTCAAATCATTGCAATCATCAGTCAACTCGACATACAAATTTCCATAGGGGTCATGCATAATTATGATAATAATAAAAACTAGCTACTAAACAAATGTATATATTTGTACGAAGATATCGGTAATAACTATCAAAAACACAGACATAGGCAAAAGATAGCGTTGACTGAAGAAAGAAGAACTCATCTACGCCAATTTAAAACAATAAACATCCACATGTGAAAGAATTTAAAATAAATAAGGATGACAAACAATGTATAGCCAGAGAAAATTCATTTATCAATTTTTCCTTCGGCTATTTTACGGAAATATTTGTGTATGTCAATAAACTATTTGACGACAGATTGCAATGAATTTTTCTTTTGGTTTTAAAAAATGTACTACTATTATTGCTGAGTTTGACAAATGTTTTTTTTTTAAATATTTTCATAGAAAAACAATCATAACTGTGAAAACTATATATCATTCCAGTGTCGTTGTTTTTTAGGCATGAAAAAGTTTTTCATAACAATTTTAAAACTCCTGTTTTGTTTTTTATCTTCTAGTAGAGACTAATAAATGCAACTTCCTAGTCAATCACAACATGTAAACTACTCACACATACAAGTCCTAAAATCCACGAGGGTAGCAAAAGACTCCGAGAAAAATAGCACATAAAAATCACATTTATATACCAGAAGACGCAAGCTAAGTACTGCATATAAATATGAATTAGCTAGATGAATGATGATGAACCAAGTGAGATATATTACATTAAAAAGATTTGGTATATGCGACGGCGGTTGGCACAGGTGGAGGGACAGAAGTAGGAGAAAAGGCGGTGGATAAGCTCGATATTTTGTCATCATCGGTCGAAACTCACGTTGTTGCTTGTTTCATATTCATCCATTTGAACACAGTGTCTTGAGCAGTCCTAAACGAATATTCAAAACACACGAACACGCACACAAATACTTGGTTGTTTTTTTAATATAGCAACAAAAAGATTTTTCTATACATTAAAAAAATGAAATACAAATTAAATAACAAAGCCCCATGCAAGTGTGCATTTATATCAATATATCTATTGTGTAAGAAGACCCGTTTACCAATGTAAAAAAAAATAGAAAACACAAATTAACAGCAAGAAAAAAAAAGATAGACAGAGAGCACATGCAAGCAAATTCTAGAAACAGATTTTTTTTGTAAACGTGCGGCGGCGGCAGTAATCATTTTATTTTTATATGGTTAGTAATAGAAAAATAACATCAGTGAAGAATGTGCATTTAGGATCAAATTATTTTTGATAGGTGCAAATATATATAAATATAAATGTATACAAAATTTTCAATAATAATAATATAAAGGAAGACATTTAAACGAACAAAAAATGTGTAATCACACAACAATAGCATAAAGGGGATTTGAAAAAAATAGACTGAACAAGATGCTGCTAGATTATTATGTTTTTTTCTAAGGATTAGTAAAATCGAATCACAATCAATAATAATGCAAAGTGAGAGCTTGGTTGTTGCTTTTTTTTATTTTAATGATTAATATAGAGAAATTTGACAAAAACAAAAACAATAACCGATATATGTATATAAATAGCTGCGCGCTTATTGAACAACCATTTAGAGCGAAACAGAATGAAAAAACAAATGGTAAGTGAAAGAAACAGAGATAGATATAGAGCGATCTATATATGTATATTGAATGATAGTGATTTATATACTTACAAGTAAATATGAGCAAGTTTCCAAGTTATTAAACACACATATACTAGATCATACATAGAGATCAGGGCTCCTAATGGCATGGGATGGGACGAAGTTTTCGTCCCGTGGGATAATGCAAGTTGCCCCATCCCATCCCATGGGATTCAGCAAAAAATAATTTTCATCGCATTCCATCGGCGCCCATGGGATTCGCTATATCACGAAAAATCTTACTGAAAATCAAGGTTTATTTTTTTAACGGGAAATTCGGAGCTTTCCAGCATTCTGATTTGAATATTGGAATTTTAGGGATGCACCAATTTCTAGTACATTGCAAGAAAGATGACATTTTTACCTGATGTAGAATGGAATTGTCCTCTGATTTCATATATCAGCCAAGACCATTTTTTGCTCTGTAAAACGATAGCCGGGATTTATGAAAGATTATAAAAACGTTTTCGGATTTGACTCAGAATTTGAATTTTCAAGTCGTTTTCGGCCGAATTCAATTCAGTTTCAGACTTGCAGTTTGCATTGCACAAATTCTAAGAATAGATTTGAAAAGAACGGTCAAAACTGAACAGAAAAAAATAAGTAAAAAGAGGCTTAGACCATAACTCCCAATGCTGAAAACGTGTAAACATTGGATAAAACATTCAAGAAATTGACGGGATTTGATCTTTTCCCTACTTAAAAATAACGTGTCCGGTAGTGAGAATTATCGATTGAACATCTCTTTCTTCATATTTTTTTTGTTCAGTTTTGAACGCTTTTTTCAAATCTATTCTTAGAATTTGTGTAATGCAAATTGCAAGTCTGGAACTAAGTTGGATTTGGCCGAAAACGACTTGAAAATTCAAATTCTGAGTCAAATCCAAAAACGCTTTTTTATCTTTAATAAATCTGGATCATAGTTTTTCATAGATCGAAAAAAATGATCATGGCCGATATATGGAACGGAATCAGAGGACGATTGGCTCCTGCATTAGGCAAAAATTTTATCTATCGTACCATGTACTAGAAATTGGTGCATTCCTGGTTGGAATATCATTATCAATACCTTTTAATTCTCTTTGTGATGCTGTAAACGAAATTTGATTTTCTCAACTGAATATTCCTGTTTATCCGAAACTAAGGATGATAATGAAGAAGAAATAATTATAGAAGGTGACATTGAACAATTTATAAAACAAAATATGATGATATTTTATTAAAACATTGAAACACAAAGAACATTTATGTTTTCTATGTTTTATCGTATTCTTTATTCAATTGTTCGACTAGAGCTCGGAGTTAGGTTAATGACCAGTACAGAAAAAAAGAATGATAATATTTATACTTTTCACCTATTATGAAGTGTGACATAAATGAATAATCATTTTTGCTTTAAAAAATAATCACATTTCCCATGGGATTACGAACTCATCCCATTCCATTAGGAGACCTGACAGAGATAGTATGTGTGTCTTTAAGGATAAGGGAGAAGATAAGCAAGCATATATAAATATTTGCATTTATGAGAAAACAAATTATTTTTTATTAAAAATAAGCCCAGAGCAAATGTCTAGTTTTTTTTTAAATTTTGCTCAACTAAATCTTTTTTCTTTCTCCCATTCAGTGAATCAGTTGATGAAAATACAAGAATTAGTTTGAGAAAATAATCATATATATATATATATATATTTACCTAGAACATTGAATGATGTTTCTGTACAATGATATCCATTATTACATATGTCAGATACTTGTGCATCATTTTCTATTAGAAATCCATAATGTTCTTCGAATTCATATCGATTACCACCAGATCCTTTTTCAAATCTTTTTCGTATCACTAAAAAGAGATAATAGATAAAGACAAGAAACAAAAATTTTAAAGAAAATTTCAAAAAATTATTAAAAACAAATTAGCAAAGATAAAAGCAAGCATATATCATCAAACACCATATCAAACTAAGAGAGAAATTGTTTGAGAGGCATATTCAGCTATGTATGTACAAAGTGTATACGTGTGTCAGTAGGGCAGAATTTTAATAATAATAATAATAATAATAATAAACACAAAACATTTAAATTCAGATAAATATAAACAAAGAATTATCAATTTATTCTATTCAATATTAATTTTTCGTCTTTTTTACGGCAGGGATATCAACAAGCAGCAAATCAAATATCCGCACATAAAAATGAAACAAGATATGGATTTTAAATTTCTTATATATATATAAATATTTGTAACAAGAAGAGCGCATGCTGTCGCTAATAATTGTTGAGAGCATTTACGCGCAAAATAAGGAGTTAAAACAACACGCACGAATATATCTATATGTAGATAGGTATATGTATACAGACATACTCAGGAGCTGTCAGTTAGAAAAAATCAATGTGTCGAAAATCAATAAAACAACAACAGTAAGACAACACACATGCAATACATCTACAAAAAAGCAGTAGAAGATATTTTATTAAAAGTTGTTTTTTTTTAAATTAATTGATTAGAGTTATGGATATAACAAACGAAATCAATGAAGTGGTCAACTGAAAAAAAAATTCCGCTTGCTTTAATTTTCATGAAGTCATGCGTGTTGCATTGTCTTATGTGTAGATGTAATTGACACTGTAGAAAATTAATGAAATATCAGAAAGATAATTATAAGATTGTTTTCATGAAATGAAAATATCTATTCTAATGAAGATACACATGCAAAGAAAACATTAGGTTAGTAAAGTTTGTTTTTAGTAAAAATTTCACATTGAGAATTTTCACAGGCCACTATAGATCAACATGCACAATACCGTATCGGTATAGATAATCGATCAAATTATAAATATATATATATATAAACTGTTTAGAATACAATAAAAACGTACAAAGCATCCCACTAATAAAAAAAATATTTTGTATCAATACACATATAAGTGTGCGTGTATTTGTGTTAAATATCTCGATAGGTGCAAATCGATGTAGAAGAATAACTAAAACTAGATCCTATGTTCAATAATTATGGTGCTTATACAAACACACAAAAGAAAACGATTATTATATAAAGCGATATGTAAAATATTTAAAATTTAGAAATATTAAGTGAAAATATACATAGATTATTCTTAGGATGGTAAATAACATAACGTACATATTGCTCTGGTCTACGATAATGATAGAAACAGAATAAACATATATCTCGCGTAAAACAGTCTTGAGAAAATAAAACCAGAATAAGGAAAGATAAGAGCGACATTATACTTACCATTTTAATTCTTATTCAGAAAACCCATAGATAGAGAGGAAATCGAATTCAACAAAAAAGGCATATTCGTAATGATAAAGATAGTACTTACGAAAAAAATCATCCGTCAATTGTGTATTAACAATTAATTCAACTTTGATTGGTTTCCATGTTATGGGTCTTTGTTCAAGAAAATGTTTACGTAATACATTATGAATACTACGTTCAATAGTCGAATTACAACTTGTTTCTAATATTGTTTCTAATGAATAGAAAAATCATATTAATAAATAAATAAATAAATACTTTTTAAGAATTTTTCGTACTTAATGGTGTTAACAGAGGTGGCGGAGGTGGTGGTGGTGGTGGTGGTAGTTGATGGTAGTTCTCTACTATCCCGTTGGTATTATCATTATTCGCTTCACTATCAGTTACATTTTCATCCGTCATTAGTAATCAAACAATAGATTTTTTGAAGAAGAAAAAAAAGAACAATACTGAGAATGAGAATGAGAATGAGAAGATAAAAACAAACAAATATCGTCAGTAGGTTTCATTCGTGTATGTATTTCACCAATACACAGCTTGATAAAATAAAGGCGCTACATGTATTTTTATTTATTTGTAGCGACAGCTATATTTCTTTTTTTTTGTAGTCTTCGTATATTATGTATCGTTTATTTGTTTTTTTCTTTTATAACGTATAGAGATTAGGAATTTTAGTTGAGGATGATACAAATGATATCTGTTTATTTAGATGTTTTTAATAAATTTTTTATGCCTCTCATCGTTGCAATTAATCACAGGCACATATATACTTTTTTTTCTTTATATTTGTTTAGAGGATCAATCAAAAGAAAAAAATACATCAATAAAGAATGTAAATCCTTTCAATTCGAGGAGAAGAAAAAACGTGTCTTTATGTGCACCATAAATGACGTTCCTTCACGTCGTCATTTAGGAAGGTCATTGGCGTATAGTGTGATGTATTCTAATAAAATGAAATAGTTTATTTCTAAATAGTGACATTTCGTATCTCTTTCCTTTTCTTTTTTGTTATATTATTGATCAGGCTTTATTTTATCTTTCGATTCGCATTCTTTTTGGTGTTCTTCTTTTCAAGACATCTTTCTTGTAATGAAGAATAATATTTTTCTTCTGCATATATTTAACCCAGGTAAACATATACGAATTTTAGATGATTAAAAATTAAAAAACACAACACAACACAAAACAAAATTTTTATTTGGTATGCTAATTTCTATGTGGTTGAATAATATTATATATTGTTTGTGTTTTGATTGATATTAGTTTGTGTTCACCCTTCGTAATTCCCTGATTTTTTCTAAAAAGTAGTCTCGCACGCATATAAATAAATAATAAAGAATGGGTGCTCATCAATCGCGCCGTTCACAGTCACGTCGATACTGCCAATCGACAGCGGTGCCACCAACAAATGTAGTACCACCGATAGTATCAGGTAATAAAATAAGTTTAGAATTTTAAATAATAATAATAATAATAATACTAAACTAATTGATTCTTTATTCAATGCTTGATCAACACATTCTAACATCATAGTTTTTTGCATGGTTAAAAAATTTTTTATCTTGTTTTGTTTTCAGACTAAACAAAACAATGATTCTAAACTTGCATGTTGCTTTTGCTTGCATGATCTGCTATTTTCTATAATTAGAATAAGCATAATTAATTATGAAAATCTTTTTAGACGATCAACCAAAATCTTCATCGTTAACGCCAAATACTGAACTAATAAGAAGGAAGAAACATCGTCAAATGGATCGATTAAGACGAACATTAAGTTTTCGTAGTAGAAAAAAAGGAAATACGACTAATACTAATAATGATAATAATCACTCCGGTTCAATTACTACACAAACTAAAAATGGCAATAATGCTACACCCACAACGACAACTTCGCCGTCATCAACAACAGCAATAACAACAGCAACAGCTGAAAATAAACCTCCACAATGGCAAGACGATGAAAAAGCTGTACGCGCTGGTGCTTGCAGTTTTAATGTTAAGGTGAGAAAAATGAAAAAAATATTTATTTTCCATAGAAAAGAAAACAAATATATATATAAATTTTTTTCTTCTAGTATCTGGGAAGTGTTGAAGTTCAAGAGTCACGAGGAATGAACGTTTGTGAACAAGCAATACAAGCTTTATTAAATGTAGGCAATATAATTTATAATTTAATGTTTTTCTAAACAAGAATTTTTATTTTTAGCAAAAAGGGAAACATATAAAAGCTGTTTTGCACATATCCGGCGATGCACTTCGTGTTGTTGACGAAACCAATAAGGTTTGATGATTACAATAAAATATCATTTCGAGAACGAAAGATAAGAAAAGGTCAAGTTATTCCGTTTCTTCTTTCATTTTATAGGGTCTCATTGTTGATCAAACAATTGAAAAAGTGTCGTTTTGTGCACCCGATCGTCATCATGATAAAGGTTTCGCATATATTTGTCGAGATGGCACAACACGCCGTTGGTTGTGTCATGGTTTTCTTGCAATCAAAGATTCAGTATGAAAAAAATTCCGAACGAAAATAAGCAACCTTTCACATATTATAATTTATAGGGTGAACGTTTGAGTCATGCTGTTGGCTGTGCGTTTCAAATTTGTCTAGAACGAAAACAGAAACGTGATCGGGAATGTAGTGTTACTGTTGAATATTCTCAAAATGGTTCATCTTTTACACGTTTTGGTTCGTTTCGAACAACATCTATCACAGAACGTATTATTGATCCACAAAGTTCTATTATAGCTGGTTTGTTTTGTTTTAGATTAAATTAATAATATTTATCATTGAATTTTGTTTTAAATAGAACCAATACCATATAATTCAACAGCAACATCAAATTCATTCAGTTCATCTATTCAAAAGAATGGTGCCATTGAAAGACCACGACCAAAAGGAACTGATTCGGACACATTTATACGTAGTGCATCACTTCGTTTAGGTGATCTTAATCAAACATCATCATTAACTGGTTTTAAACGGCAGAGTTCATTAAGACCGAGTGATTTACCATCAATACAAGGAACAAAATATAGAGATTTGCCTTCAAATACGAGTAAGAAATCTTTTTCTGTTATGATAAATAGTATTGCTTTGTTTTATAGTTCTAGAAGAAGTAGAACCTGTTTTAACAACAAACGAACTTAATAAATTATCATTAATTGATTCAACAAATACAAATCAAGTTAACCCTGCTCCTCTACCTATAATAAAACCTGCATTCACTCCATCTTCTTTAATGACAAATACAACTAATATTACAAGTAATCAAAATATATATACAAATGAAAATTTAGCATCAAATATTTGGTTAACCAATCAAGTTTCAATTCCTATTGATCAAATACAAGACCAGTATGATTTGAAGCCACCCCTACCACCACCAACCTCAATTAATGATGCCTTCAATTCAAATTTAAGTGCTCTTGTTCAAAGTAATAATCCAACAAATCCATTTTCACCATATGGTTATTCGATGGCTGCTCAAGCTCAATCTCCAAATACCAATCACCGACCACCAGCAATATTCACACCAAAACGCGGTACGAATCCATTTGATGACGATCTCATACGACGATGAAATATTTCAGAAGTTCATTTAAAAGAAAAAGAAAAAAAAAACTATTTTTGCAATGTCTTCTTTTAGCTCATATATGTTGTCTTCTGTTCTCGGTCTAGAAAAGAAAAATTTTTTCTAATATTTGTTTTTCTTTCATTTTTTCCCTCTTGTCATAACAATTTTCTTTACTCTTTTGTTTATTAATCCGAAAAGTTTTGCATGTGTTAGCAGAAGAAAAAAATATTCATTTCAATTAATTTGTGGCAATAGATCGATAACGAATAATTTTCTTATCCAAATTATCTTTGAAAAACAGATTTAATATATGTATGTTCACGATTATTGTTTGTTTTTTCCTTGTCACTGTCTTATGTCAAATTTTTTTTCTGCGCGGTTTTTGTCATTGACAACAGTGAATTTTTTGTTGGACGAAGGCACTGGTTGTATATATCAAATGTCAATACTTATTGTTCTTCAATAATTACATATTAATCGATATTCTTCTCTTCATTTTTTTTTTGTTATGTACTAGTTGTAGAAGTCAGTTATAAAACGATCGGAATGTTGAATATGGCACGTAAATAGTTTTTGTTTTATACATTTATGTTTATGAGTAAATCGAAACTTCTATTTTTAAATAACACAAAAGTTATCTGTTTAGACTCTAGTTTCGAATACAAAAGTACCTAATGCAGACACATTTAAAGATCAATTTTTGTAGTTTGTATTTCAGTTGAATAATATTACCATTTGACTAGAGATAAATTCATATAGTCACATGTTTTGTTAACAGTACCATAGAGTGATAAAATAGATAAAATTTTAAGCAAAGCAACTGTCTCGATAAGCAGTGTAAATATAGATAGACGCGTTATTATCAAAATACAAACGAATAGTTTGAATCAAATTCAGCACATTGTTGCGCATGTGATAGTAAAAGCAGCTGCGCTACAAAATAATGTTAATATAAACAAAACAAACATTTTGACTTTCTAGGAAAATGTCACTGCGATCTGGATGATTCAACTTATATATATAGGAGTAAATAGATTTTTTTTTATTTATCAGGTGTGCTTTAAAGTAAATTCAAACGTAGAATAAAAATATTTATTATTTAAATTTTATTTATTTTGATTATAGAAATGTTTTCTCTAATTGAGTCCTGATTTTGTCTTGGACAGAATCGGAATTACAATTTTTGATCATTCAACCTTTAATTTGAATCTTCAATAATATTTTTAAAGGCATACTTCAAATTCGATTGACATAACTAATAGATTTGTGGAAATATTGTTCATAATGGAACAGATCAAAGAATATATTTTTTCTTAGAGAAAAATATTCAAGGTAAATAGATTTATATTTTTCGTTCTGCTTGACTAAGACAACCAAGGGCAAATGATATTGATCTTTTTATTTTTAGCAATATTATTTAGTGACAAGAAAAAAATATGTCTCCTAGATTGAGTATTGTATTGTTATGTAAATAAACATCTAACGGTTTTACCCAAGTGCTAATCGTACTCTTAATACAACGGTACTAATGAGGGTTGGATTATCATTATACGAAGGATTTAGACAAATAGATCAACAATGTAAATGCAAGCATAAAGAAGCAGCAAATATCAGTGAGAAAGTTCTATTTAAAACAAAAAAACTTCATATGCCATTATCTAAATCGAGACGATTATTCTTTTCACGAATTTGCATAAAATTCAATTATTATAACCGCCATAAAAAGTGATAGTATAAATTAGAGCTCTTCACATATTGAGTGCCATCCAAAATCATAAATTTCTATTTTTCAGCATCGTTTTAGTCAACAGGAAAAATCAATGGTTTCAATCTGGTACTGAATGATTATTTAAAAATTATTATCGATGATAAATCTAATTGATGACTAAGTAGTGGGAAAAGAATTATCAATTGCATGAATCAGTATTCATTGAAGAAATGATTGAACCAGTTGATAGATATCGTTTTAGACATTGAAAAGAAATACTAAAAAAAATTTGCATATTTTCAATCTTGTTTCTACGTATGTATACCCTCAGGAAATTACTTAACGAATCATATAAACATGCAATTGATGCTTAAATTCAATAATACATATAATAAAATTTCCTTCACTAATATTGTCTCATATGAATAATGAATGTTTCTTGAACGGAAAGAAAATTAGTTTTCGAAATAAAATCCTAAATAACCGAGAAGATGGAAACTGTTAAAACGGATAAATTTCGGCAAATAAAACCAATGGTATAGTCATTTTCTCAAGTAACAAATATGTCACATACTCAAATTAACGTCTAGCCTTATTACAATAGACTTAAGATCAAAACAACTTATTATGTCTAATGGTGCCAAATTTCTAAATATAAAACTTTGATCAAGCGGACATTTTGCGACATTAATTGGATTCAAAATTATCATACGAGAGGTTAAATTGTTTGTAGGCGTGATCTATCTATCATACAAAATTCTAAAAGAGTATCTGATGAGTTTTCATTCCAAAATTTTTCCCTTTAGACAGAGCTTAAGAAGACTATTGATGTGTTCTAAAAATATTCAATCTATCGAATGTTCTCATACTATAGTTTAACCTCGTTAGCAGATATTTAGAATCATTTATTGACAAACATTAAATGTTGCGAGTCCAAAAGATTCGTTTGAATTCAATTGATAAGTTATGGAGCAGAACCATTTCAAGCTGTTGCCAGTCTTAGATGATTCTATTAATAGGAACAGTACGTTACTTCTAGTTTCTCTCTCTCTCTTTCTATATATATATATATATATATATATAAATATGTATACACCGAATCTCTTCTTAATTATGTGACAATTACATAAACAGCAGTAAAAGTCAATAGAAAACCATATGTCAAAATAGTTTCATAGAATTCGAAGTAGAAAAGCAGATCAGAAAGAAAGATATTCATAGCAAAAATATCATAGGAAATTCTAGGGTATGATCATAGAAGTAATGCAGAAACTCTAATAATTTTTAATATGACAAATCTTCAGAGGCAAGATCAGTTAACTGTCCTGTCTAGATTTAACATGTTAATTTTTGTGAAGATTAGTTGTATGCTAGAAAAATTCCAGCTAAATATGGATGATTTACAATTTCCTTACAGAATACTTTACATATTTTTAGTGTTTTCACAGTTTAAAAACGTTAGTAAAATTTTCAAAAATTGATTGCATTGATCATGAGCATTTTTAAGTATGTGCAGATCACTGAAAAAATGAAGGCAACAACACAGTAGATTTTAAACTTACCTTATCACAAACTATCTACATATCGAACATTTTCATATGATAAATGAAGTTGTTCTACTGTTCAAGCATGTCTTTGCAGAAAAAGTAAAAAGATAATTATTTATATAAAACTAATTGAAATGAAAAGAACAAAAAAGAAATTAAAATAGATTCGGATAAAATCGCAGTCCTTCAATCGAATCATCCCGACAAAGTAAACCATTTGTTTCAGCAGCAATTAATCTATAAAAGAAAAATATATATTAATAATAATCTAAGATAACTTTATTTTTAGTTAAAAATATTCTACACACCTTTCTCGAGCAACAATGACAGGAATACCAATCAGATTGGCTAATTGATCTGCACTCATTGATTTTGCTGATTCCACCTTTGATTTTGTTTTTAAATATATTTAATGAGTACAACAAATCCTACATACATAAATAGAACACTTACCTGATTAGTAATTTCTTTTAAATCTTTTTCTTCATTGTGATTGGTCAATTCAAAACTTTTTATACCCGAACTTAACACACGTAATCTAGATATAATAGAAAATGATTATTTTCATTGCAAGAGAAAAAAAACACATCGTCTCTCTCACCTAACAGGTAAATTTAATTGTTCCATATGTACAGCTGCATTAAGCAAATCTTCTGGTGAAATTAACTAGAATAGCGAAAGAGATTTTTATTTCATAATTCATCTAGTAAACATAAAACAAGATCATACTTCATAACCACGAGCACGATTGATGCGACAAAATGCATCACTCAATGTCATGATACCATTAGTATCCTGAAAATAATTTATAATTTAGTTATAAAAAATTTTCAATTTTATTTACTTGCTTTTAATGATTTTTCTAAGAGCGATGCGACTTCTCTCGCCAACGATACATGATATTGACTACCAGCAGATTCTTTTGTCACAGGATTATCAATACCAAGACTAAGTAAATAGGATCGAAAACGAATTGTCTAGAAAACCAAACTGTTTTGATGCAGAACAAGAAATGAATTCTTATGAAAAGTTGTGTTTACTTCGTCACTAGTTAAATCACTACGTTGTTCTTGAATTTTATTTGCAATTGTTTTTGATATATTAACCATATCTTTAGCCTTAAGAAAAATACTTTAAACAAAAATAAAACTATAATTATCATACTGACTTGTTGCATTAGATTATTTAAATCTTGAAAAGCACCACTAATCGATTGATGTTGAACATTTAATTGATGTTGTAAATGATTTTCAATACCCGAAATACCGGTACGATGTGAACGATCACTCTGAAATAAATAAATATCAATGTTTCTTTTTGTAAAAATGTTTCTGATGTAAATTTTCAACAGACCATAGCTGCATTCATCGTTGTGGTTGGTTTAGCTGGTTGTACTGACCAACGTTTTTTAGCTAATTCTTCTTGAATCAAACGAAAAAACTACGAAGAAAAATATTTCTTTTCAATTATAATTAAATATTGATGATTACTTCATTACAACCCCCGTCGCGAAATTCAAATTGTATTTCATCATGAGTACTGCTTGCAAATGGACCTGGACGTTTTGTTTGACTTTTTGAAAGAGTACAGATAAGACGAGCTCTAATAGAAAAACAAAGCAGATAGTATAATGTATTTTATAGACGAATAAGCGACTTGAACCACTAAAAACTTTTAGGATAGTCTAATTGTTTTCATTACAGAGTACTAATTATTTGACAAATTTAGATTTCCTAGGCATGAATATTACATTTCTTTTTCAAGACAGACGTGAGGATTTCTTTTTAACAAAATGTAACTGTAAATTTGTATCAACGATGCAGACTGGCAGCATTAACTCGTAACAGTGATCACAATACTGTTATTTAGCATTAAAAATTTGTGCATCGTCATTGCAGTTCGAGGCTGCCTCCGTCAAAGCAAAAAATTAATGACTCAATCGAGGGATACATTTCGACTGGAAAATGTATCAAATACTCGAACATGTTTCTTTTATTACTCACTTCAAGTACCAAGATTAACTAGTATGTCGTACGTGGTATTCATTGAATAAATAGAGACAAAGATAACGGTATAATGGGATTATCTATACTGCCATCGCTTTTGTAGTTAATGTCTGTGATAGTCATATAAAAGTTTAATAATAGACACTTATGAGAATATTATGCATAAGCAAAATATAGTGATAATAAACTCATGCTAATGAGAAAACAAAATCATGTCAATTTTTATTTCATTTATCACTAGGAGTACACTCACAAAGTAAACTAGATGGTATTCAAGTTTCACTCGAATACGAATGTGATGCGAAGCTCGAATCGGATCTTCACGAAAAATCTTCAATTCAGAGAAATCTTGAATACTTTTTATGTCGACATGATGAAATTCATCACTGAGAAAACTCTATTCTTACTGAGCGATACATTCTTCAGGGTCGATTTCGATTGATCGACTAATTATCTTCATGATTCATTATCTAAGATCAGCTGTAAATGAATAGACTATAGTGGTTACCGTATGCTCATGACGCCACTTTAATTATCTCACAACAAATTTCTTTCATTTTGGAACCACATTTGTGAGCGAACAGAATATCAGATTAAAGAATAGAAAAAATATGTCAGAAGTTCGATCTCGATACTTTCATCTCCCGTTTCAATGAGTTTTCTATGATTTTCGGCACTCGAGATCATCGAGTCACGAAATGATGAAAAAGATGCGTATGTCGAGAACGCAAAAGCAAAAGAAAACACGCGACGAACTGCATAAATGGTATGCTTCGCATCGCATTAAAAACAAAATTCAATTATTCTCGCAGCGCGTTTTTAACCTAGTTAAATTAATTTCAACCAACCAAGAATATGAGAAGATAAATAGCTAAATTGAATAACAAAACCTGTAATACAATAATGTATAAATACTGAATGAATAGTGGTATGATGAAAACTACCAATCCATTGAGTAATATTTAAGAAATAGATCCTAAAGAAACTTAATCAATTTTTCCCAAAAATCTAGAACAGAGTTCGATTGTGTTCAATAACATGAAATAGAAATAAAACTCAAAGAAAGCTTTCAAATGAAGAATCTTCTTCAAACAGCAACAGTTTGATCTTTCATCATTGTGAGTATTTGTATCTTATCAAGGATGTTTTAAATAATATCCTAATTACGTTTACGAACTAATATGTAATTGCACATGTTCTGAAGTAAATTGAGATTCTTCTCTGATATATATATATATATATATACATTTGAACAGTAATTTTACTCAAATGCTTGCTTATGAACGAGTTTTCACTGTTAAATTTAAGAAAACTTATTTGGTGCAGATTGTTTAATATTTTTTATCAAATGGTTTATGCAACTTTTGATTTGACTAATTTCTATATTTCTGCTACATTTTCTTTGAATAGTACGGTTAAATTTAAATTAACTCATTTATTTATCAATGTATACATATAACATTCTTCGAAAAGAAAAAAAGAGAAAAATCTGACATAATACAATCTATCTTATAATTATTGTGGATTGTTTTGAGAATGATGCATTGAAGCAAAGTGATGAAGTGTTTCATTAAGGAAATTAATTTGTGCAAATGATCGAATAAAAATGTGTTCAAACACATCAGGTATTGTTAAACGTTCTAGTCGATCATATTTAAGTAAGTGACTTATAAAATGACTCGCATCCATATGTATATTATCGGGTAACACATAATCACATGACAAAATACGTTTTTTTGTTATGGTTAATTCTGCATCATAGAAAGGCGTTGTTCCAGCAAGTAATTCATATGTTATTATACCTAAACTCCACAAATCAGCTGATTCTTCATATGGAATAGGTGATTTTGTTGTTGAATCAGCCGGTGAACATGATAAATCATCAATATTTACATCTTCATTTTCAATAACTTCAGGTGCCATGTAATCCATCGTACCAATATACTGTGTTCTTCTTGAACTTGGGCAATGTAGTGCAAGTCCAAAATCGGCTAATTTTATTTCATGAAATTGTCCTAAAAGGATATTTTCTGGTTTCAAATCACGATGCATTATTTTTAAACGATGGCAATAATTCAGCGCGTCCGCTATTTGATATATAAATGTTGCTGTTCGTATATTATCCAAATGTTGATGATGTTTTAAATATGAAGCTAATGTATCATTAGCTGCATATTCGAGTATAACATATATACGACTTGAATCATAAAAAAAATCATACATGCGTAGTATATGTTTATGGAATAAACGCATATGAATTTCAAGTTCACGTATTAATTGATGTTCTTGTTGATACTGTCGAATGGTTGATTTCTGAAAAACAAAATTAAAATTAAAATTTTTTTAGAGAGAAAAATGATTTTGAGTATTTACTTACCTTAATTACTTTGAGAGCACAAAGAAAGCCTGTTTTCTTTTCTTCAACTAAAATTACAGTCGAAAAAGAGCCTTCTCCTAATCGTCGACCAATATTAAAATCATCAATAGACCATTTTTTAGTACGCTTTTCATTTGGCTCTTGTTGGATTTTGGTTTGATACGGTGTAACAATATTCGAAACATCCATAGAAACATGATTCGAAGGTGATTTTAATGCATCGTCAGAAAAAACATATGGATCTTTTTGAATATTAATAGCTGGTCGCATAGGCGTCGATGATGACGCATTTTTTATCATTCTAAATACATGCATATATATGTATATGTATATATATATATATATTCTTTTAAATAATCAATATTAAGAGAGAGAGAGAGAGAGAGAGAGAGAGAGAGTGAGTAAGATTTAGTGCTCTTGTTCCAAATGGTAACATGATGCTAGCATTTGTCATTTTTTAAGCGCATTTCTGTTTTTGTGAATGTTTCAATATAATTTACATTTTTCTCACATAAAACAAAAATGCACATGATCACATGGCTTATAATAAGAAAATTTTGAGACGTCAAAAATAAAAGAAAGGAATAACGACATGAATAACAGAATATAGAAAACATATGTTGATATGTAAGGAAATATAGAGTGACAATTATTTTAAAAAAACAAACTAAGATCAAGAGAGAAAGACGAAAATAACAAAATTCGTCAAAACAAAAAAAAACAATAGAATTAAATCAAAATAGAATAGGTTTGTCACGAGTTTGCTCAAGAACATAACTTGTGAAACGTTTAAGAAAACGAGGATATTCACGTTTAGCCACACTAGATAGAAAAGAAATTATTTTTCGATGTAAAGAATAGAAATAGTAAATCAAAGTTTACCTTCTCAGGGCTGCACTGGGTACCCATCCACCAGGATTGACTAGAACAAAAAGTAAATGAGATAAACTTTTATTTTCATATCCCATTTAATTTATATATTATTTAATTAATTCATGTGCCTAACTACCATCAGTGGTGCTATTTTATTGACATTATTCTTTTCGGAATACTAACTGTAACACTGAGTAATGACAGTAATCAATGAAAAAGCAGTGCACTATCATAGATAAAATGTTAATCAATTCAGAACTTTAGACTTCGGAGAAAAATAAAAAGTACAGGTGTTCTGCAGTAATCAGTTTTCTGCCCAGGTCGAAAAATCTGACGTCAAATCTCACAATTCGAACGAAATCTTATAAGCATCAGACAAAAAATCGTCGTCTCTGAAATCTTGCATTAGATCGTACTGTATTTTCTTTTAAGGTCGCACATACAATTTATTTTCAATACAAATTTGTCGTGATATTTTAAGGAGATATTATTTTAATTAAAATATCACAGTGATATTTCTATAGATAACAGAACCTTTCAAGAATCTTCTGATACGACTCAGTGTAAGAAATCAGAGACGACGATTGTGCGTCTGATCTTATCAGATCAGATATGATCAAACTTACGATTCTTGTAAGATCTTGCCGTCTGGTTTCTCGCCCTGAGTGTACATGATAAGAGTAAATTTATTTTTCATGATATATAAAACAATAACAAAATTAGTTCTTTATTGCTTTTCAATATTTTCACGTTTAAATTCAGGAAATTTTTGAAAAGCTTGAGCTGTTATACTTTTCACTGTTTTTTCGATTGAAGCATTTCAAAATAATGTCATAGACTTGAACGTCATTCAAAAATATGAGATTACATGGATTAATTTTATGTAGCTAAAACAACTTTCTCATGTCTACGAATTATGAAAGCATGGCTTTTATCATGATAGAGATACTTCAATGTAAAATATGTTTTGTTATTGAATCAATTGAGATCCTGCTATTATAATTCTGTTCAGTTACGCAGTCAAGGAAGAAAAAACTCATTCCTAGCCATTCGGATGGCTAGGAATGGATTGGAATGACTCGGAATTGCTTTTAATTAATCGCTATAAATTAGTGTCTTGATGTAGTTCAAACTATGCAAAAACGTTAAAATTCATTAGAAATATGATTATCACTATGGTCGAAGTGCTCTTACTAAAGGAAGCCTGTTGAAAATAGTATAATCGTTTTCCAATATGTATCAGACTTTATTCATCTTCATCATATTATGTTGTTACTGACACACGTGAACATTTGTCATATTCATAATTACAAGTAATTACTAACAAAGAAATCCATCTTTATGTTGATAAAATAATATTTTAATAGAACTAATTTACGATGGAGCCTCCTAAGCTGACCCCCACAGATTCCAATGAATTTTTGTCCATTGATATGGCACGATGTTGTCTAGTGAAAACATTGCACTATTTTCAGTGCGCAGTGCTTTCTTCAAAAGGTATACGCATTTTTCAGATTTTTTTCCTTTTCTTTGAGTTATCAGAAAGTGAAATAAACAAATTTTGATATGGAAATTTGTTAATAAATTGACAGACTAAACACTAAAACTCCATGAAACTTTTAGCAATAATAAATATGTTCTTTTAAATATATTCCTTCAAAAAGTTCGTTTGTCTAGTGTTGTTGAAAAAAGGGTCTATTCTTCAAGAAATGAGTATATTTCGAAGAACACATTTGTTATTGCTAAAATTTTCATGGTGTCTTAGTGTTCAGTCCGCCTATGCAATTATTAACAAAATTTCGAAGCAAAATCCGATTTTTTCACTTTCTGGTAACTCAAAAAAAAGGAAATCTGTAAAATGAGTATAACTTTTCAAGAAAGTGCAATGCATTCAAAGTCTTTTGGTATTTTTACTATAACATCATGTAGTATCATGAACGAAAGCTCATTGGAGTCAGTGGGGTTCACCTTGGGAAGCTCACTAGTCAGTACTGTCACAAAAATGTACATTTTCGATTTAATATGCATACATAGATATATTAGTTATTGTAAAGAGCAAAATAGACAAAGTGTTTAGAACATTGATTCCAAGCATAAAGGAAAACAGATAGTAATGAATTCGGCTGGTCGCTCAGCTAGGTGCTATTTAAATAATACTACTAAATGTATCTTTTTTTTCGAATTAACTCGATACTATTTATGATTTTTCTTATCCTTGAAAGTTACTTGAATATTATAGAAAACTAGTCATTCAGTATGTACAAATGGGGATGATTTAGAATAATTCGGAATCACGGATATCACAGGCTGCCAAGATTAGATGAGAGCAAGACTTTCAATGACTTAAGTAATTGATCAGAGGATTCTTACAAAAATTAGTTAGAGTTAAGGAGAGTTCCCAATTTTTTTGAAAATTGGGTATAAAAAAGATACAATCACTTTGCTCAAGAAAACCAAAATGCTTTTCGGGACCTAGGGATCAAATTCTTGCTGTACGTTTAGAGTAAAAGTAGTCCACATCTCAAATGAATTTTTTCCATTTCATCCATATTTTTTATGTACTTGAATTCGGCTAATGCGTAGTTTTCAATCAATGGAAATCTATTGCTTTTCAATGATTTATATCACTACTTATGAATATGCGTTAACTAAGTTTAGCATTATGCAAATCGTCTTCAATGAAAAGCTATAACCTTTAGAAAATGACAAGGTTCTAAAGACAGATATAGAAATTTATGGAAAATAACACTACATGAGAGTAGGTGTGGACCATTTACATTAATTTAAAATTAAGTTCAACATCATCAATTAACAATAAATTGCGAGTATGAAGTGTTAAGAAGGAAGAAAAAACATCTTAAGTTTCATGCTAACTGAAACTACTTCAAAGTCTCATTAAGAAAAATGGTCCATCCCTATTTGAGAAAATTTTAGAATAGCTAGGAATATATTGGAATGGTTGCGAATGGATAAGAATGACTGGGAATACCCAAATGAGCCCCCCCTCCCCACCCACCCCTGTAGGCAGTAGCCATTAAGAGAAAAAAATAGATTGACAATGGACAGCACTTCCAGTGATCTGCAGTTTTCAACAAGTAGCATAAGTGAAATTCGGACGTCTAGTACTACACAACACAGTTATTTTGTAAATCTTTATCGTGGTAAAACCTTCACAAAGAAAATTAAGTGATGTTTTAATGTAATTTTCATTTGGATATCTCCTACAGATAGAAGAACTTCAGGACTATGATTCAAATTATTCATTTATACAGATGTTATGTAGCGATCGATAGTTTCAAAATAATTTTGTCTTATATTGTACATTATAAAGCAAAAAGACATATAAGTGTGTGCTTTTCTAATTGTTGATAAACGCCAGCTCCTACCAGATGTTGTTCTCATCGGATTTTTGAACTTAATTACTTCCTCTCCCCCAGCCCCTCACTCATTAATATATCAGTCTAATAGTTGAGTACGTGTTTATTGATATGTCAAAATAAAATAAAGAAAAAATGAATTGATCTTACCGAAAGCAACATACGTCAATTTACATTCAATATTTTCTCGTTTAATATCTTGGATATTTAGTGGTGGTTCATTAATAATGGTTTCGCATATCAAAGCGACATTAGCAACAAGGCGAACATGAGGTGATTTTATCTATTTAAACACAAATAAATAATAAAATCGGTAAAAGAGTCTGTTTACTGGTGCAAGATGGTGTGGAGTAGTATAATTAACAACAAGCCATGTCGGTTGATCTTCTTCAGAGTTTGATATACAACGAATATGAGACCAAAAACATGAGTCCCGTTGAGCTGCTGGCCACACACGTTTATGCATTTGGAAGAAGATAACCGTATCTGGATCTAATACTTCAATAATTTTCGTTGAGTCAAGTGTCGCTATAATAAAACAAATTCAGAATGAAACAGAATAGAATGAAATTAATTGATCTAGACATACTTTCCCATTCCATACGATACTGATAGTCCCAAAAATACTGACAAATTTCATGACCAGTCACACCCTATACAAATTAAATATATATATATGTATATATGTATATATATTGTTATAAAAAACAAAATAAAATAAAATAGTTTACTTTCATAGAATGAAAGATTTTCAATGGATCAACAACAATACCATTCTCCTCAACTTCACGTCGATATACTTTCATTTCACCTTCTTGATGTATTAAATCCCATCCGTCACTAATTTCTTCACGAACATATGTTAAATGTTCTTGAACAACACGTTCAACCTAACAAATTACATATTAATATCAATTGATTTTTCGATGGATAGAATGAAAAAAATCAATTTACATCATAAGCTAATCGATGTTTTCTGTTGACCGATGTATTTCCATCGTTTGGTGTCGAAACAACTGCTGCATCATTTATTTTTGTAGAAGTATTTTTAGTCATATCTGATGTTATAGATCGTTTTGATGTGGAGCTGTGGTTAACGGACGACTTCGATGAAGTGAAAGACAATGTCACCTTAAAATAAATGGCAAAATAATATAAAAATGCGCATGTAGTATAAAAATAAACATTTGGGTATAAATTCATATTAGACCTTATATGTTGACTGAAAACTTAACGCACTACAGAGTTTTTCAAATGGATTGACACGAACATAATTATCATTATTGCTATGCGTAGACGATGTTGTTTCGAAATTATCATCGTCTGTACTGTGAATAGTAGCAGTCGAAAGTGAAGAAGGAGAAATATTTGATGAAGTCGATATTAAAATAAACTTGTGCTGATTATAAGCACGTTATATACCTCCAGCATAACTTAATGACGATGAAAAGAACGAAATAAATGCTGCAACAGATACGACTGTAGCTGGATTTAAACAGTGTGATATAAATGCAAATGACGATGGAATAGGAAAACTTGATCGTATCGATTTCACTGAAGGATTTTTTGTTTTATCTCTGATCGCTGTTAAATACGTTAGTGAGCTGCAGATTCTGTATATATTGAACAGAAAGTGTAGTTAACACTTACAGAGACAGCCTATATGAATTAATGTTTTATTTTTGTTTAGATATCTTTCTCTTTCAATTCTACTGGAGTTGTATATGATCGCCATACATGAGGAGAAAACACCTGTGACATATGATCATTTTTAACACAGATGTGATAATATTGAACAAAAAGTTTTGAAATAATATACTTCTAAATTCAGGCGTGTTTCAGGTTCGTCAAGATTAGAGACAAGGTACTGATTCACCACAATAATTGAATTTGTTTTTAGTTAAAGCAGCCTAAAATTGTTCGGGTGGAGTGAATTCAACGACTACTTCGGGGATGAATGAATAACAAAGCAGAAAAACAATGACAAGACTTCGCATGTATCTGGAAAAAATACAGTCAGCGATTAAACACTAATGCATAATAGTTGATATTTTTCACCTAAACTCAACCAATACGCCATTTTTTTGGCATGAATTGATATAGAAGACAGATTTTACGAATGCTCATCAAAACATTTTACAACCCAAAAAGTTTTCACATGGTAAATGAAACTTTGATGATAGAATAATCAAATCATAATCTAGTAAGGAAATGTTTGGCACCTTTTTCTTTGTCATCAAGTAAGTGAATGAAAGAGAAGGGTATAGAAATGGATAGTTCATATTTTTATATCACTTCGATGCACATAAACTCGTACATCGTTTTCACATCGCTATCATTGGCACTTCATTGCAGACGAGTAATAATGCAATAAAATATTAACGAGAAAAACAAGGAAAAGTAGTACTCACTGAACGTTGAAAATCGTCAGCTTCACGATCGAGTCGATCGAGCGATTGATCAATGGCATCGAAAAACTCATCTTCTTTCAATGTACTATGAGGACCTTCCTTCAAAAATGACAGAATAATTATTCAATCAATGTACATTTTATTTTTATGCTCAAGATCGTTACCTCAGCATCTGGCGAGCCCAGCGCAGGAATTTTTTGATTGACTATATTAGTGTACAGATCTTGAAATTTTTTTCTACGTTCGAGTTCCTATTAATATGAGGTAAAAATTAAAATCTGATATAGTATTGTGATTTTTATTCACTTTTTCATATTTTATTCTCCAAGTCTCTTCTCGTTTTTGCATTAATTCAATAGAGAATGTTAAATTATGAATTACTCCATCCGTCGTTGCTTTGAATGTCAAAGCTACATAGAAATATCATAATCAGTTTACAAAGATAAAGACTAAGGAAAGTTGATGTATGATAACCTTCGCCTTTGAAATCAACAGCCATAGCTGCATGATCACCAAGTGCAGATCTATCAATTCCTAAATATTTATTAAGAAATATAAAACATTGATAAAATATAAAAATCGAACTCAGTTTTGATGGTGAAGATTTAACTACTTGACTTGATAATGATGTCGGTGTACCATGAATTTTATCTAATGGTTCTTCAAAATCTAAATCCTGTAAATTTTCATCTAAAAAATGTGCAAATCTTCTATTTTTTAATTAAAACAAAATTGATTTTACTAACATTCTTTTTGGTACGGTTCAAAACCTTTTGTTACTGCATTAGCACATGCATCAAAATAGGTTTGTAATGTTGCAACTTGCTGTGCAAGCAATTCACGATATGTTTCTAATTCACTTAATTTTATTTTAAGACTACGATCTTTCTATAAAATCAAAGTTAACAATCCTGCTTTGTAAAATAGGTAATATACTTACTCTGAATGAACCAGTTGAAGTAACACCAGCACTAGCTGTCGATGCTAATGATCCTAGACTTGGATACCGTCTTAAACTTGTTTCACTTCCATAACCGGATTCACTTTTACACAATTGTTTATGATCTTCTAAGGCGTGCATCCATCGTTCACGATCATCAGAATTGTGTGCACGTAAGTACCATACTGAATCGCTCACACGAATATCAAAACGGCAGTCATCAAATTCATGAGGCTAAAACAAAAGAGCTTTGAATAAAACTAGGTTTGACAATATACTAAAGATTTTTCTTTAGATAAATAGGATCGTTCTATCTAGTCTATTTTACATAGAAGAAAATAGATTCAATACAAATAAATAAAAACTCAACAGTTGATTCGAACTTAAGATGACGTGCGTATGGAACTTATCTATTTTTACATTCACACACATATGAATCGGTGCACTGACAACGTCACTTGAGTATAAATATAAACATCTTCAATGCAAATTGACTTTAAATGATTAGTAAACTAAAGAGAGGTGTTATATTTAAAATAGTTACAATAACATATACATGAGAAAAGTATTTATGTTTTGTTGCCCTCATCTTATTAACTATTGAATATCCACTTTTACACATTTTTCTTTATAACATATTACTGAATAAATTATTGCCATAATTAAATGGTTCTCGATAACAACAAATAAAAGAATTTATTCTACATATGTTTGCATGTAAATGAATAAGTAGTTTGATAATGTTGTCATAGACTTCAGTTCTAATATCTAACTATTGAGTAAAATTCTCTAAACTTTGTAAGTACTAAAACTATACACTATTTGCAACATGTTTAATTCGAAATCAATACATTTTTATGACTAGAATATGTGATCTAATATTTTGAATAGTCTTCATATTATTGAAATTTAAAAATATTTCACTTATTCATACCTTCTCAATCAAACTATTTTTACCTGAATCGTAGCTTGTTTTACAGATAGAGCTCCACGGCAACCAAGAGTAATATCAAATTCATTTTTATAATAATTTAAAAATCCATGTCGTAATACAAGATATCTTTCTTGCCAACCATGCAAGTAATTTGTCCATTTAAAAAGTCTTCCTTGAAATTCACCATTACGAAATGATCCACCGATTGTTTTTTCATCTTCAAGAGATTCTTCATCATCAGATGTTGTTGCATACTCAGTGATTGATGCCATTTCAAAGTTTACGAAAATTGTGTCTTTCGTCGATAACTTCGCCGTTAGTTGTTGTTCATATATAATCAGGAAAAAGGATCAACTAATTTATAAAATTAATGAAGCCATTTATATGAGCAAAAATCAAAGAAAAAGAAACGACAACGACAAATATCCATTATAAAAAAAGATAGAAAACTATGGACCAAATTCAATTTTAATTGGTTTACTATACGAACGAATAAGAATCGGAGCTGAATTTGTTTTCATGCAAAGCAAAATAAATACTGTTGTTCGTCTTCATCGCTTCTTGTGCGTTTTTGTTGATGTGGTTGTTTTTGTTTTTGGGATTACAATTAGTGAAAAGAGCATGGAAATGATAATAATGCAAATTTTCGACCGCTAGATATATAATTTTTATAAAAAGGGATTGTTTTTCTAAAAGGCATAGATCAGTAAGACTTCATTTTTTAAGAAAGGATAAAAACAATCTTTTTTGATTATTCATCATATAGATTTTTTAAAATTAATTGATACCAAAATGGGGTTACTAAATTATCGGTATTTAAATCAAGGTCACCTGAAAGGTCTTAATGAATATAAGGTAAATAAAGTCAGTATTTTACTTATTCCATGGTATTCATATTATCCTCGTAGTATAATGCTGTTGACACATCCCCCGTATCTAATTATATTATGCAACCATTTTGGAATTGGTGCGTTGAGGTAAAGTGAAAGTTGATCTTTTTTTTAAACAAAACACATTTTTAATTTGAAGTTTTTTCCACGTTGGTTGGCACCAAATTTAATGACGCTTCTTGGTTTTCTTTTTCTTCTGGCTAATTTTGTGATATTTTCGTATTATGACTTTCATTTTACTGAAGCACTTGCTCTACCACCATGGATTTGGCTTGTTGCAGCTGTATGCCAATTTAGCTCACACCAATTAGGTATGATCAATTAGTTGATGAAAATTTTTCTTAGATAAATAGTTTTTTAGATGGTATGGATGGAAAACAAGCTCGGCGTACCAAGAGTAGTAGTGCTCTAGGCGAATTATTTGATCATGGTGTTGACTCATGGGCTAGTTTCTTGTTTCCAGTTTGTATTTTTTCTGTTATATCGAAAGATGCATATGGATTTAGTCCAATGGCTATGCATTTATTACTTTTATCTACTTATATACCATTTATTGATACACATTGGGAAAAATACAATACCAAAATACTCTATTTACCATGGGCATATGATATATCAATGTTGGTAAGAATAATTATAAATGAAAATTATAGATATAAAATTTTTGAATTACATTTGCATAGCTTATGACTGCAACATATCTATTAGCATTTTTCTTTACCCCAGCTATATTTCGTTTTGATGTTCCTATTATCAATGTCTCATTTGCACGCGTAGCGCAATATGTATGGCCACGTAAGTTTGTTGAAATAATAATTTTAAAAATATATAGAATTTTATTGCATTTATTGTATTATTTTTAGTTGCTGGATTATTGACCTCAATTCCGATTAGTATTGTTCACATTTATGAGTAAGTTATCTGATTTTGTTTGGCGTAAAGTACCAATGAATGCCATCAATTTTTCCTTAAATAATAAAAATAACTTTGCATCAATCAGAACGATCGATTTAATAATGTATTCATTATTAGTATAGCGTTGAAGTTGTGTCAATAAAATAATATTTAATACAGTAGGATGCACGACAGTCTTATTACGGCTAAAATAAACTGTTTTCACTTTCAGACGTATTAAAGTGAATTTAAGCTAGTTTCTACTGTTGTGTAACAGCATGAATACAGTTTGATCATTGTCAAATCATGTAATAATTATTAGATATTAGAACTGATCTGAAATCTGAACGCCTTTTTTTTTTATAGATGCAGACAACATTTTGAATGTTGTGCTCCAATTTAAAATTATATTATGAGATGTGAGAAAATGTTTTAGAACAAAAAGTTATCTTTCGTACCTCAGTTGCAGAATAAGCAGATACCATGAAAAATGTCTCAAATATAGACAAACTATTGAAAAAAGATTTTCTTCCTAAGAACACAGCCGGAAAATAGAATACAAATGTTCACTCACGCATTCAAAGAAAATGTAAAAGAAACTGACTTATTGACTAAACAAGAAAGTTATGTGAAATACGAATCATCAACTAATAGAAATAACTGAATCCTAATCACGAAAAGAATACATTCGATAGTAACATAAGACAATACAGTTTTGATATTTTCTATTAACAAATAAATCATAGAAGTTCTATATGAATCTTATGCTCTTATGGTTTAACGAATAATTTGTTAGTTAAATTTTGTAAATGAGTAAATTTTCCAAAGAGCTATATCATTTTCGAAAATTTCTCTTAACTTGAAACACTTCTCTAACATGCTTTCGTACATCACATAGAGTCGATACGTCCACGATACTCGCTCTTTTATTCTACTTCAATGGCTTATCTTTCTTCATATCGGATAACGAATATAATGTTTGTTAATTGGTTATTTGTATCGAAGTTTCAGTCATAATTAGGATCAGATTGGATTGCTTCGGGTCAAAAACCTTTTTTGATCCATATCACAAAATTATAGAAAATCACGATTTAATAAGACATTTCACTATTGATTTACTATTTCAGTTAATTATCTAAAAAAGAGATGGTTTTTCTTCTTCTTGATTGGCCAGTTACGATAAATACTCGTAGCTAAACGTTTCAGAAATAATTTACATTACACAAATATTAAAAGATTCAATGAATAATAATAGTATTTGTCTGATCATGTCACATTGATCATTCATCTTACGTATTCCTTTCAGATATGTTTCAATGAATTTTCTTCGGTGAAGAAGTAGTCGTTATGAGCATAATCAAATATGAAATACTTAGTTTTCTATAACAGAAATTTGATTCCGTTGGATCTAATTCAACAGAATTGATTATTTTCTACGTGAAGATTCTTTTAAAACTACTCTAGTTTAAAAGTTGATCCTATTATAGATCGTATCGCAGTGGTAAAGGTTATAATCGAACATTTTATGAAGCACTACGACCGTTATTATCACCAACTATTCTATTCATCTCCTCAACTTGGTGGGCAATTGCATCACCTGATACGATATTACAACAACAACCACGTATATTCTTGACAGCGGTTGGTACGACTTTTTCCAATATTGCTGTAAATATGAAATGTTTCTTTTTCTGAATGGTTACTCTCTATATTGTTTCAGTGCCGCCTTATTGTTGCACAAATGACATCAACTCGATCGGATGGTATTAATACTCTTCTCTATATTTTTGTGCCAATACAAATAATGTCTGTTTATGGTGTATTTATGAAAAGCGCAGAATTAACTTGCTTATATTTATATACTGCAATTGCTATTTTAGCACATCTTCATTATGGATGTTGTGTGGTTAGTTGAATTCTATGTAATAATAGTATTAACGTGATTATATTATAGGTTCAACAGATATGTGATCATCTGAATATATATGCATTCAACATAACTGCTCGCTCAAAGCAGTCGTCAGCAACTACAGTTAATGCCAAACATTCTTAAAACAATCGTACTTTAGTTCTTTTTATTTAAATTTCTTTTTTCCCTGAGTGCTCTGCTATTCTATGTTCATTTTCACATTCCATCTCATTGATAATATTCAACATAAAAAGCTTTGGTGAAAAAAGATTATTACCAAATCATATCTTTAGCTGTATTTGTGCATATGTATAAGTTCCTTTTTTTTGGTTTGCTTGGTGTGAATTTATTTTGATTCTGCTTGTTGTTTTATATCTTCATTCATTCTGTATTTGTTTGTACCAAGATCATGATCAACAATTGGTGTCTGTTATCCCGGATATTCGATTTTTGTGCTTTTTTTTGCTATCTAAATCTTTAATTGTAAGATGAGAACTTTTTTCATAACATATACAAGGAAATAGAGTGCACTTTTTTCAGAGCAGAAGTAGTTTTGATAATAAAAGAATGGATTGATTATATCATACAATTAGATAAAACTTAGAAAGACGATAAACAATTCCATACGGTAGCGATCGAATTCGCAGCATATCTATTTCTATATATAGCTTTCATTCATCATTAGTATGAATTATGTATAGATGTTATAGTAAAACTTTTCTTTTCTTATTTGACATTGATAGCGATTTGAAATTTCTCTTTATATATATATGTTGACATGGAAACAATAAATAGTATTTATTCTTATTAATTATTGTTCTTAATAAGCTTACAATCAAGAATAGAAAACTGTTTTGAATGGTATGTGCTTGTTAAATACGTGTTGTTGACCATTATATTTTATTCCTGTAAAAAAAAAGATTTCTAAATGAAAGAAAAATTCATATAAAAATAAATTCTTACATAATTACGTTTGCTATTTAGAAAATAACGTTTGGATTTTAGGAAGTATCGTTTTCGATTTAACATTGAATCTTCTTCATTGTTTTCGCTACTAAAATCATCATTGACATATTGCTGTAATTGACGTCGTGTAGGTAAAAATCGTCGTTTGGTGATATAATGAACATAATCACCAGAATTACGGTCTTCGTTTAATTGCTATGTATGTAAATAATTATATCAACAATAAGTTAAAGCTAGGGAACATACATAATACTTACAAGAAGAGGATCAGGATAAGTGACATCGATGGCTAAATTAGCTCGTGTATAGATGAGAAAAATGAATAGGATCATGAAGCCAAGACTAATAAGAATTTTATTCTTGGCGAAAGGCATGATAATTAAATGAATAAAACTAAAGTAAAGTAAAATCTAATTTTTCAAAATTATCTATGCTATACTCGAACTTATAGTTTTATTCTTTTCGACAACAGCTAGTTCACTGATTTCATGCATCTATCTTATTAATCCGATGCTAAACCTATTCTATGAAGATCTGAATGGTGTTTTTTATATATAAACTCAACTATTTATTTATTTTTTATTCCACGTCTGCTCGTAACTGAATTTCTCTTATTAATCGAGCACTAACCAGTACGACACACAAGTGGAAATGGTGTAAAGACGACGCGATGACTTTATTTCAGCAAATTGATGTGATTGTTACTAGCCTTTTTTGTTGCAAACATGTGATTAACCAAGTAGCTAACTAGTTTCTTTCGTGTCAGATGATGGAACACTCACCTGTGTTGATCGTTGTCTGATGGCTTCTATATAAGTATGATTATTAGCAGTATTTTTCTCTTTCTGTGACCTTAATAGCGGAAATAAACTTGAAAATCACTCTCATTACCAATATTCTCAGTTCATATGAAATATATGATTGATCGTTAGTAGCGGCTAGGGAAAGATTTTTTTTTTGGTCTGTCTAATTTATATTTTTGTTTTCATCTAATGCTGAAAAATAACAATCAAGTGACGAAAGCTATTTCAAAGCATACTTCAAACGCTTCTGAATTTAGACCGTAACAATTGGGCTTTAAGTTTTAAATGGTTGCGTAACAGTCTTCCGTTATTTTTCGTAGGCAAAAAATTTATTCTAATATTTTAAATTTTGCTGCCGTTAAGTTTCTTTCAATAGTCAACATTTTTTTGAGAACCTGCACTGGATAAAATATTAGTTGTTACTTTTGATTTTCATTAGAACGTCTCTACAAGTTTGAATGTGTATAAACTAATACACATTTGTTAGTTTCATTTAAATGAAAATTTCATGCTGTCGTGCAGAACATCTACAATATTCAATTTCTAATAAAAGTACTTGTACACTAATTTCAAAGAAATTGTATGTTCTGCTGACTTGAACCGCCGAATATTTTTTTAAAGAATATGGAAATATTTAAGCTTCGAATCCATATTTAATGATTTCAGTTATTCTATCTCATTTCCAAGCTGATTCAATACGATATTCGAAATTTACAACGAAAATTGCAACCCATATAGATTTTGATGAATAGTTGTTCTTTTTGCACCAATCAATCAAGTCAATCTGTTCAAGATCGAAGTTTAGCTCACCTTGCAGATTGAAGAGTCACAAACTGGTCATGGCCTTTATATAGTTCAATAAACGTTTTATTAACGAAATATTTAGTTATTAGTTAGCTACCTTTTTTATATAGAAACTTTCTCTATTTCTTTTTAAACATATACATAACACTTATAATAATTCGGTTCAATGTTAGAACAACAAATATTTCAGTATAGAAAATAGCAAGCGTTTATATGTGTAACGCTAATATATTCAATAGAACTTTGATTTAAATAATAATCGGGGGGAATTGTGCAATAGTATCGAAAAACATCTAGATTACACAATATTCATCACCATTGGATACATTCAAAGAATTAATAATAGATCATTTAGCAAAACTTGCTTTTATAGGAGTGCAAATTTTATTATGAGAATAGAGAGAAGAAATTTTGCCAACGAGTTGAGTCTATAGATACAAGTTAAAATATAATCAGACTGGTGAAACACATAAGTCGTGACAAATACCTAGCTTTTTAATTTGTGATCTTTTGCGATTCCAATAAAACACAGTTTACAAACCGGATGGGTTAATTATTTGATATTACTGAATTTGATATATCTATAAATTAATTTATGCATACTACTCAATTAGGTCATGTAGCAACAATATTTCATTGTTCAATATTATTTAAAACTGAGTATGAACCCTTTTTTCTGATATCATCTTTTCATCAGTCAATAGTATTAACAATAGTGTTTTACTTTATTTTGTTCGATTAAAAAAGTGATAGGAACTATTTAGAAAAATAATGCATCTATATTAGCACCAAATATTGTACTATTTAATACGAGAATTGATTTTTCAGAAAGAAGAAATCCTATGATCAATATAGAATTACATGAAAGTTACTATTAAATAAATCAAACTATTAGTATAAAACTACTATATATGTTAAGTAAATTAATTGTTTAATTTTAATTTTCAAATATCAATAGCTGAATTAGTTCTCTTGTTTACAAATGCATTACTCATTAAAGGATTAGAACTTGTGTTAGTCGTTATGCTTAGTTTTTCGATGAAAATATTTTATGCAAAATATTTAAAAAAGATCTAGACTGATTGATATTGTCGTGATTAGACGAAAGGATTTCAAATATATCTAATCTTCTTGGATTCAGTTAAAAATATTTCTCAACACTTCTTTCATGTTAACATGCTTCAGCTATTTTCCGTTTTCATCATGTATTCTTACGATTTTCATGATATTTTTTCAAGTTCGTCCAGATGTGTAAGGCATAAGTTTTCTCATATGACTGAGTAACAAACTGAACAAAAATATATTAAATGTTGAGTCTTTTAAAATTAGTTATTGGTCATTTCAAAATATGCACTTAAGTAAAAGTGATTTTCAGCAGTGCAAATACTACAGTTTGTGTAATAAATATAGAATTTCAAACAATTGAAATGAGCAAATAACTTTGAATTTGGTTATTATAATGATTGCTTTGTGTCGAGATAAGACTGGCAAAGAAGTAAATTAATAAAAAACATTAAATATGAATGCTGATCATCCTGTTTATTCATAGTTTCGCATTTAAAAGTATATAGTCCACTTTTTTTTGTTTTGAATGACTATAGAATACACTTTGCCAGAGATCTGTCACTTTTCACAATCGAATAATCGAAAAATAGGATATTGGATGAACCTAACACTTGACTGATCGACTCATAAAAGAATTTGATATCTGAATCAGCAAAAGTGACTGAAATAAAATATGTAGTAAAGTATCTCTATTCTTGATATTTTACTATGAAAAATGGCTAAATTAATTTTGAGAGATAGGATACTACATCAATTAAACCCAGGATGATAAAACTTCGAAGCTGTTCCTTTTCAAGCATAAACTATTGACTTTAATAAAAGGATATATTACAGAATGATAATATTTTGAACATTTTCTATAATATTTTTCATTAGATAATTTATTTTGAAGTAGCAAATGTAACTTGTTTAAAAGATTGTTTACAATATGTAGTTATCCGCCTCACTTAGACGTTGATTTTTTCTTAATGATAAAAATTCTAAGTAGTTATTCATAAAAAAATGACTTTTCTGATCCGCGGTAGCTTTTTTTACTAGTTAACTTTATCTTTTTTTATTGTCTTCAATGACAAAAATCTTAGTATTTTGCGTTTATTTATTTATTTATTTATGTATAATAATACATAAAGCTGTTTGAACAAAAGATACTTGCTTAAAAGGCACCCATATCAATAAAATCTTCATTCTAGCAAAACAATTTTCAACTATTTAATTTCTAATTCACTTTTCATTTGTACTTCATTAACTAGAAAAACTAAACACACACACACACAAACAAATACACAAATAACGATATTAAATAGGAATATTGGAATCTGTGTAAGTAACACGAATACAATAGGCATCTTCGTTTGTATCTTGTTCATTATTAATTAAAATGATAATATCTGTAACAGGTGTGACATTAAAAGCTGGCAATAAAGTAAAGCTTATAAATTTCTTTTCATTTGGTTGAAAATCTATTTTTGAATGTTGTACTTGAAGTAATTCAGGATGGCTGCTTGTGAAAAAGAATGCTTTTCGAACAGCATATGGATTTGTGTATGATATACGTTTACTAACTGGTTGGCTTTGTCCAAAAGATAATGTATGAGCTAGAAAAACAAACAAAAAAAAATCCATATCTATAAATATGTATATGTGATGGTGTTTTTTTTTCCGTTTATTACCAAATTGTTTTGATATAACAGGCACACGTGTATCAACTCGTATCATCCATGTATCAATAATTTGATGATTTTCTATATCAACTGCGTTAACACAATAAGTACGAAGACCTGAACGTGATGGTCGTACAAGCATATGAACTTCATGAAGTCCATTAGCAGCTACAGAAAAAGCATTGCTTGGTGATATAATTACTTCATCAGGTGCATTTCCAAAACATTGAACCAAACGTGATGAACGCGTACCTCTATTTTTTTATAGATTTTTAAAATTTAATAAAAGCAAAACAAATAAAGGAGCTCATTCATACCGAAGAAGAAGGGTAGAAGTAGTTGTTTGATATTGAATGCAAGTTAAGTCTAAACGTTTAACAGCATGAATTTGAAACTGCCATACATTGATAGGCCGATGAAGAAAGCCATCGGCATACATAAATACTAAGAAACCATTCACAGTTGGTGCATTATGAGTAGCAGCCTAAGATAGATTAACCTTTGATTCACTTGAAAAATGCAAAAACTTCAAATACTTTAATTAGCATATCACATGGTTGATTAACAGACACAGGCCGAACTTCACAAACAATATTTAAATCACTTGCACGAACAAATACTTGATGAACCTGTTCCGGAAAACCCGTTGACAGCGATTCTGAATACAATTTAAGAGAGAGAGAGAGAGAGCGAGAAAGAAAATCTTTGAGTTATTAGAGTTAAAAAAGAAAAAACCTGTAGTAACTGCTCGACGTGGATTCGGTATACGAAATACTCGCTTTAATAATGTATTTTCTCCGTTAATGCAACGAATTGTTTGATCAACAATAGGTGATACATATTCAACATTTATGCATAAAATACCTATTGGTGTACCATCTTCTGCTTGAAATGTGGCCTGAAATTCATATACAAAAAAGGATCAATCGAATTTTTCGAAGATAAGAATCAATAAAATAAAAGCATTACTAATATAATTATATATATTCTTTGGTTTAAAAAACTATTAACTAAATATAATGAATGAATAATACGGATGAAAACAAAATGTTGATTGTAGTCAAGTAAAAAGCGACGATGAAAAGTAGTATAAATGAGAGTTTGACGGCCAATGTCAAATACAATACTATAGAAAAGTAATTAGACTTTTGTCATCTTGTTAGATTTGTTGAACTTTATGCGTGATACTTCTCAGCTAGTTAGACATCGAATAAGTAAAATAAATAATTTCGAAAAGTTTGTAATTGTGAACACAACATTCTGTTTCTATCAAAAGAGTTCAATTTAATCAGTAAATCAACGAAAATTATCGAATCATATTGTTGAAGACAAAACTAAGGATGCATGCTCTCACGGTACGGTCATTCTGAATTATTGGTTTTATAATTATTCAGAAGAAACGACAATAAATACCATCGATCTAAATCATCTGAAGACACATCAATTGGAAATCTTTTACACTAGAGTAAGAACTGTATTTTATTTTTATTTTTCAATCTGTAATAGTAGTTAAAAACATTGGTAGTCTCGACTCTAGTACTTTCTCTTTAGACTCCATTGTACATAATAGATTATTCGTAGGAGATATAAAACTTCAAGCAAACCTTAATTTGTTTTGATTTGAATTTTTCATTATATTTTTTTTCCACAACTGAATATGTTTGTTCTTGGGAGAATGGATTTGATGATGTTTTATGTTCCGATGCTGGTAGTTTTGCAAGAAACGTTTGTATTTTAAATGGTATGTGTACTGATTCCTTGGATCTCATAAATATTTGAGGATATTTCAAACCACTTTGATCAATAATGCCCGTTTGATTTGTAAACATATTTTCTTCTGTATCAGAAAAAACTTCAAACAAAGTTTTTAAACGACGCCATTCACGAGCATCAGTAACAACACTAAAAAAAGCAATACCAAATTGAATAATAATAAGAAAAACGAATGCGCATACCTTAATTCATCGTCGTCACATGCAATACTAATAGAATGTTGTTCTGGATAAGGATTTTGAAGAACAAATTCAAAGAATTCTACATAACCAGGCATTAAACGTATGTTTACTTCTCGCGTAATAAAACTCATTAAATGATGAGCAATATCTTCATGTTTTGTTTGTTGACGATACATTGATATTGTACGTAGATCATTTTCACGTAATTCACGTATTTTTCGATTTGTCACTGGTAATGATGCTGACATATCATCACTGGCTGTTTCTACTGTTCGCTTACGTACGGCTTCCATGCGTGCTAATTTTCGTTGACGTTCTGATTCTTGTGCTTGTTTATCCTAGAATCATTCGATATAAAACTATTGAAGATTAATAAATAATAGATACTATTACCGAACTATGTAAAACAGAATTTATACTTGGATATGAATCCACGATACGATGAGCACGTGTTAAACGGTATTCTTTAATACCTGATGTTGTTATTTCACCTGCACGTTGTTGAACAACATCAAAAGGTGGTGTCGATGAGATTATTCGGCTAGTTGGTAATAATCGTAAGACATCGGAATCTATATAATATGTAAAAATTATAATACAAAGCATTTCTAGAAAATCTTACTTTTTAGTTTGTCCATCGAAGGATGCTCTGATCCAACTGATCCCAGATTACCAATACGCATTATTAATTTGCCAACGGCTTTTAATTTTTCACCAATCAATGAAAATTGTTGATCGCTTGACTATGAAATAAATTTTAAAATAAGAATATTCATAAACTAGACGTACTTGATAATATTGATTTTCCATAACAGGCGCTTCACTACTCTCAATTGGTACCGTTGCAAATACATCAAGTTCTACCAATGCTTGTACACCTGGACGACCATCGCGAAGTAAATACTAAATAATATTTTCGGTCTGATATTGTTTTAAACTCTATTTCACAAACCTTCAGTTCAAGTGCACACATGCCGACAGGAAAAAGTCCATCACCATCCCAAACCTCAATGTAAAGTGTATGAGTATTTAAATATTCAAAAAATTGTCGTTGCTCCACGGAGCCAAGAAAGGCACCATCGACTTGGAATTTAACCTATATAAGTCAATATTCATACTGGAAACAGAATATTTTCATACATACAGGTAATCCAGGTAAGCCCGATGTCTTTGTGCTATCATCTTTGAGACGCCATAGAATGAATGGCTCAACATTTGGATCATTTGAAATATTATCATGCATACGTTCGAGTATAACTCTATTCATAAAAATTTTCTTTGATCATTACTATTCCGAAAACATTAAAATAAGATTTCTTTCAAACCTGCTTGTGGTTGTTTCAGGAAAACGAAAAAGTTTAAATGTAAAGAAAAGACTTTTTGGATACGATGATTGTGATGACATTCCAGTTCGAGTCATTCTTAAGATTCAAATGAATTAGAATAAAAATTAAAACTGATTCAAAGACAAATATATACTTGAAATAGGATAGAAAATGTAAATTTATTTCATTGCAATTCATTGGATCAGCCATTTCTGTTTGTAAATCAAGAAAACGAGATTGTCTTATATCAATAATTTCAGCCTCTTTTTCATTATTTGTTTTAATTGATGGAAACCCTTGACCTTGAAGACGCGAATAAGCAGCACGTGATAATGTATGAGCACTAAATAGAATATGCTATAACAATTCAATATATATTAATTTATTTACAAAGTCGTTTGACTAGCTAGAGCAGACATTGGTGAATAAGCTGGATAAAGTCCATCCGCTTGCCATGGCACTAGATTCTATAGGATAATAATAAGAAAATACATTTTGAGAACTATTTTTTTTTCTTTCTCAAAATTAGAGATGACATTTTAAGTTTACATTAAATCTCAACAGCTGTTAAAGTGTCATCTGCAATCAAAATACTTACAGCTTGATGATAGATAGGTGGTTGTATAGCTGAAGGTATTGTTTGTGATGGTACCGCTAAAAGTAGTAGAGCGTAATTAGTAATAGATAATAATTATTTTGTTTTTAATGAATATTACCTGTACGTTGCATAAGATCATAACTCATTGGTGTTTTTATACTATTGTCGAAAGGAATCAATGATCTAAAAGAAATTTTCAAATGTAAACATACAATCACTATATCATAGAAAGTAATTACTTTTGAATAGTAGGTGTTAAAACATCTTGTTTTATTGTGGCTGTTTGATATCGCATAGGTGGCTATTGTTTAAAATGAATTAGAACTTTTTATTTTTCTATTATTCAATAAATAATATTTACTTCGGTATCAAATCTATAATTGAATCTTAATGTTTCTTGAACAAGATCAGGTGCATTATGAAGAATTGTTGTCGATGGTTTGTAAACGAAAAGTTCATCACTTGGTAATATTTCACCACCACGCATAATTAACGCAACTTGTTTATCTTTGCCTGGAAACCAAACTGACCAACGAATAGTAAATGTTACTTTTGTATTTTCAGGAGGTTCTTTCTAAAACAATAATGAAATGCTGAAAATTAAATAAATCTAATAATAACGTACGGATTTTGAAGATGTACCAACTGGAATGGAAACCATATATTCAAGTACAAATACAATAGCATTTAGATCATCAATAGGCACATCATCAAATCGAATAGGATTTCTTAAATAGAGCTTTTTGCGATCATCAGCTCTACTAATAGGATCACAAATTTTGTATAATTTAACATAAGAATTTGAATGACATAATATTACAAACCTTTCAGCAGACATTGTTCTTCGTCGTTGTGTTTGTCGAAAACTTAATTTTCTTGATAATGATGACATTCCAGTATCTTCTTGTTCAGCTGTTAGATGAAAAATAATTGGATCTTGAACATAACATTGTCCATTATGTATACCCACCTAAATAGCACAATAATTTTTGTATCAAAATTTAAAGAAATACTAAAAATCTTACACGTAAACGTCTTTCGACAATAGAGACTTTACTCTGCGGTTCGTTAACTAATGCTGATACAGTTGTTTGGGACAGTTTTTTCTTTTCCATTCGATCTTTTTGGACTAATCGGCAAAGTTCATCTTCAAATGTACTTATTGATGGTTCCATGTCAATTTCAACTTGTTCAATTAGAATATTTCTTCTGTTTGCTTGTAGAACAGGTTTTCTCAGTGTATCGTCATCTAGTAATATAGAGAAAAATAGATTTGAAAAAGGGATATTCTATCGAATTACTTGGATCGCCCGACCAATGAATGCCGCCAATATTAGCATTTCTTCCATAAAGAGTACATTCAGATAAATATTGTATTACAGAAAAAAGAGGCTCATGATATTTAGTTTCAACAAATAAACCAGCAGATGAAACTTGTGCCATTTTTGAACATGCTATTAAAATATCGCATATATGTATTTTGAGCTTTAAAAATAATTTTTTTTATTAAAAGCAAACACACCTTCAATCGGTTCATTAAGAAACATAAGAGCACGGGGCGAACCATGATAAATTGAGTGCCTGAAAAAAAGACGAATTTTATTGATATATCTTTAATAAAATATTCAATGATAATATTACCGATTAATAATTGGTTTAGTAATATCATCCTCATCGGTCCATGGTTTTAATTTAATATATGTCCAACCACCTACAAGCTCATCTCGATCTTCTGCTGCTTCTCCACTACGAAATATAAATTGAATAACCAACCAATTTTGATCATTTTTCAATGGAATATGACAATATAAGGGCTAACAAAAACAAATATATCAAATTTTATATAAAAACATAAATTATAATTTACTTCAGTGAGATTGACTCGGAAAAATCCATCGGTATTAAGTTTACCTCTATGCCAAGCACTGAACCATGTTTGACCATAAAATCGTTTATACAAATTATCAAATAGTGTTGCAGTAAATTGCACTTCATATGGAGTAGCAAGTGACTAAAATAAATCAATTGAAATGAATCATATATAGAAGACAACATACAGAAGAGACAGATGATGGCAAAAGTTCAAGTGATTTAATTAAAATTCTAAACGGAACAATATTGCTAAGATTGGTAGTGTTACTACTATTTCCTTTGGCGTCTAGAATTGATTTTTGACCATCGGTTTCGGCTGGATGAGGTAGATCAAGCGAGCTTTGGACAGCGCGGTCAAGCCAGTTGTTCACTGCTTCCATCATTTTGACAGAATCGGGAAATGGAAACTAGGCAACAACACGATAGAAACATTATCTGTTCTCTTAGTGATCATTAACAACGTTTATAAGCTAATAAATAAAAATATTATCTATTTCCTAATTCTATTATCTGCTTGCTAATTTACAACATTTTTCTATAAAATTATCATACATATCGATTATGTATGATTTTGAATTCAAAATTCATTCATTGAACAGATGGCGCACTTGATCGATTTGAATCACTAAAAACAATATCGATCATGTTCAATTATGAGTTATTTTACTTTCGCCGACGCTGAGTATCGTTCAGCATTCTATAATCAACTTATTTTTTGTTTCAAGAAATTTGAAAATTTTTTTGCTAATTAAAAATTAATAAAATTTACAATCGCAACACTTTTTTAAAAATCTAGTAGTATATAGTAAAGTCTGTTAGTCTCAATAGATAACACTATTTTTGAATAAAGAGAAAGAAAAATCTGAATTTCAGTTTCTTGACTAGTTTTAAAGCAATGAGGAATCATCGTCTGCGTTGTTTATCTTTCATTATTTTAGGATTGTTGGAAGCAGATGAGAACAAGTCACGAGAGTCATACTCCAATCTTGAAAAAAATTTCGTTTTTCCAAGCAAAATTTGAGAATTCAATATAGTTTTTCGGTCAGCAATTTTCAAAAAACATTGTTTTATTTCTGCCCAAATTCCATCGATTTTTAGCAAAAAGTTTATTATCAGTTGCACAATTCATCAACTCTCATCCCTGATATTGGTGACCTTGAGTGAGACACCCTTTTGTTTTTGATTGAGATATTTATAAATTCAAAAACTTTTCAAATAAAGTAGAATTCTACTCTGTTTAATAGTTTACTTGTTCTAAAATAAAAAATTGCTAGTACTCCTATTATAAATTTTGTTTAACACTTCTCCAACTCATGTTAATTTTCAACAATTCTAAAATTTCCGCAATTCTTTACTGACAGCAATCTCCAGTATTTAAAAATAACTTTGCCTTGCGCTGAAATATAGTTATCAAACTGATAAAAATTCTGAAATTTACTTTCTTAGAAACATGAACATATCTCATTAGTTTTATAATATTTTCTTTCTTCAACAAAACAACTTATAGCAACACTTAACAAATTCTTGGTTTCATCGGAAGTCAGCAAAAACAAAACCTTGTGATGATGTCCATATGCAGCCATAATTCAATATTTTTCTTTTAGCTCTTAACATAGTTTTCCTTAATTTTATGATTCATTTCTTTGCATCAAACAAGTAAAAATGTAGATTATCATTTGATAAATTCTCTTGGATTGCAACGATTATTGTGATTTCGGATTGAGTTGCTATATTGTGTTGCGTTACTGAGTATGCCTGCCTATGAAATAAAAGTTATGCTGATTGAAGTAAATGAAATAATCATGGAAAGCCATTCATATTCATGTAAATACGTTATCATTGGACAAAGGTCACTTTCTATGTCAACTTGAAAAAGAAAACATTAATTATCATTACATGATCCATATTGAATAAACTCTGGTGTACCAGTGACTTATATGATACAAGCTAGCTAAATTATCTTTTTATCTATTTTATTATTGACTATAACGAAATGAAATACAGAATATAAACAAACATTAGTAGAATCACTATTTAATCCAAGTATTATTGTAAGTTCTGGAACCAATTCATTAGCAGTCTAAAAATTGTTTAGAATTCAAAAACAGCAGTAATTTGATTGGATTTATTAATATAAAAAAAAGAGTAGTGTAGAAATGAAATTTACTGATCGAATAACTTACAATTATAGTTGCAAATCTATTTAGATACTAATTGAAATATTTTTTCTTTTGTAATACTAAAGTAAACATGATTTAAATTAACACAAAATAAAATAATTGATTCAATAATCATGATCAATAGTTGTCAGAGAACAATCTATATACCTGGGATTCAACAGGACAACAATAATAAGTCATACTTTTCGTCGATGATAGTCATGAATGATATTTTTTCAATCGGTACTTGATCTTAAAGTTTTTTTTAAAATACTAGAAATTATCTTATGAAAAAAATTCAATCATGACCAATATCTATTCATATTTTACTCGAAAAAAATCAAAGCAAAATTTTATTCAATAATACCGTCAGAATCTTCATCCTCAAAATCACAATGGCCAAATATCGACATTGACGAAATTGCATGGTACCGTGTTGTCACAGAGTTTCGATCACCAAATACACAATCTCGATTTATAACTAGATTGCACATAGTTCAATTTTATTTTACACGCACAAGTGCATCTGAAAAGAGCACCAACTGTCAGACAGAGCTTCTGAATCAACTTGTGGGTTGTATGGCTTGAATTTAATCAAATCAGCTCATCAACACATCTTTAATGTAAATATTTCCAATACAATTGACTACCACTCTCAATTTTATGGATGAGTACATACGAAAATAAGAATAATTTTTTAAAGTTGCCGTTTGTTTATTTCGACGTCGTTAAAAAAGGAACACACGGATAACAAGAAAACACAACAACGGGTTCAAAGGAAGAAAAAAAACTGAAGATTGTTCTGTTGCTTTTTTGTGTGCAAAAGTAACACGTTAAAAAACACGAGTTTTTTTTCAAAATCTCGTATGTCAAACTACAAACACACATGTCACTATTAAATAGTTCATTGAAGAGATTATTGTCCTCCAGGACGTAACGATGATAAACCAGCACGAAGAATTTCATCAACAAGAATCAAATTCGTTGCAATTGATGTACTTGAATGAATTAATTGTTTTTTGACACAATAATTGTCATAAATACCTAATGATTTTGGGTCTATGGCTTCACCTTGGAAAGTGAAATTTTACAAATGTTTTTTCAGCATGTATTCAAATCAATGCACATACCTGTCGTAATGTTGATGCCAACTGGCATTTTTGATGTCGCATATTCATGTTGAAGTTTAACAATTGTTTCCTGTTGGTCATGTCCTGCATTTTGAGCAATGGCTTTAGGAATAATGAGTAGTGCTTCAGCAAAAGCTTGTACACCTAAACGTGCTCGTCCTTTAATTTGTTGTTTATATTGATTGAGTGCTTGATGAGCAACTATTTCAAAAGCACCACCACCAGGTAAAACACAACCTAGAAGAAGAGAGATATTCCTTATCATAAATTCAAAGTGACTAGTTAGAACAAACCATCTTCGATTGCATTGGTAACTGAACGAAGACCATCACGAAGAGCATCTTTAAGTTGATTTAATATATATTTAGTTGAGCCTTTAAGTAAAACAGTTACTGATTTAGGATTTTTACAACCTTCAACAAATGTAAACTTTTCTTCTCCCTACAAAAAAAGAAGTTAATCTTAGGAAATCAAAACAACAAAAATCATGTACTAACCAAAACATGCTCATAAACATCTTCAGCAAAACCAAGGCATTCCTTCGTAAGATTTTCAACCGAACTAAAGACAAAAATATTAAGAATCATAATTTTTATTTATTTCTATTTCTTACTTCATAGCTTCTCCGCCACATGCTAAACTTAAGCGTTCCATATTTCGACGTTTAGCACGTCTCAATGCTAAAATTCCTTCTTTAGCCAAAACATCGAGCGAGAATGGATCAATGCCTTTTTGATTGATAACAACAAATGTTTTATTCTTATCATCACCAGAACACACTTTTCGTTTAAGTTCAACTATTTTTTCAACACGATCATCAATAAATTTACGTTCTGATGTAACAAGACGATCACGTTCGGCAGCATTCTTATAGAAGAATCCAGCATTCACTTCTCTAGAAAAATAAAATAAAAACAGAAAATTTTAAATGAATTATTGCAACACAAGACAATGATTTACGTTTTTTCATATTCAAGCGAAACATTACATGTTAAAATGAAAGCATTTTTCAGTGCTTTAGGCATGGATGGATGACGACCACCATGATCAAGTACAATACCACGTACAAGTCGAGAATCAGCTTCTGTTCTATGTTGCATTTCCATAATTTCAACCATATTTAAATCAGTTGGTTTTCCTGATTCATTGATAGCTAATACAGCATCAACAACAATCTAGAAAAGAAATATATCTATATATATGTACATACATGATGAAAAAACAAAATAAATTAATACAAACATCAGTTAGAATATCGGCATTTTCCATTGATAATTTTGTACGTAATGAAGTACGAGCTATTTGAATGAGTGTTTCACGATCTTCTGATATTGGTACTTTAAGTGTATCAATTATTTTTAAGGCTTCTTTTTTTGCTAATTCAAAACCTTCGGCAACAATGCGTGGATGAAGACCCTATGACAATAAATCGAATAAGTTTATTTGTGTTCGTTTTCATATTCGTTAATTACTTCGGTAATATACAGATCAGCCTGTTTCAGAAGTTCACCAATTAATAATACAATAGAAGTTGTACCATCACCAGTTATATCATCTTGTGCTGTAGCTGCACGAGCAATCAATGATGCAGTTGGATGTTGAACTTGCTATACACATATGTAATGAAAACTTATGAATAAAATACTTGAAAGAAGATTATGACAAACCATTTCGTGAAGAAGTGTGCAACCATCTTTTGTTATTTTGATATCACCAGCACCTGACACAAGCCTAAAATATCAAAAAATAAAAATAAAAATAAAAAAATTTTACTTACATTTTCATTGTTCCTTTTGGACCTAAATTAGTTTTAAGCATTTCAGCAAGACCACGAGCAGCTGAAATATTAATTGACAATGCTTGAGCTTGACGAGCACTTTCTGCTTTTGGATTCAATGTTGTAATAGCTGACATGGTGGATTGATTTTCTTTTGATTGATTTAATAATCTGGAAAAAAAATAAAGATCATTTATAACATATTTTAAGAATCTGACAAAAGCAAATTAGTTTTCTTCTTTCGTTCGCAGAGAATACTTATAATCAACATGATAATATAATTTTAAAAAATCGGTTTATAACTGACTAATTGAATTCGTTTCATTTATAAATAAAGTATATGTTCGATTATTATTCATTGTGTTGAATTAGATAGTGACACAGGTAATATGTTTTCTGAGTCATCTTCGATTACTATCGATCTAGACGATGGAATTGATGAATGCTAAAAAGAAAAAAGTTCAATAAAATAAATCAAATTATTCTAAAATTACTTGAGCACTTGACATGGAACGAATATGACCTACAAGACCATCACGTAGTTCTGATGTTATCTGTAAAACATGTTTGAGTTGAGCAGGTGGCAACTGTAGAAGTATTGGATATGAATGTGGTCGAGTTTTTTCACAACATTTTATAAAACCTTCCCATATTCGAGGTTGCTTCCATGCCTAAAACATACTTCAGTTTATTTGTGTACAATATTTAACTGACTAGCACTGTATCGAAACTCAATCAGAAAAGTTTACGTACGAAAGGAGTACTAAAGTACCAGTTCATGGTCTTCTTGAAGTTTCATCTCTCTCTCTCTCTCTCTCTCTCTATATATATATATATATATATATATACATATTATGTAGAAATCATTCTGAATGTTTCAGGTTAGAAATTATGATACACTTAAGATATAAAAATAATTTCATATGTAGAAAGGATTCGAAATATAATCCATCATTTGAAAATGAATTCATATATGACCTTATAAGTAACTTTCGATCTATTTTTTGAACTTGTATTCTAATAGCTCTCAAACGAAATTGAACTTTAAAACAGATAGATTTCAGTTGTGACTATTTCAAATTTCTACTAAGAGCAGTAAGTAGTAGATTTTTTCCTATTCCAATTCAATAGTAAGGTACAATGTGAACTAATCATTGACTTAAATCGTAGCTTACAAATCTAGATGAGTTTTATATGGCAATAAAGCAATTGCAATGCATAGAGGTGATTAAATTTAAATGTATTCATAACAAAAAGTTTACTTGTTTTGATATCAATCGTTGTAAAATATTCATAATGAAATGAACCATTTTTGGGTAAAGACTAAATGCTTGTAAAACAGTTCGCATAAATAAAATAGGAATTGGAGTCATTTCAACAAGTTGTTGTAGAACATCAACAAGAATATCTGAAGTGTAAGTTGAGCATTCATTAAAACATATTGATGTAGCTAGAAAAATCGTTCATTATATGAGAAATGAAATTTGCAAATCATTCTACCGTTAATAATTGTTTTCAATTCACATTCTTCCAATGAAATTCGATGAAGAGCAATTAACAATTCAGATGGTAATATTAAATTTGTCTTTAAGGTTCTAGATGAATCTATAAAAGAAAACATGTATAGAAGAAGTTCGTTCACATAAGTCGATTACAATAATTTAGGGTTTGAAAAATCTACTGAAAATTTTACGGTTTTGGTAAAAATTTAAACGGAACTCATTCGATTTATTTAATGACTCGTATTTTTATTCAACACTATTGCTTATTTCCTACATTGATTACGAATCGTTTCTGAAGTCTGTATACAAAAAGAGCATCAGTAAAATCTTGTTACTGATATGACATACCTTTTAAACTTAAAACTCGTTTGAAAACTTCTTTAACCATCGGTAGTGGTAATTTTATGAATTTCGGTAATGTATTTATAATGTCACACTAGAAAATGATGTTTAATAAAAAAAAATAAGATTAATAATTAGTCTATTCAAGCATACCTTTCCTAAACCAGATAGTATTGGAATAAGCAAACGAACATCTGGTATACGTTTATGATATAAATCTTGTATGTTTTCAACAATATCACGTGATGGTGTCACTGACAGAAGGAAAAAACTCGTGTGAAAACTAGAAGACGAAATTCATTAATCTTACTTTGCTGAGTGTGAATATGAAGAATATGTGTAATCAAAGCTTCTGCACCGATAGGACAATTTTTCACCAGTTTTAATAGTTCTAAACTAGCCACACCCATTGCACGTACCTGTATAGAAATACTTCGAAAATCTTTAATAAACCAAATATCAAAATAAATTACTGGAGTTTCCAAAATCTGAAGAATTACTCGTTTAATATCTTTATCAACTTCAATATAAATATTTGATAATCTATACGAACAAGTCATAAATGATATTTAAAACATTTAAAGAAAAGAAGTTCTTACGGTTGAATTAAGTGATGACTTGATGAAATTAAACTAAGATATAACGATAGACAACGATGGATTGAATCTTCTGTCCAAGCATCTGCTGGTACTAATAAAAATAAAAGCAATTACTTTAACAAACATTTCAAATGATTTGCTACCTATTAGTAATTTTTCATTATCAGAAAATAGTATTTCTGGTGGCTTTAAAGTTCGTAAATATGATAAACATTTCAAAGCATATTGCTAAAAACATAATATTTTACTAACATCCAAATATTACTAGCTAAATATTACTTCAATTGATATTTTAAATTCTTTTTTCTCGTGTAAACTTTGAATAACGTTTAAAGAATTATTGCGAATAGAAATATCTTCATTATGAGTTAAGATCAATAATAGATTCAAACATTTTTCACGTATTATTATTCGACTTATAATTAAACTACGCAGTATATTCATTCCATGATGAGAATAATTCTTTAATAAAATTTTAAAAAATTTGATGCTTCAAGAAAATAAAACATTGTGATTTACTTCGTTTTGACAATATCGCTTGAGTATAAATAAAGCATTATCTGTAATTATGGGTGCACTTGTAATTAAACGAGAGAATAGACTGAGAAACAAAATATTATAAGATCAATCACTTAATTATGTTTATTACACTTACTCCTCATATTTTTCTTGAAAAAAATATTCAAGTAATCGACATAGTATATTATCATATTTAGTGAAATTTTTCTTTTTATTTCGGTCGAATATCGTTAAATACCCATTTGCATAAACATATTCTTGATAAAGCCATATAAATGCAAGATCATATCGTTCACGTACATCAGCAAAAATATAATCTTCATAAACTAATATGAATATTAATTAATTAGTTATTTTCAGTCAAAACAATGAACATTTGTGAATCATACTATTACGAAAACTTTGCTCAAATAAACAAACTAATCTGGTCATCACTTTTTGCCTGATTTGATCAACACCATGTCCGTCACAAATAACTAATCGAAAATAATTTAAATGATTCGTTATGAATTAAAAATTATCTGCACAAACCTTCAGCATTAAGCACTCGATGAAAGGAATCCAGTGACATACGTTGAATATCGTTGAATTCGAGTGGTTTAAGGACATTCGATAATTTGAATGATTTAATTTTTTTCTGTTGTTTACTTGAGTTCGATATGAAATCTATTGATGTTGAAAGTATTTTAAGATCAACAGTCGATGAGACCCACGGTAATAGATCATTACGTTGAACATCTATGATATTTGGTACGGATTTTTCCTGTTTAATATCCTGATCTATATCTAGTTTAACATTCTAAAATAAAGCCTTGATATAGCCTATGAATCATGAATAAAATCATTATTAACCTGAAGAAATTGAACTCTGTAGACAATCGAGCAGAAACATTCGATTGAACCTTAGAAATAGCCTCGAAAATAGGACAGTACTCATGAGAAAATATTCCTAATGGTCAAACTGCTTTTTGCTTCATAGCTACATTTTTGTCATTCAATCGATAACGGTCGTAGAAAAATAAAAATTTTCTTTTGATCTGCATTTGAAATTTAATCGCATTGAGCTAGTATATCTACTTTAGTTAATTTTCATTGTATATATACAGGTACACGTGTATAGCATCGAGAAATTGAATTATCATTGTAAGAAACTTATATCTTTAAACACAACTATTAAACGGTTTTTATTTAAAATGTAGATATCTTCACAAGGATATATCCATTCTAGTTCAAATATTAAAATAATTCTAGTGATTATAACGTGTTTTTTATTAGCACAGTTCAAATTCGAAATTCTCAAGGGGGCAAGTGCTGGTACCTGCTCAGCACCTCGGCACCTACTCAGCACTTTTCGGTGCTAGGTGCCATCACTTATCCCTTTGGAAATTCTATTATCAACGCTTTCAAGAATTTCATACTCATACAACGTTGTTTTTTGGTAATAAATGCATAGATTAGATGACTAAGCTAACTAGATTTTCAAGATATAATTGTTTCATAAAATCATGCAGTGTATTCTCAATCATTTTTTTTAAATGTTTTACATAAGATTGCGCTTATAAATCATTTGCATCACTCCATGCAATTGCTTTTTCGATTAAATTATCCTATTCATGATAGATTGGGGATGAATATAAGAGCAAAATGAATGCAATCAACATACATTCATTGTTTTCGACTTTTTTATATTTTCACTATGATCATTTGAAATAAACTTTCGTTTGGATTCTTGAACCACTTTAGGTGAATATTTGAGAATCTATGATAGAAACTTTTAAGTAAAAATTGACGAAGACCAAAGAATCTTTACTTCTGCTTGTGTTGCACCAAAATCAGCAAGTAAAGTACTGTATTGTGATTGAATACTGGATGAAGCTGAGTATTTGAGAAGATTAAGTAGTTTTAATTTGATTGTTTTACGTACACTACTGACTTGAGAATCAATAAAATTTGAAGATAAATTAACTGAAATATGTATAAATAAGAAGAGCAATTAGAATATTAAATGATATATTACCATGTAAAACTTCAAATATTTGTAAAATACGACTGATGTAATCTGATCTTTGTCGGGCAATGTTTGATACGGCTTCTACAGCTGCAATTAAATTGACACTGAAATGATGATTAATTCATAGTAACAAGACGACAATCTATTATACCTAGATAGCTTTTCAGAAAGAATAAATTCAAGTAATTTTTCTGTCATCTCTTTTTCTTCTTGTTCCAGTTTAGTTCGAAATAGAATTTCATTGTCATTTGCATTCGAATTGATTGAAAAATCTTGCTCATGACGAGTTAAAGTAAGTGCCAACATTTCAATAAATTTAATAGCAACTGTGCAAAGGCTATAATATATAATTATAAAATAGATTATTTATAGAAAAAAAAAACTTCAAAATAACTAACCGATCATCATTTGAATTTAGTATAGATACAATATGATTTTTTATATTAGTCATCATGTCCCACACACTACACACAAGTTCATCAATTGATTCAGATTTTGACAACCACTAAATAGTGAAATTGTATATTATTATAAACCTACATTTTGTTCTTACTGCTAAGGTCGATTTATAAATTGACACCATACTAAGAATAAGTTTTTTTTGTACAAATACATTATCATCATGAAGTAATAAGGTAAGACTATCAATTACTTTAACAATAAGTTTCGGATTTTGTTGACTATAAGAAAAAAAGAAAATCACTAACAACAAAATAAAATTGATTCAACTAACCAAGCTTCTTCAATAAAAGATATTATTGTTTTCTTTATTTCTGGACTTTTATCCGTCTGAAAACTTAATACTTCCTAAATAGAGAAAACAACACAGATAAAAATTTTCTTTTGATTATTAACATACCTCAAGAAAATGATTTAGTAAACTTGGATCTTTTCGTAAAATCAATTCTTGGACATGCCGAAGATGCTTTACTCTTGTGCTATCATTTCCATAGAGTAATGCTTGATTAAGTAAATCAACAATCTTTAAAGAAAATATCATAATGAATAAACAATGTCGATACATAGGAACAGAAGCAAAACAGTTTTAAGCGAATTTCAGTTATATATGCAATGAGTTGGTCAGTTTTCAAAATACCTCATGCGGAATAATTGTATGAAAAGTTAGTATGCTCTTCATCGAAATAGAAATTAATGAATTTCGACCATGAGGTAAGTGGCCGGATATCTTTTTGAAAAAATTAATAATTTAGACAACCACAACAACAGTTTTTAATGAGTTCGTTCTCATGAAAGCAGAATAGAGATCATCTTTCTTTACAATTTTCTTATATCTGCTGTCTGTTAAAAAACATTTGTATTACCGACATCAATCAACTTCGTAACCTTAATTTTAATTAATACAAAATCAAGATATTAATTACGACTCAACTTTGACGATAATTCACCCAAAGCCTTTACAAAGTTTTAAAAATAGTAAATTACCGTCTCTTGTATATTATCTGACATAATTCACTGTAACACTATTTTATCAAAATCTAAAAAGAAACAATGAAAATTTTCATATTTTATGTTTCCATTGAATTTAAGTCTTGTTGATCGTAACGTAATTCATCTAAAATATCATTAATATCATCAATAAGCTTTATTGATTTTTGATTAATTTCTAGAAACTGTTCATTTTTGTTTTCAATTTTTGCAACAAACATATCATTTGTTAATTGAAGTTTTTTTTCTTCATAATCTTGCAATTGTTCAATGTGCTTTAAAATGTTCTTATTATTTTCGAAACGCTTTTTTATCAGTAATATTTCTTCGGATATTCTTGCAAATATGATAGCTATATCCGAAAGAAAACTTTGAAATCCTGGAAAATTGTGTGTATTTAAAAGCATTGCTTGTGCATCATAAAGACGTTGATAAGTTAGAGAACGTTGTGATTGAAGACGAAATAATGCTGGTAACAGCTCATGCATATTGCACTCATTTATATTGATATCATCTTCGACCTTCTCCATCTAGAACAGAAATACGATTATATAGAAGAAATTTCTTGTTTTTTTTTAATAATTAATATACAAAGACAAGCCACAAACGAAAATCTTTATTTAATATATTTATCCATAAAACGTCGATGAAACTCACTACGTAAACTATCATTAATAAATTGTGCGACACGTTTTTCACCTGAAGAACCATCAGCTTTTGCACAGTTTTTAAAAACAACATCGTCATCCCAACGACGTTTAACACGAAATTCACTATTCGTAATTGGTGCTGAAGGTTTCGAACCAGGATTTAATAATGGGTTGCCTTTGAGAATATTTTCCGTACGAATTCTTTCTTCTTCTAATCGTTTTTGTTGTTCAAGCCGAGCTGCTTCTGTGGCACGTTCCTTTTTTATACGAGCTAATTCTGCCATAAGTTCAGCTGTATCGTCTTCATCTTCGTCATCATCTTCATCGTCGTCGTCGCCTTCTTCATTATTTATTGCTCGGCTTTGTGTATTTTTATTAAATTTTGTTTGATGTGACGCTGTTTCTTCATCTGAAGATGATTCATCAAGTGGATCACTGCAAAGCGAAAAATAAGAAATTATTTTTTATGTGTTTAATTCTTATTATTTTTTGTTACAGACTCAGCATCAATATTTGTTTCAGTGTGAGTTATTGCAGGTTTAGATCGGCTGCTAGTTGTGCCACCAGATGTGATACGCTTTGTATCAGATGAAGATCGTTGTTTATCACGAATATTGCGTTCACGTTCTTCAAGTTCTCGTCGCATACCTTCACGATCTTTTAATCGTAGTTCTTCTTGTGTATGTTGACCTTTTTCACGATATTTCAATGTTTTATTTGCTGGCATATCGCGCGCCGAATATTGTTTTGACATGCCACTAAGATTTGCTTCACCTCGAGACGTACCACCGACTATGAAGAAAAAAAAAGAAGTTTTCGAATTAATCTTATTCCGATGCATAAAAGAAATTTACCGGCTGGTTGAAATGCATTAGTTGCCATGATTTTAAAATGATCAAATCTGAAAAAAGAAATACACTGTCACGATTAAAATGATTATTTATCTAGTTATTCATATGATAAAGGAAAGTTTTGTGAATTAATATATTTCTATATTAATAAGTAACATTTTGAAATGCTTTTTCAGGTATAAATTATGCACACAATGAAACCGTATGTGTTTTGTGTTGGAACTAAGTTACAACACTCTATACATACACATATCATCGTTTGGAGAACTTGATATCCAATTAAAGAAAGTTTCTCTATATTCATTTAAAAATAAAAGCTTAGTAATTAAAGCAACAAAATATTGTAAATAAAAGTTTTATGACAAATAAAAGTTTTCTCTGTTTGAATAAGCTACAGAGGTCACCACACGTAAGCCGAAAAATGAATGGCTAGAAAAAACATGCTCTATATAATATGATTCATTACGATGATTAAGGGAAAGAAAAAACATTTAAAAATGATGAAAACTTGTTTTTTATTTTAATTATATAGTAAAATTAGCTTGTTTTTCCAGACTATGGCACAAGCAGTAACAACGAGTAATGAACTTGCTATGCCATCATTTTGTTTCCATAAAACATTTGGTCAAAATATGCGCTTAGAAAATAATGGGACAAAAGCTGTTAGATATACATCTTTTGATCACGGTATTGTTTTTTCTTTTTGGAATGTTTTTTTTTTTTATAATATTATATTCTTGTACAATTTTAGGTATTACATTCACAGATAAATCAATAAATATTAATGAACGTATTCATTTAAAAATAGTTGAAGTTGATGAAACTCGTCAATGGTGTGGCTCATTAGCTATAGGTAAGTGAAAATTCATGCAAGTATTAGAAAAATTACACAAAAATAAAAGAAATATTATAGGATTTACACAAGTCGATCCAGGTACAATTCGGCAAGAAGATTTACCTAAATCAGCTTTACCAAATCTTAGTCCAACGAACAAATTTTCCTATGTGAAACGTCTTTATGAAACATTAACAAAACAACTTTGTATTATTTTTTATTATAATCCAGAGTATGTAACCGATAAAATTCGGAAACAATATTTCCTTTACCATTATTTCATTTAGTGGAGCCTATTTTATTCTCGATGGAAAAGAACAAGAGATATGCAAAAGTATTGATATTAAAAAGCCTCTATGGGCAGTTATTGATGTATATGGTAATGTCAAAGGTAATTAATCATAGTGCTCCTATGTGCTCTCGATAGATATGCAAGTTTAACATTTTATTTAAGTTGACTTTTCTAATTACTGTCTCATTAAAAATGTATTTGTTTTTATACAGTGCAATATGTGTTTACTATTAGTATATTCAAGTAAGAGAATAGCGAAAAAAACATCGATAATACACGTTAGCACATACATAAACTATTCAAGAGTCATTCAACTGTATTCAAACTAGTGAAAATAGCTGTTAATCGCATTGACTAGTTTTGAAATTCATTTGAACAATTTAAAAACTCTTTCTCCTATAAAGAATAGGCTAACTGAACAGTTTAGAAGATATAAAACCAAATTCTTGCCCGTTCGTTGCTTTTCTTTACATTCGTTGATTTCTAACTCATAGTATGTTAATTACTTACCTTCAATAAAAAAAAGTTCTTTCTTACTGCTATTCATTATATCGAAACGTTTACATTTGAAATTACGAAAAAAAATCTTTTCTAGCTGTTACTTTTACAACACCGCTAAAAACAACCGATGATGGCAAGTCATTATTTGCTAAATATCCTGAAAAACCAGATAAATTGCCAATTCTTTATTTTACACAATTAAGAACTGAAAATTTTCAGCCAGTTACATTTAGCAATGTTCACGGTCCAGAACTGGAATTATATTGTGAATATAAAGTTGCATTACGCAAGCGTATGTTACAAAATTTTGAATTAATTCAATAAATGTTTTCTTGTTTCAATATTTATTAGGTACTCAAAAACTAGTTCGACCATATTTATTCATTAATTTTCCTTTAGCACCTGGTGATGAACTTTATATACGTATTTTATCTATTGATCCAAATTATCGAACACCGTAATTAAAAACTTTTGTTACTATTTTATACTTATTCATTTATATGTTCTTTTTTAAAGAGGAATATTTGGTTTTACTAATGTTCGTCCATCTAAATTTGCGGATAAACTAGAAGCGTTACCAGCAGTCGACCCAGCAGCATTAGTTGATCGTAAAGAATATTGGCTTCTACGCGAAGAACCATTCGACGACACTCTAAGTGAATTAGATGAATATCGAATATTATTTGATAAAACAAGCGGTGAAATGTTATTGTGTCGTAATAATGATACAGTATCTCAACCACGTATATTAACATTTGCTGATCTAAATGAAACATTTTATCCATTTCTATTTTTAAATGGTCGTATAACAGCATTATCTGTATTTGCTTTAATTGCACCAAATGTTCGTTTAACTGAAGCAAATCTTCCTCTAGATTCAAATAATCGAACCGATGATTGTATCGATGAAGATGATTCTGACCGTTGCACAATTTGTTATGATGCTAAAGCAACTTGTGTACTTATACCATGTGGTCATATGATTTTTTGTACGAAATGCAAGGTTGATTATGAGCTTAGATCTACAAAAATTTGCCCGAAATGTCGAGCAGTTTATGAACAAGCAATTGAAGTTGAAGCCGATTAGAAGAATGCTGTTGATTTTTCTTTTGATTACTTTTGTTGTTAATTTATTGCTTAAGAGCCATTTATTTTTGAAATTTGCTTTTGTTCTTGATATGCAAAGAAACTTAGAGTCTGAACTACGAACAGAAATTGTAAAAATTTATGAAAACATTTTTTTCTTTTCTACTTAAAAACAAATAAGTGCTATTCAGATTATGCAACAAAATAGTTAAAGTATTCTTTTGTCATAAAGATATTTTATTCGCCGAATGAAAAATAATAATTTTCTTTTACAAATTTTATATCCAATTAAATACAGCAGTGACTTTTATTCCATAGGTTATTAAAATGATAATAGCAATGGACACGTGTCAAAACACAACTCATAAATATATATATATACTTAGAACAAGTGTCAGTTAAAACAACGATTCAAACCATATTTATCAATAGGTGTATTATAAAAATTCACAAAATGAAAATTTCGTCCCTCAGTAGGAAGATAGAAGTGTGATATCGAAGTTTTCTTTCTTTTTTCTTTTGAAGAATAATTCACAACTTACTGACAAATTAACAATTATAATCAAAAGCATTATCAAATTTCATGGTTTAAAAGACAAATACTGTTTCGATCAAAAACTTTATAAAGAAAACAAATAAATTGAAAGACTCATACATGCATTCCTATGATCTACATCATTTTATAGTTGTTTTGAAGTATCAACAAACTATAAAACGGATTGATGAAATCTGTTCTACGATATTTCATTACATTGACTACTTTAGTCAACATTGAATAATCTGCTTTGTGAATACTTATTCTCGTATTTTTATGTGGGTACGCTATTTGATTTCTACGCGAAATAAAAGTATAATCAATAGAATCTTACTCACTATAGAAAAATCTCTCAATTTTTACGATTTCTTGGAAATATCACAGACTCGTGGTCATTGCAAATTGGCTGCATAGATGATTTTTTCTTTTCAAGTTCGAAACTTTAATTCGCATATTTACACAAACATAGCCTGCATGATGAAGGGATTTCAGATAGAAATTCTCAAAAACAACGGAGGATAATATAATGTTGAGACTTTCGATATCCTGATAATGGTTTCTCAAGTATTTGAAACAATTTAGGCTCATGTAAAAACAAATTTCAATAAAACAAAGTAAGAAAATAAATGCGATACAATAGAACTTTCTAGTTTAATATCTGTATGTTTAGAAATTATAGAAAAGTTACAATTTTCGAAGCATCAGCATAAGCATTTGAATTGAATCAAGATATTGAAAAGAGCAATCTAGGTATTCTGATAGGCGATTAACGTTATCATTATCTCACTTCAAAGCTACATTGAAAATTTCTCCAGAGAACAAAACCTAGCAAACAACGATTGGCCATTCTATGTATTTTCAGTTAGTCTCTGCTGAGATAGTAATTAAATATGCTTCGAATGACTTTTCTCGAATAAACTCTCACCAAACAGCTATTAGTTCGAGAACACAGAATTTTTTACAAAGGGATATCGAAACAAATCAGTATGAGCATATGATCATGCAAATCTTCGTCATACTGGTAAAAAAAAACTAATAATAATACGATAAAATTGTACGAGTTTCGCATGATTCACCTCCATACACTTCACGAAATATGTTTTACATTCAGTTGAAGTGTGAAAACCCAGATATTATTTTTTTGAAAAATCACTTGATACTGAATCTACCGACATGAGACAGAAACGATTTACTAGATGACATAAGAAATCTTCAATGGCAAAAAAATGACACTCATATATTAATGAAAGATTGTGTTAATGAAAAAAAAATTAATTTTTAAATAGGACATTTTTTTTAAATCTCCAAGAAAATCAAATGAATTCTTTTAATTTCTGTTATAAAGATCACTCTAAAATATTTCATTCAACTTTGTAATATCTCATAGAATACTTCACGGATGTAGTCAAATAAAAGTGTACGATTAGTGAACAAAAGCAAGTTGTTCATACCAAATTTGGAATCAGTACAAGCACCTTGTCTTTCTTAGTTTATAAATTAAAGTTCTACATGAAAACAGCAGAGAAAACCATTCTTATTTTTATAAAAAAACAATATATATAGAAATAGTCATCAAGCCGAGGCAATAGATAGATGTTTTACACATTTTTTGTTGCCATCCATTTGACGTATCATAGTAATAATCATCATAATAGTCATCATGAGAGCTATCCGAAATATTCGTTGATTGATGCTGTTGAATTATTGAATTTATTTTGGTTTTTCGACGATCATGAGGATATCCGTATGTGATGTTCAATGCAACAGATAATACGAGAAAAACTAACACTAGTTTGGTCGTCATTTCGTTCGACGTAGTAGACAATTGAAATACATATACACTATTTTTCAATGTATCAGAATTATCTTTTCTTCTTTCAGTTGCTTTTTTTTCTCATTTAAATATAACAGCACGCAATGATGCATGACAAAAAACAAGAAAAATATAGAAGAAAGTACAAAAACAGAAGAGCGTCGTCGAATGTAATCATTTGTTTATATCGTTATTTTTATTCATGTTTCTGTATACTTGTGATTCTTGATTGATAGGTCGTTTCGTTGTATAAAGATCGACTGAACTTTCATCTGGTTGTTTTCCAAGTAGTTTTGTTTCTTCTCTATGGGTTTTATTGACAAGAACTGTTTTATCTAATAAATTTGATTTTTCAATTATTTGTTCGATTGTATTTATATTATTGACTAGATTTTCAGGTGTAATTTCATCGATGACTAGAGAATGGTGAATATTAAATGGACCGATACTGGAACGACGTATTGATTCAGAAAGTGTACTTGTACGTAAACGAATGCCAATATCAAGAATAACTTCTTTTAAATGAATTTCATGTTCGTTGATTACATACATTTCTAGAGGGAGACATTAAATTTCTATGCATTTAATGTATATTCATACGTACCAATATCAAAGCAGGGTGCTTTAAAATTAAGTAGTTTGAGACCGTAAACTATCGGTGGTAGAGTATGATCACGTGGTTTCCATAAACCAGCTTTAGCTAATTCAAAGCCGGCTTGAGTGAATGGGCTTATTCCTGACATTCTTTTGTATTTTTAACAAATAAGGAAAATTAAAATACTTAAAAAGATTTGTAACTTACTTGTACATCGATGCTTGAAAACTACTTTGAATTAGAGCACAAACGCGTTCAATTTTAGATCGAGTTACATGTTCTAAATGAAATTTCATTCGATACATTAAAATATAAAGTTATATAGTCATATTGCTTTTTGTATGCTAAACTATTATAACTGTCAAACACAATGAAACATACTCAACTGTCGTATGGCATTTGACTTCATGCAATGGCTATGAGAATGTCACGATGATACGACAATGAATTGGGAAATGCTTTCAAGTACATAGTCTACTGATAAATGGTTTTGTCATTGCTATTGAAACTGTTGAGATTTTGGATATTGAATATATTGGAACACGTAGATTTAACTTTGCAAACATTTTCATAACTATCTATTGACTATTTAGTGAAAGTAGAAGCAAAATTTTAGATAGTAACTCTTCATTTTGTAAATTTTTGATTAATGCTTTTTTCTTGGTTCATAAAATAATTTCATTTAACTATCCATATATGTTTATCGACAGATTATAGATTCGAAGTTTTTAAAAATTTTACTAACTTTTTCAACATATTTTCTTCGAGATAATATGAATTCAAATGATGTTTCGCAGTTAAGTATGTTTAGTCACGAGTATGACTTTTAGAAGTTTTCACTAGACTGTAGTTATATAAAAGATTATTTTCTTTTTCTTGAAATACAACATATATGTTGTAGATACTAAAACAATAGTTTTAATAATCTTTCTTCTTTTAATCTGACTACTGAAAACATAACCAAATAGAATCATATTCAAAGTAAACATACTGAAAGTGCTTTTTTCAACAATAACTCCATTGGCATCGAGTGTATTCGTTGATTCGCCCAATTTGCCTTGAATATGATAACACTAATATCGTGAAAAAAAACAGAGATTTACAAGAAGAAAAAAAAAAGATTATCAGTCTTATATAGATAGATTTACCCTTAACGGTTGACCATCTTTAATTTGATCAAGACGTTTAGATCCATCATTAATACTCACAACTTATGTTTCAAAAAACACGAAAACTAAAATGACAAATATTCAAAAACTAGTTTTACTCTGTAATCCAGATGAGAAAGGTTCTAATGGAAAAATTGATTGGATATCAAAATCTTCTGGTTGATAACGTGGACCCAATGCTAAAATAATAATATAAATACCAGTATTCTCGAAATAATATTCTGAATCTATTTCAACCTTGTACCGTATCTGATAGATCAATAGATGAAACAACCATTTCTTTTCCTGTTTGCCTATCACGTATAATATCAACACGATTCATCGGTGCCCGATATGGCATTTGATTGAAAACTATACAAAATTATTTCTTTCATGATTCCAATTAATACTATACAAATACCTGATGCTAATCTTTCTTGTACGATAGTAAAAAAATGTTGCGTTTTCATATCAGCTGGTTTAAATAGACATGCAATACCGCTTAATTTATCATATAACAATTCCGCTGATGATCGAAGCATTTCTTGAAAAAAATAAATATCAAATATGTTTTTCGATGTGTTTTTTATCGATGAAAAGAATAATAAATATTAAAAGTGCAAAATAGAATCTATTAATTCATTTTTGAGCTTCTTTGTTAAAATTAGCAAAACAAACGAAAAGAATGAATTACAGAATTTTCTGAGGATAAAAAAATATAATTATAATCTACTCTATTTGCCCACATGTCTTCATTTGAATATAGAATATAAATTAGGAACGGATTGAAGCGAGAGAAAAAATGAGGTTCGATATAATTATACAATAAAAAAAAATAGTTTCACACATGGAACACACAAAAATATAAATCTCTATATACATAATTTTTAAAAAAATAGACAGTTACACTATTCGTTTTTTACTCTTGTATTTGACGAAGAACTTTAATTACACGGCCACTGCCTTTAGTTTGTTGACCAGAACGAAATATCAATCGAGATCCTTCAAGAACATATTCACACCGATTTCGAAATCGAAATGTCACTATAGCTTGTTTATTTGCATGTAGTTCTTCCTAAAAGATAATATTGTTTCATATTTATAAAAAAAAAATTAAATTCTCATACTTTATCCATTTCAATGATAAGAACTGTTTGACGAATACTTTCTATTTGAACAGTTGTTTCAAAACCCTTACGTATTGGTGTATTTGTATGATGCATAGAAAGATAAATTTCCGCAACAAATTCAAAACATGCTTCAGGACTAGATGTTGATGAAATCAGTACCATACCCTAATTGATTCATTTTTTTGGAAAAGTACACACAATAATATGTAATCACAAAATAAAAATTAAATCATTTACCTTGCGTAATCGACTACCTCCTATATGAAGTAAACTAAGCGAAGCAGCTTGGCCAGAACGAACAATTCGTCTTGGAACTCTATATCTCTGTATCGTAGTAACTTGTACTGGCAAAAATTTACCATCTACTAAAGGACCAACCAGATAATTTTCTCCTTCTCGAATTGAACCACTAAAAATAATTTTAAAAATAATCAGATAATCACTAGATAAATCTATTTTTATAGTTTTCTATTCGTACCTTTTTAATGTACCACAAACAACAGCTGCACCCGACACATTATTTCTATAAATTTCGTCGATCTATTGAAAAAGATAAGATAACAACAATCTTCTAAATCAAATATGAAATAAAAAATAACTGAATCGTACTCGATATTCTACAGGTAATGATGAAAGTCTTTCTTGATCTTTAGTACTCAAACGAGGTGGAAGAATATTAAGAAATTTTTTTAATAAATCAATATTTTCACCAGTCACACACGATACCGCAAATATTGGACATATACTTTTTTCAACGAACATATCAGCTGCTTTAACCAGATCTTCTTCTCGTTGAACAACATAAGGTCGAAGTTGTGTAGAACCAATGCCATGTTTTAATAGGTATGTTAAACATGTTATAGTTTGTTGTATATTAGTTTTTGAACATAAATCTATCTTATTAATTACAACGAATACCGGTACATCCAATGTTCTGGCATATGAAAAATGTTCTCGTGTTGTATCAACTAAATTATATTTGAAATAAATTTAAAACAAAACAGTTTCTCTTTCTTTGTTTCTAATTGATAGCATACCAACACTTGATGGTGCGTCAACACATAACATTGCAAAATCAGCAGCATGTGCAGCAAGTCCAAATAAAGTTGTTTTCATATATTTTTTATGACCAGCAAGATCAATAAATGTTATGACTAAATATTAATACACAACATAAAAATTATTAGTTGAACATTATTTGTCCTACTTTTAGTTGATCGATTACAAATTTCATTTGCCGTTCGACAACAACCATAATCAATACTCTTCAATATAAACAATTAATCAATGTTAAATAGAAAAGGAAACTTCATTCAATAACATACTTCGCCGAGATTATTAAATCCAAGAATTTCATGTGTTATTGATGATGTTCTTCCCGACTGTATTTCATGTAGATGCCGAAATAAATTAAGTCTTGCTCGACCTCGTCCATTGTCAAGTTCACCATGAGTACAAACACCAACAACTGAACTCTTTCCACTATCAACTGTACCCAATACAGCAACACGTAAATCAATAAAATGTTGATCATCAGGAACTTTTCGTATCAATACTTCTACAATATGTCGGTCATTTTTTAATGTACGTTCATGAAGTATTGTTATTGATGCACCTAATCGATCAGCCATTGTTTTTAATGTTGTTAATGATGCTTCTAATTCTTCACTGCTAACACCACTTAATGTACCACAATCTTCAACGCCAATTTCATATAATGCTTCACCTTGTCCTTCTTGTAAACGCCAATTCATTTGAGTGATTAAATGTTCAAGACGATATGGATTGGGATCAATTAATTTAAGTTTATATTCAATATTTCCTTCTTGAGGCTAAGAAAAACAAAAGTAAAAGATTTTCATTGAAATATTTTCAAACATAAAAAACGAAAAAAAGATTAACAAACCTCCGGTGGTAAACCGGTCAGAACGAATGGTGAACGAGGAACTTGTTCATTATCATCTTCATCTTCATCATCAGTTGAACCAAATAGACTTGTCACATGTTGATTGATCTACATTGAAATCAAACAAAGTGAATAAATTAAATTCAAAAAACTGAAAGCTTAACTCACTTTATTAAAATTTGATTCTGTTCGTCGATTATTGGTTGACGTAGGATCTTGATTAGACATCTGAAATAAAGATTTTAGCATAGAATTATATGTCAATTAAACTAAGAAACTATCTATGAAGAACTTTATTGATATATCTGATATACATCTTTACGTCTTTGCAATAATGGTAAAAGCTGATGACAGCTTGGATTGTTAACTTGTGCATCATGCAATGTGATTATTCTCGATTTTCAACATGATTGTGTAATTACTGACTTTAGAACATTTTTACCTGAATAATAAGTGGCTATCAACAAATGTAAGTATAATGTAACTTCCACGTTGCAATAAGAATCTAGCGCGTTACATTCAATTGCATCATCTTACGTGTCGGTGTGACAAAAACAACGAGGTTTTTTTCCATTCAAAATCAGCATGTCTGCGTGCAGACATATGATTTTTTGTTTGACAACAAGAAAACAAAAGCGAAGGAAAGAGAAAAAATACAAAAGAATGTAATTAAACTAAGGATCTTCTCGAATAATGCGCCGTCTACGACTCATCATTTCAGTATTTTGTCTTGTATATCGATCGAATGTTGAACGCATAACACCTGACATTTGATTATAATCTGCGAAACGACGCCACATTATCCGACCGAGACGATATTGTTCTACAACACCCCATTGGCGAGACCTGGAATTCACAAAAAAGAAATACACATACCTATTTTTGTCAATAAATACATACAAAAAAATAATACATACGTTAATGCACATCGATTCCATCTCCACCAAGGTTGAGTTTCGTTTGTAAATGTTGAAAATTCTTCTTCTCGACAATAGTTCTGTAATAAAATAAAAAATAAGAGGAATCAATGAAATTTAAAAACAGAACAATAATATTATTTTATTTTACTTTAAATGAATCAGGAAAGATCATATTTTTACGTAATGATTGGTAACGAAATCGTTCAGGCCAGTATTTTCGAATCAGCGTGCGTCGTTTTATATCTTTCAACATCATTCGACCTGGATAGCCAACTAGTTTAGTACGTGATGGTTGGTCAGTATTGATAATACCAGTAACAGGTGTCAGAAGAGGTAGCTATTAAATGAATTTAAAATTATTAATGGCATGGACTGTAAAAAATTGTTTCGCAGTAAATTTTTTAAAATTTCTTATTTTGTGCTGAGTTTATCATAATTAAGTCTAAACTGTTTTTCCCTCGCTAGATTCTCTTTTCAGCAATTAGATCGGTCTCAATTTTTGGAAACATAATCGTAAGTTGTTATTTTGAGAAATTTCACATTATTTTAATTGTCAGTATGTAAAACTAAAATAAAATATGGGATTTGATTGACTATGAAGATCTACGAAATTAATATAGATACAAGTTCCAGATACGTTTACATTATGAATATTTCTATATGATCAATACTACAGATGCAAACAATTCAACTGTTTATTATTCTAAATCGATCAAAGATTTTATAGGACATTTTATTTTTTTTATTTTTTTTAAATGGAATAATTAAATCCTTACTAGGCCACTCGTTTTCAATAGTCAACATTTTTCATAGTTGTTTTCGAGTATTTGCATGAGAAACAGTGGTAAAAAATAAGACAAACGAATTGAAATCAGATTTTTAATATACGAACAAGTAATCGAAATTCAATGAGTTCTAAGAAGAATTAGTTGAATGTCATACACTGATATTATTAATCATATTAATTAGAATATTTACAATATAGAACATGTTAGAACTTCTGTGTATGCTTATTGCGTACAAGTGAATAATCTGTTAAAGCGTGTCCATGATTAAAATTTTGAATTCTATGAATATGACTAGCTTTAAAAAGTAATAAAACCTACTAAATAAAAGCAGTCTGTCATTTTTCTACGTTTGACATGAATCTATAATTCCTCAAGAGACAGTACATAGGGAAGAATACTTTCTACTATTATGATCAGCTAATAATTAACATGAAAGTAACTAATTAGAAGTGGAAATTGAAAATGAAGTATATTAAGACGAAAAAGAAAATAGTACAATAGAAAAGCTGTCATTTTTTTTCTTTTTTATGTTCTTTCATAGTACACATAAACATGTTATTATATATTTCATGGAAATCTTGCTGTTATTATCTGACGATATTATTAATCAATATTTATACCTGAACGGAAAACATATTCAGCCGAAGACTTCTTTGAACTTGACAAAGTAAAAATGACATCTAAAACAATGAATAATTGAAGAAGGAAAAAAGAAACAATAACACATTAAAATATCATGCACCGTGATATATTTATTCCAAATATTGGAAACAATTTACTTTTCCCACGGAAACCAAAAACTACTATTAAATAGAGTATCCTCAAATACCAAAAATATTAATAACATAACAAAAAAGAAAATCATTGCAACCAATTATAATTATATGACATGAGCAAAAAGAGCAATCATTGGACCAGTTAATTCTACACTTTGTATACGTTGAAAACCAGCTTGAAATAATAGTTGTCTGTATTCATTTTGTGTAGTATCATATCCAATGCCATCACCACATTCAATAGCCATTGATATACTAGTTGATAATGTTGTAATATTTTCACGATCATTATCAATCATTTTTTCAATAACTAATAGCGTACCATTACCACCACTAAGTTGAATTTTTGTTTTTAATAATTTATAAATTTTTTCAATTAACAATCTCCGTTGACCATATGTCCAATCATGTAGAATATATTTAAGAGATACAAGATCAATATTTTTTGTGATTTTAATTATTTCATCTGGCCAATTTTCTTCAAAAAAATTCCCGGCTACGTAATGAACATGTGAATCGTTGATATTGACTGAAGAGGCATAGCAAGTAAGTTCAGGTAAATCAAAACTAAACGCATTCATATGTGGATATCGTGTAACAATTGTTCGGCTGAGATCGCCTAATGAACCTCCAATGTCAAGTAATGTTGAATATATTGAAAAATCAGCATGATCGCATAATTCATTAATTGTACAGCGGGTAAAAGATGACATGATACGTGCAAAATAAATCATTGGATCTTGTTTTTGTTCGAATATTGACCAAAGACATGATTGTTCATTGCTATCTTCACTTGTTCTAATACCATATTTTAATGTTTCATTAAGACGAAGAAAAAATGTATACTGACGACGATGATCCCAAACACCAATACCTAAACCAACATAATTTTGACGTGATGAAACAAGATATGTACGTGTAACATGTGTACATTCATAGCGATTTGAATTTGAACATCGTTTTAGTAGACGAAGATAAACAAGATATGATAACATTGATAATGATACATTTAATTTTGCCAGTTCTTCATAAGCTAGAGAACCTGTTGAAGACTCCTCAATCATTGTAAATAGATTGAGTCGAATGGCACCAAAAAGTACTTGAGAACGAACAAAGGAGCATATTGTATGCTTTAATAAAGTATCCAATGTGGCTGCCAACTTCTTTGCGTTATTATCATTGTATGATGATGAATACATTTCAAATAAATCTAGAGAAAATACTAAAGTCGATTAAACATAATTGAATATATTATTGCAACTATGTTTTAAATAAAATATCTAACTGCAAACGAAATTACACGGCAGCAGAGATTTGTCGCTAGTATCAATAAAAATCAAGTTAACTCATGACAAATACAGAGAACGGCAACATATTGCATGGATATACATACACAGATTGCTTTTCTCAACGACTAAACAGAAAACCTAAGTATATGCAATGCAATGCAAGAAGAACAATGATTTCATTGGTTAATAGAGGCTTCTTCTTAGTAAACCTCGTTTAAGAGGTCGCTAGAATAAGACTGTGCTTATACGTAACCGCAATCACTGACGAGTTGCCAGTGACGACGAAAATGACAGCAAAACTGAAACAGAAATTGAAAATTGATAATGCTGATGCGATAAGTTTTAATCGAGAAATATGTAAAAATATTAAAGATCATATGAAACAGATAACTAAATTGCTGATGGAGGTAAAAATATGCACATCTTGTAATCATATGTTAATTGTTTTCACAATTTGTAAAAAGTGGGCAAATTTTTTATCTCCCCCTTTAAATAAACCCAGATCACTGATTCTAGAGAATAATTCGACTATAGGAATCGGTCGGAAAGGTGCAGAAAAATCACACTATTCCATCGGAAAGAACAGGATATGGACTGGAATCCACTGAAAAAAAATCAAAAAGTTTCCAACTGAAATAACACCTCTAACTTTCATCAATCTCCCATGTTTCCCTACCGCTTCTCGCCGTACTGCCACGACCTGGGTAAACTAGGATTATTTGTGCTGCTTTTATTAAGAACAAAAATCCGATAGAACTGACAAGAAAGAAAATATCGTGCGTCGATTAACATCGCCACAAGAATGTATATTTCTTCATATTAAACATTGATATGGATATAAGTCAGCTGATTCTTCTATTGATGTTAAGCGGAAACCAACGAATGGCATATCTGGATATAAAGAATTTTTCACAACGAACAGTTGAGCTTTTAATAATAATGAAAATTAAAGATGAGACAACCTTGCTTACATGTTCTCATCATAGATATGATGGATTGGCAGATAAATAAGAACTAAATTATTGTATCACAAACAAAGAAGTATTTTTCATTCAGAAGGAATCATTTCATAATTTATTCATCACATTTCACACTATAGAACATTACAATTCATTCACTGTAATTTCTACGAAAGACATGATAGAAGTAAGATATATAAGACAGAGCAGTTCTTCGTTTTGATCTTAATTTGTTATTTAATGCTCAACAAATTTCATCAATAATTTGATCATTTTACTGAGTGTAGTAGTTTTTAAAATTTTATTTCATACGATAACAACAACATATGATGGTCATAATTACATATTAACATAAGAATATGATGCATCATTAATGCTAATGTAATGGACACAAATAAACAAATAAACAAACAAACAAAAAGGATTATTTCGCATATATGTATCAATATTTGTTATGAATTTCAATGGATAGATATTGTTGATGATAATGCTGTAAAATTATGTTTGTATGCTTGACTTGGTTGATTTATCACTACAAATATGATTAACTGAATAGATATGAAAATAAATTTAATCGAATTTCAATAACCTATAATTTATTCAATTTAGTTCAGAAAGTCAGTTAGATTCAAAAGTTAACAAAATATACCGGCTCAGAAAAATTCGAAACCTTTTTAGACATTTCGGAAGATCTGGTTAATCTGTTACGAAAGTACTGCAAATAAAATCTGATTCTATACGTTTTAACTACGACGTGAATTCAAATTATTTTAGAATCGTTTATGTTTTAATGATGGTAATGACAAACAACGGTGAAAAATTCAAGAAAAATCATCAGTATACACGTCTCCTTAGTTATGTATTTATAATACGTCGTTGAAATTTTGGTAGATTTTCTAGAAATCGGCCTAATAATGTTTTCTTGATGATTTCAGCTGAAGGTTCTTCGCTATTAGACGGTTTACGAATCTAGAAACAAAAAGAGAACATCGATTTTCTATTGATTATCATAATGTTTCGTATTTACATGTTCATATTTAGCACCAATACGAGGTAAATAAATACATAATTTTTCATCGTAAATAACATGTGCTATTAAACCTGGTAAATCTTGTTGTAAAACAAATTCATCATAAAGCGTATGATGATAATGAGTATTCCGAAGAGCGAGTATTTTTGTTTCATTGATATTCTACATAATAAATAAATGATATTGAATTTTTTGTTGTTAAATATACCAATCGTTTTACTTACTAATGGTTTAAGACCACTTTTGCCGATTTCAATTTGAATAAAACATGGACCAGTATAAATCAACGATGAAACAATGTTTTGTAATTGACCTGAAAAGAATTAGGCATTTTCGATTTCAAAATCATAGAGAATTGTTAGTAATTGAAGATATTCTCAAATTAGTTTGGTATACATAATATAATGTATGTGGATTATTTTGATCAAAATAAATTACCGCATATGAACGGCAGATGAACATGAGATAAGAGTGAGAATGGGTCAACATAAGTGTCTTCTCTATAATTTCATCTTTACTATGCATTTTACTTTATTAAAACAAGCCACGAACAGTAAATCGTGCTCATGATTATCTGATATTTATACCTTGTATAAGAATAAGTTCATGTGATGAATAGATTACTTTTTGTTCAATTAAATATGATTCTGGTATAAGAAATGCATGTTTTAAGTGGCCATAAATATGATTACGTTCTTGCTCATTTAAATTGTATGGCTGAAATCATTTTGATTAAAATGTTTTAAAATATACAATAAATAAAATATCTATAACAAACCACTGCATTCAAATATTCATACAATACAATTTCTGCTAATTGTAATGAAGTATAATGCCAAATTTTTTCTAAGATCCGTAAATGGTTGAATCGTTCGATAAGAACAATTAGATCATTTGCTTTTAAATACCAAACCTTACAAATATCAATTTTACATTTTAATTTTTTATAGATTTTAATTTCTTACGAGAGTATTTGTAATACATTTACATGTTTCTGTATATTTCTGTCCATTGAGTAAGTCAATATGACCAATAATATCACCTGGTGCATGTAATAATCGATGGACTTTAGTTGATTGTTTAGTTGAAAAAAAATCAAATATAGAATCATTCATATTAAGCTGAGAAAGAATGCTTTCATTAAAATTTAATAAATTATTCTTAGTATTAAAAAATATTTGTTTTTGTTCAGAATGATCATCAGACGATTGAAATAAATCTTCATTTAACAAAACTTTCTTATCGATGATATCTACTTTTTGCAGATCAGCATGATATTGTTGACGAACATGAGACTCCGTTTCGTATTGACTAGTTGAATCAATAAGATCAGATTTTGGATCAAAAGAATATGAATCTTTTTTTGATTGTAAAGTATCATAAGAATTATTTTCCTTATTTTTATGAAAATTTTCCATTGATAAAGCATCATAAAATTTCGGCATATTTCTTATTGTCTATTAAAATAGAAAACAATTTTTGAACATAAAACTTATATCTATAGAAATACCTCAACGTAACCAGCTGTAATAAAAAATAATGCTTGAGAGTCATTGTCTAATTTGTAAATATATTCGTTTAATGAAAATGACTTAATATGAAGACGACTCAATACATATTCAAGTACATCTGGATCATGAAGCCACGGAAATACATGTAAGAAATTGAACTATAATCAATAGGAGTAGTGAAATTCTCTGTCAATCGAACTTACTGGAATAGGAAAGAATAAAATTGGTGGAACGAGTTCTGTATGAAGCTTGTGATTAATATTCTAAATATTAGATCATGATATTCGTTTATTCATTTAATGAAATAAACCTGTGTAATCCTATCGGATTCATTTTCTCCTAATAAGCCTTTGTGTGCCATATGATGAACCTAATGAACAGCAAAACAATACTTGAAGCAGAAGAAATTCAGTATGAAAAATTACAATATTTTTTGAATAGTTGAGTAGTTTTTGAATAGCTGCACGCGTTTTAACGCTTGCAGATACATTTGGATGTTCAGTTTGAATACAAGCTAAATAAAAATATGTTCTAATGTTACTGTAAACTTTAAAATTTTACTTAATTCATTAATCAATTGTTCTCGTCGTCTTATCGAATCTTTATGAAAATGATCTCGAATTTGATCAATTTCAATAATACGAGGTAATTTTGAAAGTACATCATCTTCACTAACTACATATGCCGTACATAATTCAAGTGAAAGTGTTACATAACGATTAGCTATGCGTTCAAAAATGATATTCAAATTAGCTAGTATATACTATAGAAGACAATTAACAAAATTAGTATCGCAAAAATGAAATTCATACATCGGTTGTTCGAATAATACGAAGAATTTGAATAATAACAATAATTTGCATGACAGACCAAACTCGACGATTAATAGATTTAGAAAAAATGAAATGATAATATTCTAAAATAGATTCAATGATCACTAATATCAAAAGAATGCACTCGATTCGATAATAAATCCATGTTCGAAAATAGATTCGACTATCAAAGGTATAAATCTATGAAAAATAAAGCGTTCAAATTTTCAATAAGAATAAAATAAAGCGAAAATAAAAATAACTTTAATAATGAATTCTAGAAGATAAATTATATTCGAGATGTTTTGAATGCTAGTTAACGCTAGATTAACTTGATTCGATGTAATTACTACCGATCTAATGATTGCTAATGTCGCCTAAAAGATGATGTTACTTAAATATAAAATATGATTCTTCTACAAAATTACATACATTAAAAACGATGACAAATATCATGAATACATTGAATTGCTTATGATTGAGAATATTAAAATAGAATAGTCGCCATTTATTTCTGGGTATCATTTGATATTTTCGCCAATCATTACGAATACAGGTATGTAATTTTTCAGCTGATGATTTCTAAAAACATTCAATAACGTATTCCTTGCTACATTTCGTTTTTGTTTTATCAAAACAAGTTTTCAGTGATAGTAACAATAAAGAAGCTGAAATTTTTATCAATAATAAAGCATCAAAACTTATTAGAATCACAATCTTTTCTCGTCGAATACAGGCCTCATCATATGGGATATTCTATCTTGATTATCCATTTCAGATCAATGTATTCTATCATCTCAGATAATCAACTATGATGAGGAGAAAAAAGAGAAAGGGTATTCTTGAATTGAAAGTTTTAAAAAATAAATAAATATATAACTCCATTTCTTACCAAATATTTCCATATAAAATCAACTGTTCGTGGTCTGAAAATTGCATATGTTTTGCTTTCTTATGAACAAAGAAAGACTATATAAAAGAGCTCGTACTTATAGTAATATTTGAGTTGATCAATACTAATATATTGGCCATTTCTATCAATTGCAAAGTCAGAAAGTGATGATAAAATGCGTACAGTTTGTGTTGAAATTTCATAATCTCTATATTGCCTCCAAAAGCTTGTCTAATATGAGAATACCAAAAAAAAACAAATACTAATATCGTTCAATTAAAACTAACCTTTTGAATATTAATAATACGAATTCTAGCTTCTTCAAATAAATCATCATATTGTGTTTGATTGAGTTCTAGTGGAATAGACCGATGGCAATATGAATGTTGTACATTGGAATCAATTGAATTTCTATTTCTATTACCATTATTGATCATATTTAGAGCATGAGGATTTTCAAGTTGAAAGTTTCTCTCAATAAAAATCCAATCAGCATTAGCTAAATATTTATTCTTTTGTAAGGATTCGATTTTTTCTTTGACAAGCGCACGTAATGAATCTACACATTGTGTCATATAATGATATTTTATTTCAGAGATTTTAGTAAAATCTTGTTAAAAAGAAATATGAAAGTGTAGTTTTAAAAATATCAATTTACTTAATAACTTCAGTAATAGTGAATAAGTGGAATTCATACAACTGGACAGAAAGACAATAATACTTATATATATCAAGATTTGATTCTAAAATAGTTTCTTATATTTATTTGTTGACAAAAAACGAAGAAAATATTTATTGTTTTTACTTTGAATTTTGATGAAACATGACGAGTCAATTGTTTATCAGCAAGTTGAAATTCGCCTGCAAGTGCCAAACAAAGAATTAAACATATTGATCCTTTGAACTCGCCCCAAGTAGCTAATAAGCATTCTTGCCATGACAAATGACAGTTTCGACATAATTTTGTATAACGTGTTAATAAGATTATCATGAAAAATCTAAAAATTAAAATTATATAAATATTTGGATACAAATACCATTGACATACCTGACAATGTAACAAATAAAATAATTGATAACTAAGCAAGAAAAATTGATTTATTTAGAAATAAAATTCGATTTGTTACTATGAAAGAAGGCTTACTAGCCAATCCGATATCAAGAAGAATAGTATTATCTTTGGATGATATTTCTAGAATTGACTTATTGAATTCGACAATAGCCTAAACAAATATTATTACTGTATGTGATTATTAATCAATATAATGAATTTAGTTTGCTACCAGTGCTGTAAGAAGATAAACTATTGTATTTCCAACCAAGGTTAGCATATCCCAAAATCTATCCAAATAAGTAAATTAAAGTAAGTCTATCGCATAGATTGTATAATTTTTCGAATCGGTATACTTTTCCATAAAAATAGCTGCTTCTGAACTGATCGCTGTTTTATGATTCGATAATATAAGACCAAGAACAACAATGGCAATAATGCCAGAAGAATATACTTGTTCACCTATCATATGGTTGAATAGAAAAATTCAATTAGCAAACATGTTTATTTAGTTATTTTCAATTGTGAACACTATTCCATATTTATACACTACTTACATAACCAATAGAGCATATAAGGAATAGCAGTGGTTATAGTAACTTCACTAATTGGATCATCATAAAAATAAGGTAAACCAATAATTTCCAATATACCAGCAATGGTACCAAATACAATACCACCGATTAACGATATAGCTGTAGTTTTAAAAAAATGTATTGCTAATATAAAAATCAGTGCATAAATTCCCTTTTCAACGTAGAAATGTATCTTACTACACCAAGTATTTTCGTTCACAACAACAATTTTCAAAGCATTAAATAAGACGATTGCTAAGCTGTTGTTAATCACTGCTTCGTCTTCAAGTATAGTAATAAATCGTTTTGTTTTTCCATAATCTATCTAAATCAAATTCAACTGTAGTATGACAACAAATAAACTCAAGAGCAAAAGAGTAAACCTGTTTGACGCATAAGTGTTATAGGTTTAGTAGCACTAAGAATAACACCCAATATTAAGCATTGAAAGAATGTCCATTGTTGAAAAAAAAATAGATATTTGTTTATTATAGAAATACTAAATAATGATGTAAAATAGCCAATAATTGAAAAGAGTAAAATAGAATAGAAGGATTTCATGAATGCATGATATTCAACACGATATGCTGATTCAAAAATAAGTGCAGGTAAGAAGATACCAGCAAGCAGATCTGGTGATGATATTGTTATACTAAGAAATGTATTATCTTTGCTAAAAATATTGAAGAGAATACCGCCTATCAAACCAATACATATAATAAGACCAGTGTATGGTACTCGCAAAGAAGCAAATACTGTTTTGAAAAGACCTGTTCACTTAGTAAGTATAAATAATTGACAACAAGAATAAAAAAGACTTACAACCAATAAATAGGATCAGAAAAAGAAACATAAATTTATATGGAGCATGATGTTCATCAAGATCTTTTTCTAAATATGATCCATTGTATAAATGAGAATCTATTCCAACGTCTGCTGATTTCTCATACGACATTTTACCATTCAATATCAATTTGTCTCTGATACTTAATACAAATGTTAATTAGATGATTGTAAATGTCATTCACATGATTCAACGATTTGATTCGTCTAGATTCATTATATACAAGCTCACTTTCTGTCAAGTATCATTCATGTTTTGTATGATTAGGTTATAGGTTTAATAAAACGTATATAGTAATGCTATGTGAGTACAAGAAAAAAATATTAATGAATTCTATAATGTTGAAATAGACTTCATATTATTTTGCAAACAATGTTTCATTTTCTTATCGCATTTTAACTTTGAAAGTTTCAAATACTTGAAATTATCTGCTCTATTTAGGAAAAAAACAGAATCAAACGTTGACATAGAGTAAAAGATTTCAATTGTAGAGACACATTGTTTGAAAACTCATAAGGATCTGCGTGAATAGCTTCATAAAAACCATCCTCGATTTTTATCAGCAATACAAATTGAATAGTACTCGAATCCTTTTGAATTAGATAACAAATTAAATAATCATTCGATTAAAATATTTCATAATGTCAATAGTAACTGTTTTTATACTACTGTAGCTTCCGATATTTTTCTGATTCTAGAAAGCACTTATTATTTCAAGTGTAAATAGAGTTGATGATAAAATCAATCTCTAAGATAATGACCATAGGAAAAAGACATATGCAATATGGCATATATTATAAAATATTATTATACTTACACTTTACGAGAATGCTCTGAGTAATAAACACATAATCATCAAACTATGTAATCGAAAAATTATAAGAATATTTGTAGCGTTTACAGAAAACGAACAAATATGAATACAACAAGAAATGTATATAAAAGTATTTCATTCACTATTTTTATACGAATAAAAATGAAACTAATATTTGTTATTTTAAAGATTACATTCAGTTCAATGATTAAATAATTCAGGATCGATACCATGAAGTTGTTTTATGTGTTAATATTATTTATTATTGCTCAACCATTTTATTAAGTAATGTATTCGTACTATTCAAGTGTCATTGCTAGATGTTCATCTAATCCAGTCTCGACTCGTCGTATTATCAGTAGTGTAGACGCTAATAGATCAATTTATAGTTAGACTGTGCTGTGCCAATTTCGGTTGGTAGTAGTCTGCTATGCGATGACTCAATTCTGACTAATTCCTGGATCATCAGAGCAGCGAATTGTGTATTTGATTATAGAGAGCTCTCTATCACTATTTATCCAGGATCCAATATTCGATGGTGCAGTACTCGGAGTCAAACAGGTTACTTTTTGTCAATTATATAGCTCTATTAAAACTTAATTTGTCACTCAACGTGAAGGACGATAATATAGGTCCGATCTGTATCCCAAGTATCAGTTCAGAAATTCTGAAATCTAATGATTGGCCAATGGTTGACATGACTGTAGGATTATTCTCGATTTCTATTTACAGACTGTGACATTCGGATGAACTTGTGCATTATTAATCGAGGATTAAAAATGATTTCAGTTTAGTGTAGGCGTTCCTATGCTAGGGTTTGTACTCACCTAGGTATTTGGTCTATATTGACTCAAAACATGTACATACAAAGAATAACATGCTAAGAGTATTTCAATATCCACTGATCGTTGATTTTTTTTGATTGAACCCATTTCTCTTGTAACGTTTCGCTCATGAACAATGCGATACTTTTTGATGATTGTTAGCAATACATCTCAAGTGATATTAAAATATAAAATTATCAGTTTTTACTGCGGCAGCATATTCTCTGATGAGATCAATAACATACTGTATCCATGTCGCCAGTCATGTACATGCAAACATTTATAACATCAACAATTAAATTCGTCTAGCATCATTATTTGTCATTCATTCAAATAGCTATAGAGCGGATGCACTTGAGTAGACGCTATTTTGCTGTTAAATTTTTCTGTATCATTGACGATGACTAATCTTGTTGTGAGTACTACTCGTGTAAAATATATTCATTAATCAGCATTCTTTGCTCACCAATGATCATTGATCAATGTCACAATAAGTTATGTTTGTTTAATCTATATCTTTAGTTTTTCAGTATTTCGTACTCATTGTGAAATTGAAGTCATCGATTGAATCAATCAAATTAATCCGAACAATTTTACTAGTAAAACGCCTTGGAAAATGTAGCTACTTCAAAAATCTTAGATGATCAATAATCAATTTCTTGCGCTTTTTCTTTTAAAGTTATTGGCAAGCATAAATGTGCGTTGATGTTGATGATATTGTTTTATTTGATTTGTTTAGAGATTCATTTCAAGGAAAATTCAGATCGTTCTCTAATGATATTTATTTGAAACAATCCATGAGTATTGATGAATCTAGTAAACAATGCTTTTAAATGCGATCAGACTTCAACAATTGTCTATAGTCATGCAAGTGACATCTTATTGATCATTTTTCTTGTTTTAGCACGTTATTTTCTCTCACATTTGATCAGATGATAGCATACCGATAAGTTTTCTCATTGACAACATGATTATTATTCAGAAAGCTGCATGAAAGAAAATTTGAAATTGCATTTCACAACGATTTTTATCAGACTTGTGTTTGTACTCAACTAATAGTGGCCAAATTATCTAGTCGACTCTAACTACATAAACATCGTGATTCATGCATCGGCATTAATAATGTGATACACTAGAACGAAACGTTCACTTAAGTCACTGACAAAGAAAAAAAATGATCGATAGAAAATTTTGATTAACAATTATTTTATATATGCAATTCGCGTATCATTTAATAATTTTTATTTATATGTAGTTATTTTAACTCCGTTTTTGGCAAAAAATCTTCAGATAATTAGCAATTTTACTAGAAAAATTTTGTTTTAGGTAACTCTGACTCCGACTCCGGTGGAGTCGGGCTTCGGAGTACCGTGCAGGGCTCTAGTCAGGTACTATAATAGTATTGAGAAAGGATATAATTTATAGAGTATAAATCAAAAACGAAGTTTTTGTGATCTTTATTTGATTCGATTCTGTTAATATTTCTTTAGAACAATGTTATTATACCACTGTTTGCCACAATTCGAAGATGGCTTTTATTTACAACATCTGATACATTTTAAAAAAGTACTTTGCAATCTGCAATGCTGTTGCAGCGTGTCCCAAATCTCTAAAGACTTCTCCTAGCGGAAATCGATGTTCTATATATTTTCTATGTAGTTGAAGAGAATCCTATATAATTTGTGCTTGCCAATTTCTAGATATTCCTATATTTGCACGGAGTGGCGCTACGAAGCCAGATTCAGAAAAAAATTCTATAAATAGCAAAGAAAAAACTTGCCATGTCGAATAAATTAAAGCAATAGAAACAGTTAAAATATTCAATTCTGTATTTAGTCAAACATTTGTTTTATTTTTAATCAGATACTAATATTTATTTTCGTTAATTTCACTGTTTTTCTTTTAGTTATCAGTGAAGGGCTTTGTAATTATATGTTTGAAAGTGAATTGTTTTTGTATACAATACATACGTATATATACATATATATTTTTTTGAAGAAAATAAAAAAATAATTAATGTACATATTCCTTACATATGATTTATAATTTAATTACATTGATTTTGTTTTTTTATTATCAAAAAGTTCCTGATTAAAATATGTACCGACTTCTAAATTTTTTTTAAGGATCCACTGTTAAATTTTTCACAAAATCTATTTTAAGAAATTCTTTTGATCTCTTCTGATTGATTTGAAAAGGACTGATAGAAAAATTTTACCAGATGTTATGAATTTTTCCCTGGAGTTGCTGAGTGAAAATTTTGAAAATTGAAAGTTTACCAATAAAATCAGGTTTATTGTACAAAAATCATTAGCGAATGTTCTGATATGGCTGAAGTAATTTCTCTGACGTTTGAAAGTCACAAAACAAAATTTAAAAGCCAATAGTTACCGATCAGTCATTGAAATTTATGTAGAGAAAAAAGAAACAAATTGAACTCAGAAAAGCGAGAAATTTTAGCATATCAAGCAGTTTTTCTTATCGTCTTTTTCAAATGAATTCGAACAGATCAAAAGGATTTATTATTGAATTTTCTCATCTGTCTCTGAGAAGATATATACAAAATAAATCATGTTGCAAACATCTTGGTACATCCGGTACTTAATATACGAGCTTGCATTTCATATTAAAAAACTTTTGAAAAGATTACTATTATTCTTTAAGGTTATAATAAATGTACTTTTTTCAAAAGCTGATAAATATATTGAAAAGTATAATGATCATTATAAAGAATTTGACAATTCTCAGCGTACTGATAATGAATGGAAAATATTAATTTATCAAGTAAAATAAAAAATTCACCTCATTTCAGTTTTCAACTGTCTGCGAAAAACATTTACCCTTCCTGTTTCCAAAAACTATCGAAAGCCTTGGTTGAGGGAATCTGTGGAATTTCTTACATCTGACCATCCACATCGGTATGATAATCTCCTTATTCATTTCTCGCTCCATTCAAAGCACTTCTATGATTCCTTTAATTAGGATGGAATCTCGATTACTCCATTATGATTATTTTCATATTCATTCGAGTTTGGAATAACAGTTATCTGCTGCTTTGAATTAGATATTTCACATTGAAAGAGTTCTTTCGAAGATTTCTTTTAGCTAGAAGCTTCTACTTTTGTGTGCAAATATCTTCTATACCATCTGATGATTCCTCCGATAATTAGGATCAAATGGCGATTGTAATAATTAGTTTTTTCATGTCCATCCTCACTCTCACCCTCGAATTGTTTTATTGTGCTTCAGCGAACAATCTCTTTGTATATCGATACGAGATATGATATCGTAATCAAGGGGGAAAAAGCGCGACTCCCGTACTCCAGCGGACTCCCTGTACTCCCAGACGATACGATA